TCAAGAAACACAATTTCTTTGCTTAACAGATAAAGAGACGCCATGCTTACGCATCTGTCGGCCGCTTTGTGTATACAGAAAGCTTCGATTAGTTCTCGACCCAATCGCCTAAACACATGCAACTGATAAAAATTCCTATCGCTCATTACACACATCCTTCAAGAAACACAATTTCTTTGCTTAACAGATAAAGAGACGCCATGCTTACGCATCTGTCGGCCGCTTTGTGTATACAGAAAGCTTCGATTAGTTCTCGACCCAATCGCCTAAACTCATGCAACTGATAAAAATTCCTATCGCTCATTACACACATCCTTCAAGAAACACAATTTCCTTGGTTAACAGATAAAGAGACGGCATATGCTTACGCATCTGTCGGCCGCTTTGTGTATACAGAAAGCTTCGATTAGTTCTCGACCCAATCGCCTAAACACATGCAACTGATAAAAATTCCTATCGCTCATTACACACATCCTTCAAGAAACACAATTTCCTTGGTTAACAGATAAAGAGACGGCATATGCTTACGCATCTGTCGGCCGCTTTGTGTATACAGAAAGCTTCGATTAGTTCTCGACCCAATCGCCTAAACACATGCAACTGATAAAAATTCCTATCGCTCATTACACACATCCTTCAAGAAACACAATTTCCTTGGTTAACAGATAAAGAGGCGGCATATGCTTACGCATCTGTCGGCCGCTTTGTGTATACAGAAAGCTTCGATTAGTTCTCGACCCAATCGCCTAAACACATGCAACTGATAAAAATTCCTATCGCTCATTACACACACCCTTCAAGAAACACAATTTCTTTGCTTAACAGATAAAGAGACGCCATGCTTACGCATCTGTCGGCCGCTTTGTGTATACAGAAAGCTTCGATTAGTTCTCGACCCAATCGCCTAAACACATGCAACTGATAAAAATTCCTATCGCTCATTACACACATCCTTCAAGAAACACAATTTCCTTGGTTAACAGATAAAGAGACGGCATATGCTTACGCATCTGTCGGCCGCTTTGTGTATACAGAAAGCTTCGATTAGTTCTCGACCCAATCGCCTAAACACATGCAACTGATAAAAGTTCCTATCGCTCATTACACACATCCTTCAAGAAACACAATTTCCTTGGTTAACAGATAAAGAGACGGCATATGCTTACGCATCTGTCGGCCGCTTTGTGTATACAGAAAGCTTCGATTAGTTCTCGACCCAATCGCCTAAACACATGCAACTGATAAAAATTCCTATCGCTCATTACACACATCCTTCAAGAAACACAATTTCTTTGGTTAACAGATAAAGAGACGGCATGCTTACGCATCTGTCGGCCGCTTTGTGTATACAGAAAGCTTCGATTAGTTCTCGAAAGCTTCGAGAACTAATCGAAGCTTTCTGTATACACAAAGCGGCCGACAGATGGGTAAGCATGCCGTTTCTTTATCTGTTAACCAAAGAAATTGTGTTTCTTGAAGGATGTGTGTAATGAGCGATAGGAATTTACATGTGTTTAGTTGCATGTTGCGTGTGTTTAGGCGATTGGGATCGAGTTTGACGATGATTCGTGTTTCAATAAATCAGTTGGAAGTTGGCGCCTGTCCGTGTCGTACGTGTATCTTTTTCGTCCTGTGTGTTCGCGCCTTTTAACCTTTTAATCGATATGAACCAACTAGCCCCAACCAAAGTTTTATTGCATCTATAATGAGCTTGCTTTGGGCTTTCTGCCCCAAGGCAACCGAATTTTCCGGTCGATTTAAAGGGATACTACAACGAAACTGTGGCGCTCATTTTTTGGTCTATATGTGTTCAAAGGAGCAGCATCACATCGAACATACCAATATCTTGTTATAAAAGTCTCGAAAAGGAATTTTAAAATGAATTAAACGATTAGAAAAGAGCGCCTGGTGGATGTCGCTAACGCCTCGTTTGTAATGCTCGTCTAGGAACCTTGACAGCTAGTGACGGAGGTTGTCTCGTCTCCGACCACGACGAAAGAAGAGGGGAAGGAGGAACTCCCCTCTTCCCGAGAATGCCTTTTGTGTGTCGCAGAAGTCGTTATTGTCCCCCTACAAGATTATAGAAGATTAACCCGTCACTCAAAATTCGTACAAAAGGAGCCGCTTCGGTGGCTGGAACGACTAGGCCATCCTCCCGACGTCAGCCTCGCCGTAGCTTTGCTCGTCTTGAGACGACCTACGTCACGATTGCGTTAGATGTCACGTTCTCTCCGCTGGGCCTTCTCCGAGCGCTTGCCACAGTGGGCCGTTTATAACGAAAAATACAGCCACCTGGCTCAAAATACAAACGTGCGATTGTCTTTTACGAATATTGTGGATCATATTGTCACGAATGAAGGTGACGAAAAGCCAAACAGTGAACTGAAAATAAAGATTTAATGGGCGAACTTGTGCCAACCAAAAATAAATAACGAAAGAGCGTCGAGGTAGCAGAAAAGCGGGCGGCGGTTCGGCGGCACTACAGAGCGCTAGCGAAACTGGGACTGACTCGACAAGGTCGCGGGAGCCGCTTATCTACCCTGCGTCACTATCTCGAAAGTTCGGCAACGAAGGTTCGAGCGTCGGGCGCTCGGGGCGAGGATGAACTGGCACTTTCGAGAATAACAAAGCAGAAGGAAAGTTACGTCTGCTGCGAGAATGACCGGGAATCTTCTAGAAGACCGTGACCGAGCGTTGCCTTCTCGGCTCTGCGGGTGGCAATATTCAACCTATTTTTGAATACGACGAGAATATTTCAAATTTCGTTGAAGTATCCCTTTAAAGAGCCTGCCGTCTCCTTGAATCGCCCGGTAAAAAGCCCCGTCACAACTAGGGGTGTCGCGAACCGACCGCGGTCGACTTTTTCGAACTTTTAGTGGAAAGGTCGGCGAACTTTCTATTGAGGTTCGACTCGTGTGCGCATGCGCGACAGGCAGAGGCCAGTTGGCTTCGGATTGGATGATAATGGCTAAGAGATTAATTAAGTGCACTGCTGATTGGCTATATCAGTTAATACAGTACTAAAAATTAAGTTATTAACTTCTTCATTGATTAGAATTAGTTTCTTTTAATTGCAGCTGTTCACAATATAAAATAACCCTTTGCATATTTTTTTTTCTAAACCTAGACATGCTTGTATCAAGGTCTGGCCACACTGTCCCTAAAAGTCGAACAGGTCGATTCTGGTGAAAAGTTCGAAAGTTCGTCGAACCGGTTCGACCCAGTCGAACCCCGAAAGGTCGACCAAAAAATCTGGTTCGACAAAAGTTCGCGGCAGCCCTAGTTGCAACACAGCGGCAGACTGCGGCGGGGTAGTGCTTTGCCCAAGCCGTTTTTCGCAAAATGGTGGCATGCACTGAATCGCCTGTGAGCAAGGAGGTTAGAACCTAGAAGTACTAGGAGGGGGCACGTTACAAGGAGGATAGAAGGGTAGGAGAGGGCATGACGTCGGCCGCGTAGCGTTGGCGTAGGCTTCACAAGCCATGCTCCCTTGACGCCTCGCCTCTTTCTCATTTTCCTCCTTACTCTCCTCACTTACCATGCCAACGTGACCACATCACGTGACCGTAGCTAGCCTTCGTCTTGCTATGTGGTACTAGAATACACCACAGTGTAGCCTTCGATCTGATAAAACCTACCGGACGGAGCGCGCGCAAGCCTGCAAGGAGTCCTACAATCAACCATCCATCTCGCACGTGACATGTCACGCGCACCAATCGACAGAGAGATCTGTGGTCACGCGGGGCACAAAATCGTTTAAACTTTTTATGACTAGGCTTCACCAATATTGCACCATGTCCCCTCCTAGTACTTATAACCTCCTTGGCACGTTACAATATTGGTGAAGCCTAGTCATAAAAATTTTAAACGATTTTGTGCCCAGCGTGACCGCAGATCTGTCTGGCGATTGGTGCGCGTGACATGTCACGTGCGAGATGGATGGTTGATTGTAGGAGGATTCCTTGCAGGCTTGCGCGCGCTCTGTCCGGTAGGTTTTATTAGATCGAAGGCTAGACGAAGGCTAGCTATGGTCACGTGATGTGGTGAGAGTAAGGAGGAAAACGAGAAAGAGGCCAGGCGTCAAGGGAGCATGGCTTGTGGAGGCTACGCGGCTGACGTCATGCCCTCTCCTACCCTTCTATTCTCCATGCCTGTGATCCAATAAAATCTGTTTTATTATCCAAAACAAGTGAAGCAGTTGGCGTTGAACGTGCTGGGAGTAGTGCGAAAAGAATACGGCAAGGGAGCGTCTGTAAATTCCATAGTTCCATAGCGTTTAGTAAGAGCATTTTAACCTACCTTTTATTATCTTTCTGGTCTTGGTCCTGATCGGAAGGTTGAAAGAGGCTACTCACGTTCATTGGTAGAACAGAAGATAAAAGTGACGTTTAATACTTATACAGGGTGTCACAAAAGAAAATTTACACGGTCTTTTTTACCGCAAAAATAAACTAGGCATCGCCGAACGCCGAACGCAAAAGACCGTGTAAATTTTCTTTTGTGACACCCTGTATTTATACGTTTAATACTTATAGTGCGATTGGGGTGGCCACACAGGCTGAGGATCCGTTCACCGTCGCCACACAGCTGGCGTTCGAGTTCCACACGTGCGCGTGCACACACAGTGCTCCGGCCTCACGAGGTATCGTCGTCGTCTTTTTAGGGGGTCGCTTACTTGTGGGAAAAAGTCGCACGACGTTTTGAGCAGAGTCTCGTGCCTTTGTCGTCGTTCGGTCACCACGAGCCAGTTGCCACGAGCAGACGACAAGCAGACGACGCACGGAAAAAAAAAAACGTTAGGGGGGGGGGGGGGGGGGGAGGTTGGCCCTCCTGATTGGCTGAGAACATCTGTAGGTTCCACACTGCTGCACGGAACTACTGAGATAAAGTGGAGTTGCAGGGAGGTAAAGGTAAAGGGAGAAAATTTTTAAGTAAGAAAGCAAAAAAAAAAAAAAAGAATTAATTTAAGGCTAGGGGGCGCAAGCTACCACCCGCATAAAGGAAACAGCCAATATTTCTTTATCCATCCAGAGACGGCTCTGGCTCGTGTTCTGGCGTTCCGGCTGCGAGGAGGTTCCGGCAGGCTCTGGCACCCAATGCAGGCACCGTAGTTTTGCCGGCTTTGTTGCTTTTGCCACATGTTCCACTGTGCCTTTAACTTTTGGTCGTAGTTTCGGAAGTTTCGTCGTACCAGTGGTACCAGCGCGCTAGCGCCCGTCTACGCCGTGTAGTCGGTGTAATGTCGTCCGTCGTCTGCACGTGAAGTGTAGGTTCCGGAATTCCCTTCGGACTCCTGAGCGGTTATCGTAATCCTTAGAGGAAAATACCATTCATAGCATGACCATGGGCCCAGCGTTGCCGCTACTGGAACGTTCCTGCATGTTCCTGTTGTCCCGAAGCCGAACTTGCGTCTCGCGACAGCCCCTCCTCCGTTTGAGTACGGGCGCTGCACAGCGCAGCCCGGACAGTCGAGTCAGGGACGGTCTTAGCCCTGAGACGACGCACGAGCCCGGCTTCAAAAAAGAGAGTGTCGCAGAGCTTTTCCGTCGATCCGCGACGTTCGACAGCGACAGGCCCAAGGATGTCCACGATCTGTGGTCGTCGGCCACCTACCCCGTCAACTTCAAACTCCCGGAGGAGAAGGAAAAAGAGGAGTCGATCAGGATTGACCCTAAGAATACGAGCGTCGTCCTGTTCCCCGGACAGGTGAGGCGAATTTCTCTCGGCGGTCATCATTTGTTAGAGAGGCACGGAAATTGCTTATTGCTAGAATACTCCTAAGGTGCTGTTAACCCATGTAGCCAAGCATGAATGAAGCAGACTCCCAAAATTACGTTTGAGCGGTTAACTTAATTCATCAATCGGTACTTAATTAATTGCTGCAGTTAAATAAGTAAACAGGGGGCCACAAGCAACAAACTCCAAGTCTGTGGTCACAGACTGTCTCAATGCTTTTTTTCATTTTGAGTAACCTCATCTAGCTCGTTTGCGACCTTGCATTTGGCTTAGAAACTCCACCTACGCAAAAACCGCCTGTGTTAATTTAAAAAATAAAAAAAAAAAAAAAAAAAAAAGAGCCCGAAATAACTTTTATAGATTCCTATGTGTGCAGTGTTTGAATTTTACTTCTTTCTGTTCTATCACTTCTGTTTGGAGACAAAACGCAGAGTTTGACAACCTTGTGTGTATTTATGGAGCCATTTCTCGTCTCAGGGCTCGCAGTTTGTGGGCATGGGCAACGACCTGCTTCAGTACCCCAACGTGAAGGAGATGTATGAGCGGGCGAGTGAGATCCTCAAGTATGACCTTGAGAGGATGTGCTTGGAGGGACCCCGGCAAGATTTGAACCAGACGGTGCACTGCCAGGCTGCTGTGGTAGTCACCTCGCTGGCCGCTGTGGAGCGCCTCCGAGCTCTCCAGCCTTGGGTAAAGCACTCACTGCCAGTCACCACCGCAGCCACATTTGTCCTCCTGGGCACCTTTTCATCCTCATTTGCAGTTGACCACCACACTTTTAACACAAAATGTGTTTTATCTGCCCAATTCTATGAGAAAACCGTCACGAAGGATTGCGACGTCACCAAATGACATGACGTCAAGAGTGCCGCACGACATAATGGTGTTAGGTGACACTATGACCGCATGACGTCATGGGGCGTCGCACACACACACACACCATGTGCCAAGCTCAATTATGGCACGTTTTTTGCTCCCCAGTTTTTCGGCATGATCAAGCTAGTGTTATAGACCGATATCACCACCCAGCTTCATTACGTCGTCGCCATGCATACTGGGAACTGTAGTCTTTCTGCACAAGCAGAACACGAGACAACTCGTGAGACAGCACAAGCTGTCTCGTGCACTGGTGTCTGCCTTCTGAGAACTACAGTTTTGGTGGCGTCACTTATGCGTGGAATGTGTAATGAGGTTGGTCTATTAATCGCAATGTAACACTTGAAACTGTAGTGTGGAAAAGCTAAGAAACTTCAAGTCGAAGAAAAAGGCGACAGTAGGAGAACGTTCCGAGACATTCTCCTATTGTTGTCCGTTTCTCTGACTCGGGCGTTACATTATCCCAAGATTAATCATCGGGTGTTACGTTATGATTATCGCCTGCACACTCACAACTATTTCTGTAATTGTCCCCGAAACAAGCTTATTTCCTTTAGACATTGTGCGCTGCTTGTAGGAATGTGCTGTGTGTATGAATGCTTTTGCCTTCCTACACGTAAACAGTCTTAAGTGTCTCTGCCAAATTTTTTTTTGTGTGCCCGATATTGGTTTTCGGGACATCCAAGTTAGTAGCGGGTTCTTGCGTGTACATCGCACTGTGAAGTGCAAATGCACATGCGTCCGTGTTCTGCTACTGTACCCGTGACAGGGGACTTCATAGTGAATTCTTACGTACTTAGCGCACCGTGCAACGCAAATTCGCCGTGTCTGTGATCTGTGGTATCATTAATGAAAAGACAGAGTTTGCAGGCGAGCTGGTGACAGTTAATAATGATGTTTAAAACCCGAGACTGCGGCGAAAGAAAGAAGATAAGAAACTTTGAAATCGAAGGGTTGCCGTTTCACTTAAGTTGTAGCCCCCCCCCAACAAACACAAAAACACACACACACAGACTATTTATATTCATTTTGGGTGGCCATTCTTTTAGGGCTTTATGGTATATAAGCATTCCTAAGAGCCATGTTTTCACCTATCATTTAATCTCTGGGGAAAGGGATAGCTGCTCTACAAAATTAAACAAACATTTGGCATAATATTCCTTTTTATAATTAGAATGCAATTAATTGCAGAGGTGCAAGCGATCTGGACAAAAATGATGCAAATAATCCCTGGAGAAGGGGAACAAGGGGGACAGTCCCCCTTGTTCCCCTTCTCCAGGGATTATTTTCATTATTCCTTTTTCTTTTTGCATGTTTGGGGTGTGTGCTTTTGCTGAGACCACTTCCTCGCTCTTGAGTTGTGTCGTAAACGTAGGACTTGTCGAACAGCGTTCACCCACACCTTCTCTAATTTGTAGTCTGTTGGAAACTCGTGAAAAAGCACCTCCATGTTGTGCAGCGGGTTGTTTGAGCAGCTAGCCCACAGCGCTACAAGTTGCACATTGGCATCTTTTGAGGAACAGCTGGGCAGTCTTTGGCGCACCGAGTTGCTCGCTAAAATGAGTCTTAGAGTCCTCACAAGAAAATAAACAAAAGGCTATACCGAACCTACACGGGCTACAGATAAAAGCAACGGCTAAACACGCAAATCATAAGCCGAAGTAGCGGTGGTAGCGGCTTAAAGAAGCGCACTCCGCGCAACGCCCGGACTGGAGGAAAAAAAGAGAATGATATTGACGTCACGGCTCAATGTTGGTTTAGCGATCGGCAACCTGCTGGCTGCCCGCTAAGGAGCAGCGGCTCGCAGCAGGTCGCATTTTTATTATCAGCATTAGTTGAGAATGCGGCGTCCAACGGACGTAATATTTTGGCTGCGGTTGCATTTTGTGTCACTACAGCGATACCAGTAATTTATTTCATTTTGAGTTTTGACCGGAGTTGCCCTTTAAGGATAGGGTATGTTTTGGAACTGGTTCTGGAACGTCACAAACAGATGCTTTTTCGTTGTAATATTTTTCGTACTTAGAAAAGCACATCTGGGCTTTCACATGGCTTGCACAATACCTCACATTGCACACTTTTGACCACCATGAAAGAGAGGGAGAGAGAGGCCGCTTTTGTGGGAATTTTTAGTGACTGGTTAATTTTCTATAATCTTCTGGGAGAGCGACGTCTGGGCCAATTGCTAGGTCGTGGTAAGAGGGAAGCTCCCTTTGCCGTTCTTTCCCGGTGGCCATCGAAGCACTCTTTGGATGACATCATGTGCAAACCATGTATAGCCCCAAGTTCGACCTGGGTGACCAGCTCTGCAGATTTACTTATACTGCTACAAAACTCAACTTTTGTTGCTCCTGAGCTGCTCCAAAGCACAACTCTTACTGCCCCAAAACTGCTCCAAAGAGGCATCTTTGCCGCTCCTAGACCTGGTACGAAAGGCTGAAGCTTGCTTCCACCCCTGTTTACTGCACATATCTGGGAAACCCTTAGCATGCCTGTCTTGTCAAAACGATTATGTGCCATACGTAGCTGTTGCATCGAGGCAGGCAAGCCTAACCGAGTTCAGTTTGTTTGAAAAGCATTTCAACTGTGCTAATCACTTGTTTTGTCTTTCATCATTAAGGCTATTGAAAACTGCGTGGCTGCAGCAGGATTCAGCGTTGGAGAATACGCTGCCCTTGTATTCAGCCAGGCCCTCTCTTTTGAGGATGGTAAGGTTTTTGTATCTCTCGGTCAGCATCCTTACTAGGTTTTTTAAGTTGTGCTCTAGAGCCTAAGGAAACGGTAATTGATTGGGATCACTGTTATGAATTGGGCTAGACTTAAAGATCCTCCTATGCAAGTTAAGTGGATGAGGATACTTATGTTGATCTTGCATGTATAAGGGGTGTTCATATAAAATTCTTGTTATTTGTGGCAAAAAAAGTGAATATCGCCAAAACTTCCATGGTGGGACAAGCCCACGTCCCTGTACTCTTGGCTCATTTAAAAACATTCTCTCGCAGTGCCGAATTATTTGCCCCCGCATGGTGCGCTTACATTTTAGGTGTTACGTGCTTGGTGAGTGGCGTCACCACAGACCCCAGCCACGTGAGCCGCCATACCCAGGATGCAGGGGGCACCTGCTTTAGTAGGTGCTTGGTGAGTGGCGTCTCCACGAACCTCGAGCCATGTGGGTTCGCTCACCCACGCCCGGCTGTGCGTGGCTTAACCCGTGTCGTAGACGGGTGTCCTGGCTTGGCCCGACCAGGATGATTCAGTCGGTTGTCTTTCTCCACCTCTATTTTCTTTAACTTTCTCCTACTCTTCTTCCTTCTTATTTCACCTTCTTCGGTGTCAAAGGCTAACCCTGGGTGGTGACGGATTCCTTTCTAGACCCACACTTAGTTGTAGTTTCTTAGTACCACTAGTAGCTTAACTGTGTCAGCCAAGCCACTCCTGTTATGACACATTACCTATCCCCTTGTTGGGCTCGGTGGTGGGCAGTGCGCCACAGATTCCGAACACTCCTGCCTTTTTATGGCTGCCCTCTCTTCCAAAACCAACACGGTGCACTCCCCATAAAAGGGGTTGCACCATACTTAACTTTTGAAAAAGCATGTGAACCATCAAAGTTCCCAAGATTCCTTGTACTCCAAGTCTAAGATGAAGAAAACCCACTAGCTAAGCGTTTGCCTTTCCTTGTGTCAAAATGCCTTGATGCCATCATTGGCAAAGCTTTCAAGGCAGAAAATCTTTTGGTAATCTTGTCGAGGTCGAAAGAGAAGTTCAAAGCAGAACGCTTCTAAAACGGGCATGTCTGGACAAACACCAGATGAGTCGGCCCCCATCGGACGCTGATTAAATAGTGTTTGAGGTGTTATCTCCGAGGCTGATCTGATAGATTGCATTGAGGATGAAATCTTTACTGGACTTCAGAAACAGGCTGTGGTGGCCATCAAGCTGATCAATATATATAGACACTGGCAGGAGACCAACTAACCGAGCATTCAATCCTGACCTTTGAGCTGCAGACGCTTCCTGCCACCGTTACAGCTGGTTACCTCCATTGCAAACTCGGGCCATTTATCCCAAACCCACAAAGATGTTTTCGATGCCAATGCTTTGGGCATGATTTGTGGAACTGTCGGGGCCGTGAGACCTGCGCGTAGTGTGGTGGCACTGATCGTGTAGCCGACAGTTGTGAAAGCGCGCTCAAATCTATCAAGGAATCCATGCTGCTTGTGCCTGGGCATGTCCGCATGAAAGCAAGAGAAATAAATCTTAACCCTCAAAGGAAAAAACAAAAAAAACATTAGTTACCAGGAGGCAAAACAACAATTTTCTTTTTTGTCCAAAGGCATGTTTGCCCAGGCGGTGCGGAAGGGACCAGCTTCGCGAACAGAATCAAAGGCCACCCAGGTCTCGCCTGAGGTCCTGGCAGTGGCTCTTCAGTCCCCTACCACCCAGCAGGGGCAGTGGCTTTCCCCGGCTTCTGGAGGGAGTGCACCAGCTGCCCCTCGGCCATGGGACAGGCAGGGAGCCCCTCTGTCTGTCCCCACTCTGTCTCCCCCAGGGAGAAGGAGCGAGAGTCCCCCAACTCGCGGGAGAGGGCACCATCCAAGGAGCGGCATTGCGCCGTTCCTTCAGCAGCTGAGGTGCAGGGACGGATGGAGTTGGGCAACGCTCAGCCCAGCATCTCCAATGCTCACCCTTTGAGTGGGGGCGGTCGTGGCCGGGGTGTTTTGCCTCCCTCGACTCTGCCCAGACCTACACTACAAGCCTCGTCTCAAGAGGTGGAGGCGAGGGACGAGACCGCTGAGCCTTTCGTTCTTTCGTCTGACCAGGACGATATGGTGACTCCCAAATCTAAGAAGAAAAAAAACAATGAAAAAGCCAGTATTTCTATCAAAGTAGTTTTCCCTGGGAACTTCATTCTTGGGTTGAATTAATTTACTGTGTCCCGTATATCTGCATGTACTTCCGATATTAATGCCTTCACTTCTTTTTCACTGGAACTGTCGAGGCCTTCTTGCAAACTATGGTGATGTTACTGACCTGCTGGAGGAACACAGCCCCATTGCCTTCTGTTTGCAAGAGATTCACCTGAAGGAAAGTCACTCGAAAATCCTGAAGCCTTTCCAGCTGCATACCTGCCAAGTTTTACGATTTGATCGTAAAGTGTCTGCTTTCCAGCGCTTTCTTACGATTATCGTATTAACAACAATATTTGTATAATTTTCCGCACCCCGTGTAAAAAAAAAAAAAAAAGTTTTTGTTTAAGCTGCATCTCGCCTGTTTACAAGTTGGGGTTGGCAACACTGGTACATCGACTTGTATGCCAGGGGCGCAAGCTACCGCTCCAGTGTTGTAAGGGGTGGTATAGCCGCTAACATCCATCCATCCATCTTAATCCAAAACTGTTTAGGAAATCTCCTTTGTTGTGGCGACGTTGGTTGTGGCGAACGTTGTGCATTGTGTTACTGAAACTTTTACTCATGATCCCTTGAAACCATCTTTGCTACAGGATGTTGGGAAAAAAATACTTTCAAGTCTTTATTCCCAGCTGTTCAACCGACTTTCCATTTATGAAGACGTCGCGCAACCTGTCCGACCATTTAGTGGAACTCGGCACTCCCGTAACCGATTTGACTACGTAATTCTCGTGTGAGTTTGTGGGCCACGTTAGAGGTGACGTCCTTGACGAGGATGACATACTGGTTTCTTGTCCCCCCTAGCTGTGAGAGTTAGTAAAATAATGATATGCTCCCTTCGTACACATTGTTGACAGTTCAGGACATTGCCATACTTTCCATTTTTCGTCCTAACCTCGCGTTCTGTGAGCTGACGAGATGGGAGGTTGCCCAATGGGTAGTCTGTGGTTATGGCAAATCTCGTGGAGCATGTGGAGGAAACCGCTCTACAGCGGAGATTGCATCCAGTTTTATAGGCGGTACGTGGCTGACACTTTCATAATTAACGACGTGTAATCGACTTTGAGCAGTGTTGAACCATCCGTCCAATTCACCCATTCAGTAGAAGAGAACAGTGCCTTTCTTAGATGTACGCTGAAACAGCACTGGACATAAGAACCACTGTGTACTGCAATACCTGCGACACAGATAAACTCCAATCAACCTGTAGAGCATAAAAGAGTAGTCATAAAAATACATTGGTCTGAACACATTCCTCTGAATTTGGAACTGTGTGTGCTCAGAGATGCATATTGTTGAATCCCGTGAAGCGCGATTATCCTAGGCGATTTATTGAAAAGAGACGTAAACAGATTGGGATTGCTTTCAAGCGGGGGTTGTAACAATTGCATACATTAAGACCTCTTTGAACGTTAGGACTTTCAAAGCCCATCTCTAACTTCGTAATTTCATTTCTGAACTGCAAGACAGACGAGCCCCACAGTCCCAGTGCGATGTTGTCTCAAAATTGGGCTGTCTGTACTGTGACCGTGGTACATAAGGGCACCGGCTGGAAACAGCACACGTCTCCAAGAACAGATTAACTTGTTGACCATTGTTGGAAGACAATTTCAACTCTTCGGAATTTATTGGCCTTGGTGCATGAATAAAGGTGGGGCCCACCAAAAGAATCGTGGTGATTCTAAGTATCTTCGGAGTGATTCGTCGGCCTGCAATACTAACCAGGATTCCCTTCCTCAAGTCCTGGCTGTCATGCCTTCTCATTCATGCCACCTTGGCAGCATGCCACCTTGGCATGCCACCTTGGCTCCTGTATGGAGGAGTAATGTCCGATTAAGTTGTTAATCACGTTTAGGCAAGCCTGTGTATTTTGTTTTATCTTCACGGTAATTATACAAACTTTATGAACACCCCTTAGATGCTATCATGGCTGAGTGCACTGAGGATTAGAAATATCTGAATTCACTTTTGCAACTTTCCGCACCATGTCCTATGGCTATCGATCATGTATGACTTATGATTTAGTTTTCAGCTTAAATTTGGAATAAGTGTGGAAGCATTTTACCTCATCTCTCTCAAAAGAACAAATAATTGACTGCACTTGGATTTGTCATAATTTTGGAAGTTTATGACAGTGAAAGAACCAAGCATGTGCTACAGTGCCTAATAATTCTATTTCATTTCTCCTTCCCAAGGGCAAAGCAAAATTGATAAAATTACGATGGAACATCATATAACAAATTAGTAATTTTATTTTTAAAATCGGCAGTGTCTTGGTCAGACTATGGGTGTCGGGAGTGATTCTAATCAATGGAGGTCTGGGGAAGAAAAGGCATTGAGAAGGGACGTGGTACAATGGGGGATGCCTACTTTTAGCTGATGATTGGTTTGAATCGTGTGATATTGTTCTAAAATTGATAATAAAAGTAACAGGGAAGACTGAGGTGAGCTGCAGAACTTTCAACATCATTATGTGCGTTGTCCCCTTTTTTCCTCAGTCTCAAATTTCCACGATGCTGAAATCAACGTTTGACAAAGTATTGGGTTAGTGTAATAAATCTTGCAAAACAAACATAGATGAGATATTTTATTAGGAAGGAATTTCTGGATGGTAGGGACCAGACAACATTTTGGCTGTTCCTATCATAAGAAAGAGTGCCTAGTTTATTAAGAGTGCCTAGTCTACTAAGTACATTATGCAGGAAGGAACAGAGAGATATTATGGTGGCAAAAGTTTCTCCACATGAGGCTAGATGGCGGGTACCGCAGTCTGCAAGCTGCCGGATGTGCATATTTTGTGCATGCAGCGGTACGACTGGTGAAGATCCGTGGAGAAGCCATGCAGGCTGCGTCGGAGCTTGCGCCCGGAGGGCTGATGACCGTGTTCTTGGCCACCACGGCCAGGGCGAGTTACATTTGCAAGCTGGCCAGGGAGTGGTGCTACCGCCAGGGCTACGAGGATGCTGTGTGCAGCGTAGCCAACTACCTCTTCCCCCACTGCAAGGTCATCGGGGGCTCTGAACAGGTGGGCGTTCCCCGAGATTGTCTTTTTTGGGCGGCAGAGAAAAGCTCAGTGCCAAACTGTACGATGCGGAGAAAAGCTCACCAGCCTTTTGACCGATGCGGAGAAAAGCTCATCTACAAATCTGTGAATCGAGCGTTGACTCGAGTGAAATACGTTCACTCAACTGAAGTATGCTGTGATGCCTTAGGCGCATGCGGTCATTTTGCACTTCACTAGCAGAATATATTTTTAAAATATAAAAACATAGTGTAACACATCAGGCGTTGCACAGCGAAAATAAAATAAATAATTTCGATAGAACGCTAATTTTAAAAAAAATAATAACGGGGGAAATACGACTTGTGCAGAGGGCTGTAACTCGAGTAGTTTCTGGACACCTTTTATGTAGTATACGGGCACCGCATTGCCAAGTCACCGTATTTCACCATTTGTTGAAGAAACGGTGGTCTCAATTCTTACCTTATTCGAACGGAAAATAAAAAAAAGAAAGTTTGTATTTCCTCCATCCCAGCTATGTCAGAATTAAATATGGTGACACTCGTGCGAAATGGGTTGACATAAAAGCGGAACAAGGACTACAGTCAGGGCGGAGAATTAAAATCAAGATGGTTTCAATCGTGATTCAAATCGGACCGGTTTTACTAAGATGATTTAAATCGAAACTTGGTCGCAAAAATAATTTAAAAATTTTTTTAAATTTTTTTTTTGTTTTTTTTTTAGGGCCATATATTTTGTATTTAAATAGAAAAAAAAAAATCATCGCACATTAAAGACTTATATCGGACTAAACGTGAGAAAAAAAGTAGTAATCTTTGGAGCAAATCGATGCGTTGAGCTTTATTTCTACCGCAGAGTTTGTTCGTCAGTTACATTCAGAGCTTTTTCTAATGAAATTGGAACTTAAAATATAAAAGCGAAAACTGAAAAAGTATTGTCATATTGTAGAAAATCAGATCGAAAAAAAAAAAAAAGAAAATACAGCTTTTTTTGTTTAGAAAAAAAAACAACAAAACAAAGCTGTTTTTGTTTTACTGTGGCGGGGTTTTCATGAACCACTGATCGGAAGCATTGATCAAATAACCAGCCGTGTTTAGAAATGCATATAGTGATAAATAATCAATATATGCTTTTTTTTAATCTGAATTTTTTAAAATTATTTTTCCCACAGCAGAGCGATCTGGCGTGAAGTGTGTACACTGGGTGACAGTGTCAACATAAACAAACCATCAAATTTTTTCTTTTTCCTTTTTTGCATTTTAGTGTTTACTAAACTACCTACTAGTTTGGTGGAAATAGCTCATTCGAGGTATAAACTTATGCAATAATAGTTTGACGCTAATCAACACTTCTAAGTAAGATGCGAAAAATCCCTTTGTGCTAACTCTGTTGCACGGTGTACCGCCTGCGTGAGAGACGCATAAAACCTTGGTAGCACTACTGCTATTAACGTCCACTTTGCCTAATGATTTAATTCAAGGTGAGCTTTTCTCTGGGTCATTCAAGAGACTGGTGAGCTTTTCTCCAAACCCGCACAAAAGGGGGTGAGCTTCTCTCTGGTGAGCTTTTCTCCAAACCTGCACAAAAGGGGGTGAGCTTCTTTCTGGTGAGCTTTTTTCCGGTGAGCTTATCGCCGGTGAGCTTATCTCCGGTGAGCTTTTTTCTGGGATTTGTCTTTTTTTCTGCGGTCCAGGGAGGGTGGATGGGTACATGCAGCTGACATAAGAGGGAAGAAGCAACAAGTCTCTATGCTTCACAGTTGCACATTTGCTTAAATATTCCAATGTGAGAGGTCTTGTATACTGACCAAGCGTTTGCGCATCGCAATCGGCAAGTTACCAGCAATCGTTGCCCACCTTGCTGGGTCTTCTGTACGGTACATGTCGTGCACCTCATGTAGGAGTGCAACGTCTTCCCATCTTGAACATTGCACTTGCGAGGACGCCACCGACATCGCACTCACGGCAGCCATGGTGCTGCCGCTTGCAGTCCTGGGAGCTGCCATTTTCAAACTCTACACGTCTTGGCTTTAGCCAACTTCTTGACCTTGTTAGAGTAACACAAAAGTCTGCATTGCTTTTGTGAGGCTCGCGTAATTTCTGGAAACTAGCATATGCATGCAAAGCTCGAAAGCATTTTGTGTTCGGTGCATGCACAGTGGCGACGATGCTATTTTAAAACTCCCTAATATTTGAGGAAAAGGTTTTAATGAAATGGAGGCGAGACCTAAAAAAACATTAACAATTTGTATTGCAAAAAAAAGAAGCTAATTACGAAAAACAAAGCCTAAATTAGAAATCTGAATACATATTTGCAACAAAGATGACGCAGTGTCCAGTTTGGTTCAGTCCGGGCCAATCTGAGGAGTCAAGCCAGTGGACATCTCGTCACCATTCTCAAGGGCGTAAAATCATTTGCTATCTAAGAACAAGCTGTAGCTGGACCGTGGTGAAGAACTGGGGTGTAGGCATTGTTCACCGCCTCTCGGAAGCCATGTTGTGTGTCAGTGACTTCCGGCAACTGCCACAGTTTTGGGGGGTTGCCTGCAACAGCCCAGTTCCAGTTTGGGGCATGCTTTCCCTAGCACCCAATCCTGGCTGCCGGCTGTTCGGCGCAAACTGTTTAGTCTCCTCGCATGCCTCGCGCACCCTTATTCCCCTCCCTTTTTCTTGCTACAGTATTTGCATCATCACACGTACAGTCACGTATATGAGATCTTATAAACTCAGTCCTTTGCTCGCACAGGCCAGAGACTGTTAGTTGGTTAAATTTTTTTGCCACTCGGGGAAGCGGCACATTTTTGAAAATAGCTGCGACGGGTGGAATGCGAGTTGCGGCAGCAGTGAGTGACGCTGCCTCGGTTATGCGGCTCAGGCACTGCAGTTTGTGGAGCTGAACGCCCGTGATCTGGGCATCAAGCGGTACAAGCGGCTGTCGGTGAGCGGGGCCTTCCACACACCCCTGATGCGGCCCGCCCAAAAGCCGCTGGCTCGGGCGCTCCAGGCGGTGCACCTTTCGCCGCCACGTATCATGACCCACTCGAACCTGGACGGTGCGGCCTACACCCACCCCGAGGAGATAAGGCGCAAGCTGGAGGCGCAGCTGGTTATGCCGGTCAAGTGGGAGCAGCTCATGCAGCAGGTGTACAACAGGGACGTGGGGGAAGAGTTTCCACGGACCTTTGAGTGTGGGCCGGGCACGTCCCTGCGTGCTGTGCTCAAGATGGTCAATGGAAAGGCCTGGAATGTGTCTGAAAGCATCGGTGCGTAGCCCCCTGTTGCTGAAATGGCCTAGCCTGAGGCCGAGTCTCGCTAGAACAACGTTCGACCGACCCTGCTCGTGGTGCACAAAATCTGGTGCTTTGCTCTTGTTGACTGGCAATTGGGCAAGTCGGCACGTTCCTCTTGACTGCAGTTTTGAGCCTATGGTGCATGTGACACCTCAGTTGTTTAAATAGATCGATCATCATTTTCTCATCAGACACAGAAAAATGTTGTTGGTTGACTGACTATTAAACATGTTCATTGAAAGCTAGCAATGTTTGTTCAATAAGCGAGGCTGTTGTCATTGAATAAGTGTGCAATAAAATGGAACAAATGTTGAATATATTCACTCTGAAAACAATTCCGATTGCTAAACTGCAGTGGCTGACAGCATCCCATCTCTCGCTGCCAAAATGGAACCAGTGAAATCACTAATTGTCTTCTAATGGCATTCGGAGTGTATCGAGGGTCCATAAATTGATTTTTGTACTTTCTGTAAATACTGCTTAGAATTAATACTTGACATAACCTATGAAACAGATATTATTTTTTCTCTCCATCCAGTGGCACTCTCGTAAACATTTAGCGAATAACGAGCAGTATTCACCCCCCCTCAACTTGCAGCCAAAACATTGGTCACGTGATCTGGTACCAATGTTTGTCAAAGTCACATATGGGTTGGCAAAGCACAGAGCATGTGTTGAGTTGAGCTCCAGACATTATTAACGTCTGGCTATTCCTGTCATTGCGGCGATTGAACGTAGCCACTATCTAAAGGTAAGGCATTGATTGTCACGAGCCCTCATCATATACTCGTGTCCATTTTACTTTCGTCGGCATGTGGTAATCCCTGCGTCTACATCGACATGGTGATCAGTCTGGCTTATGGGGCTTTGCGCAGGAGGGACTAAAAACAAAATCCACATTTAATCCTCGAATTCTTCCCTTGAATTCACTTGATGACAAGGAATAAGCTTTTATACTTCATGTCACTAGTTGCGTGCAGCACAGGCAGAGGCAACGCCAGGCGAGGGGAGAAAGGGCAAGCAGTAGGAAGGCTGGGGACTAGGAGAGAAACCTCTCCCCTCTAAAGTTCGTAGTGGCCTCCCTTCGGCCTCCTTCCTAGTGCTTGCCCTTTCTCTCCGCCTGGCGTTGCCTTTGCCTACACTGCACACAACTAGTGACACGGAGTATAGGTCAGTGTGCACGAAGCATGGGGTGTGCTTATCTAGCAAGCGTCATTGTTTGTGACGTAGCCGGTAGGCTTCATCATGCAGGCCCCTCAGCTAGCTAGCTCACTTCGTACGTTATTTGGCAATGCGACAAAACTTGTGTTATGCTTTGTGTTTAATCAGTAGAGTAATATTTGTGGCTGGACCTTTCAGCATTATGTTAGATAGGCAAATATTTTTTGCGCTGAAGTGTTTAAACACTTTGATGCATAATGGGGCGCTTATTTGAATGAAATTCAATGGAGGAAGGAACCAAGCTAAAAATGGGCAAGTTAAAGGCAAGCTCTCGTGTGCAGGGACGGTGCCAAAGGGAGGCGAGGGGCGGCGGGCGCCTCCCCTAAAATTTGACCTACCTCCCCAAAATAAACTCACCTATACCCCCCCCCCCCCCCTCCCCTCCAAATGGCACTGATACTTGCTGGCCTGCTTGTCACTTTCCTAGTTCTCTCGTCCGTGCATTGTCTTGAAGCACACCCAGCCTAAGGAGGCCCCATACCGGGTGTTCTCAACTTCTTTGTGTCGCCTGCTTTCTTTCTTCGTACCCTGTGAAGAATGTAGGATGTACGGATATCGTGACGACCTGTCGAGGTGACGCCTCAAAATTGTCCAAGGTCGACCATGGAACATTTCCCGAAAGCAGCGTCTATAGGATTAGGGGCCGAGGTACTTCGCCCAAGGGATTACTCGGAGATCTGGAATGGAATCTTATCTGTACCGCTGTGTCGCTTCAAACCTGGCGGACAAAGGAACTCAAGGGCACTGTCTCTGTGCCTTGGCACTTATTAAAATATTATAGCGCAAAATGACGAAGGAAAAACGAGGGAGACAGGAAGGATCTTATTGTAGTTCCTTTAGGCACTGCCCACGTTCTGACCGAGGAAGTCCACCAAAGTCTTCCAAGTCTACGACTGCGACTCTGGTGTGCGACTGGTCCTTGAAGCAGCTTTGGTGACGATGACCGTGTGTTTGTGTGTGTGCTCGGTAAAGGGAACGGATGGAGCCTGGCGGTTGGAGAACTGCCACACTTTCATCATTAGTTGCCCTCGACCCTGGGGCAGAGTTTCCAGGAGTATGAGGTGTGTTGGTCTGTTTGCTCTAGGGGATGAAAGTAAATAAATACTGTTGCCAGTTGGGAATCATGTCTGTCTGTCCATTGATGTTCTCTCCCTAAACCCTGACCATGCCTCGAGAGCTGGGTAAAGGAGACTGATCTAAAGAATTTTGTGAAATGACACTTGCTTTCTGGTTCTAACTGAGCACAACAGTGGTTTTCTATCAAAACGCCCTTGCTCCCAAGGTTCCTGTTGCAGCCACGTAGTCGTGCCTGGTCCCATCCGAGCTCCACCAAGGGGCCAACCACTTGGTACCCATAAACATTGAGAAATGTCCGAGGAATTGCAACGGTGCACTATGGCATCCAATCGTCCGATTAGGGACTTTTTCCAACGAAAGGCAACAAAGCAGAAAGTTCCAGAAAACGCCTCCGATCCCGAAACTTCTAAAGCCAAGCGTTCACCTGATGAAGAATCCATGGTGTGTGCAGACACAAAGGAACATGAATTTGAGTCAAGTCTTTGTGATGGCAATGACAGCGGACCGATTGCCAACTTTCGGAATTAAGCACTAAGCCCAACCTCCTGGACTGAAGAAGTGCCACCAGATGTAGCTCGAACAGCTTATGATATACCATACAGCTCTGACTAAGTATGGTGGCGACTCCAGGACCTTCCAAGTCCAACTAGTAAACCAGCTTCCGTAGTTTGAGTGCAGCGTGTCTTCGAACTCTGCTTTTTGTTACCCCTGTCGGATGTTTTCTGGGCAAAAGAGGGGCAGCGCTGTTTTTTGTGACAGAGGGGTCTCGAAACTTGAAGAAGCAGAAGGACTGCGACTCCACTCCAACTGTGGGGCACACAAGATGTCCCAAGCGTAGACAGATTGTGGTTTTGCTAGCGTTGCTGAGGCTGGCGGCAGCATGGCAGCGTGCTGAAGACACGTTTTCTGCTCGTTCGTTGTCATTCGGCAAAGAAGTTTTTTAAGACCCTGTGTAAGTGTTGACTTGGCGTTGAGAACACGTGGACATTTTTATGAACGCGCAGTGCCGCAGGAAAAAGGGCACAACTCATCGAAAGCAAGTTTGGCTGGTCTCGCGGCGTCGTCAAAGCTTCCTTGGCACGCCGAAGTGCAAAGGAAGCTGCTCGTGTTCATCAATTGTGACTGAAAGGGAGTTTTTGCTCGCCTTTACTTTCATATAAGGAAGGCAAAGTGACTAGCTTTTGAACAGAAATATTTTTCACAATGACACATTCTTTAATATGTCAAGTGGCCACATTTATTATGGCCTATAACTGAAAAGGAGCGGAATAATAATAATAATATTTACAGCTATAACAAAGTTGAAGGAGCAGTCGTAATTATTTCGTTATAACCATTAATTTGTAATAGTCATTGTCCATTTCTTCCCACTATTAGCAAGCAAGGAGAATTATGATTGCTTTGTTATATCCGTTATTTTGTTATATCCCATTTTGTTATAACGAGGTTTTACTGTAGTGATAAGACGAGGTGCTCTGGGTGCCTCGCAAGGCTAGGGGCAGGTAGGTGGGGCCCGTATGCAGGAGCGTCTGCTAGCCAGCCATCCAGAGCCAGTAAGAATAGTGATGTACGCTTCTATGTCGCACCCACCCTGGTCGCACCGAAGAGACAAAATTGCTGCATTGTGCAAGGAAGCTTTAAATAGTAATTCATAGACTTATACAAAAAGAAATACTGCAATGCCTTAAGATAAAGACTAATCCATGACTAATAATATTTCGTGAAGTGCTGTCGTGGCCGTGTGTTCGAGTTAGTCTCAATTGTGCTACACCTTCTTTTGTTTTTGACTGACTATTTATAAAAAGCGCTAATGAAGCTATTAAAGCGGTACCATCAATGTTTCTAGATTACCTCAGTTGTGGAACTGCCGTAGAAGGGGGCACCCCTCTCACTAACTTCAGTCTGCCTCCCGTCGTTCGAAGTGAGTTCTAGATTTTCTTTTCATAACTGAGTTTCATAGAGTATGTGGAACGCCATCCAGACGCTTTGCTTCGAAACATACGTATCCCATAGAATACACTGCCGTAACCAAAGCAGCCGTCCGGCGCATCGAACGACGGGAGGCGAGTCATGGTGGTGTGAGGGGGTGGTGGGGTACTGCTCGTGCATGCAGTGTCTATGAACTAATCTAATAACATTAGGTATCATGTTCCGAAGACGTGCATAACATTTCACGGGAAGATAGGGTTTCATTTGTCAGTTTGAAACTCCCAGTAACACGAATTCCCGTCGCCATGCAGATTTGCTTTGGCCACGGTTTTTGCCCGATAAACTACAGGGTGAGACAAGGAGACGGCAGGCTCTTTAAATCGACCGGAAAATTCGGTTTCTTAACCTATCGCGCTACGACTTTGTGCAGCGTTGCCCACAGATGGTGAATTTTTTTTGTAAAATTTGCAAAGAGCGAGCTTACCTGAGGAAAAAGTAAAGAAAGAAAAAGGCCTAGCTCCTATGGAAACTGCGACGCCACTGGTCTGCAAACAACACGGCGCCGTTTCGCACGGGAGACAAGAGATGGCGCAAGTGGTCGCGACGCCAATTGCCGTCAACGAACGAGCAGACGACGCCGAGAGCCAGCGTAATTAGTAGACAAGGAACTGCAGTTCCTTGTTACCGGGCCTGTTTTAGAGCGCAGCTCTTAGGGGCCCGTTCCCGGCTTGAGCGGCGTCGCCGTCGGCGTAACCAAGGTCATCCCAAGGTCACTTGACCCCCAAGGTCATCCCAAGGTCACGTGACCCCTCCCCAAGGGTCACGTGACCCAAGGTCACTTGACTCCCCAAGGTCACGTGACCCCCGATGACGTCATCAGTGACGTCACTGATGACGTCACCGGCATCCGCATCGTCATCATCACTGATGACGTCATCAGTGACGTCACTGATGACGTCACCGACATTTGCATCGTCATCGTCACTGATGACGTCACCTGCATCGTCATTGTCATAATCACTGATGACGTCATCAGTGACGTCACTGATGACGTCTCCGGCATCCGCATCGTCATTGTCATCATCACTGATGACGTCATCAGTGACGTCACTGATGACGTCTCCGGCATCCGCATCGTCATCATCACTGATGATGTCACCGGCATCCGCATCGTCATCATCGCTGATGACGTCTCAGTGACGTCACTGATGACGTCACCGGCACCTGCATCGTCATTGTCATCATCACTGATGACGTCATCAGTGACGTCACTGATGACGTCTCCGGCATCCGCATCGTCATCATCACTGATGATGTTACCGGCATCCGCATCGTCATCGTCATCATCGCTGATGACGTCATCAGTGACGTCAATGATGACGTCACCGGCATCCGCATCGTCATCATCACTGATGACGTCACCGGCATCCGCATCGTCATTGTCATCATCACTGATGACGTCATCAGTGACGTCACTAATGACGTCATTGGTATCCGCATCGTCACTGATGACGTCATCGGCATCGTCACGTGACCCTTCTAGGTCACGTGACCCCCACCCAAGGTCACTTGACCCTCCCCCCCCCCCCAGTACCCTTCCCTCCTCCTCCTCAAGAGCTGCGCTCTAATTCGGCGTTACAGGGAGTTGTAAACGGCTTTCACTTTTTTGTTTCTGCGACTGTAGCCGCCTGCGGAACGCGCGCCGCTTTTGAGTCGAAAAGATTGTCTGCTAAAGACGCTGGATATCTCGGCGCCGTATGCTCGTTCGTTGGCGGCGTTCGTTGCGCCATCTCTTGTCTCCCGTGCGAAACGGCGCCGTGTTGTTTGAAGACCGGTGGCGTCGCTGCGTTTCCATAGGAGCTAAGCCTTTTTCTTTCTTTACTTTTTCCTCAGGTAAATTCGCTCTTTGCAAATTTTACAAAAAAAAAAAAATGCACCATCTGTGGGCAACGCTGCACAAAGTCGTAGCACGATAGGTTAAGAAACCGAATTTTCCGGTCGATTTAAAGAGCCTGCCGTCTCCCTGTTTCACCCTGTAATGCACGCAGAGAGCAAGTTCATCCAGTTCATCTGCTTCTTTTGCAGGGGTTTTGGTGACGTCAGAACGACGTCGAGTTTTGATTGGCTCTGATCGAAGGATGGGGTAGACCTCAAAGCAAGCTGCCTTGAAGTCTACCCACTATCCTTCAGTTAGAGCCAATCAGAGCTCGGCGTTCTGACGTCACTGCAACTCCTGCAAAAGATGCAGATGAGCTTGGTCTCCACATTCATTGCAAAACGTATGCAAGTCGTAAAGGCTATGCATAGAGCAAGTCGTCTGCTTCTTCTGCACGTCAGAACGACGCCGAGCTCAGATTAGCTAATTTGGTTGAAAGCCCTCAATGCTAGATGCCTTGTGAGCTCTGACATCATAGCAACCCTTGTGCAAGAAGCAGATGAACTTGCGCTCCGCATATTTTTCATAATGAGAATGGAAGTGAGGCAGAAAACAAATATTTAGTATTATATGGGCAAGCGAGGGAAATTTCGGCCGAAATAGAAAAATTTCAAGTGTCCGCTAGGGAAATTTTGACTTCCCGTGTTGGCAGCACTGGTAGAGCGGCTAGAGCGGAGCGACTTGATCGCTGTTGACTTGATTGTTTCGTCCAGCTGTTCTGTTGTTCTGCATGCGGCTCTGGGCTGATGGGTTGTGACTTTTACCTAGCGCTCACTCCAGACAGCGAGTTTCGCCCGCCCATATTTTGACGCCCCTCACCAATATACGACGAAGATATGCAAAACGACGTAAGTGGGACGGCGCTGCGGTGATCCCGCCAGGCAACTGTGCACGACACTTGGAAGTTTCTGCCGAAGCGTGATTGAACGTAGCTGCTATCGGCGCGATCGATATCTGGACACGTCCGGTGTGTGTGTGTGTGTGTCCGCGCGCGTTATCGGCGAGACTGTCAGTACAGTAGTGCCCGCCAGGTGACTGAGGTGACGGCAGTCCGGCCCTGTGGTCCGGCCTACAGTCTGGACCTGTGGTCGGGACGATGGTATTTCTTGGGTTTCGGGCCGTTTGACACATGGCTTTCGTCACTGGGTATCGTTCCCTCGGGACCTCCTACCCCGGCGCTTCGGCCGCTGCCGGCCCGGTAAGTTGACCGAGGCGCATCTGGTGCGGCCTATTTCTGTCACACCGCCCCTTCTCCCGTCGCCGGCGTGCTACGGGCGAGGCCGACTCGCGAGCTTTGCGACAGGCTCAGCTCCCGGTTTCAGTCACGCGTCCGACAAGGTTGAAGCAGGGACGCGTACACACTTTGCGCGCACAGCTGCGTAAAATTCGTGGAAAAGCTGCGTACACACGCCTGTACGGAGCTGCGCTTCCCCCGTGTCGGTATGTGTCATCTACTACTGATAACGAAGTGCCCGGGTGTCGGATCGGTGCGTGCGACAAGGAACGAGGCGTCCATATCTTACGGCACATATGTCCTCATTCACGTCTCTGGGTCGGAAGCAAAGACGTGGTATTTTCTACTACCTGCGGGATGGCACAGCGCGGGTCGCACAGAAAGGTGCAAACCGCCCAACCCTACAAACCAGAGAAGGTTTGAGTTAGTTGTCATAGACGTGGCACGAGCAGGTTTAAATTTCGGGCGGTTTGTTACCATAATCCTGGAGCACGTTGGTAGGTTTTGCTGTTGCAGTCCAAAGCCCTATCGGCGGTTCCTGATGGGAGTGTGCAAATATAATAAGAGACTTGGAAAATAACTCTTGGTAGTTCCATGGAGGGGCATCGAGCTCGATTATTCATCTAGGACATTCAACTTGGCCGTACAAAAAAACGCTGAGGGAGGACCTGTTGATGTTGTTACAGCAAGTGTCGTATCTTGCCTTACAGCAGGATAATCTTGAAAACCAGTCTCAAAGATAAATTTTTTTTTTTTTTTATGGTATTCCAGACTGAGAACAAGTTGTGGCCTGTTTCTGAACAAAATATCACGACGCTGTGTCGCGATAACCTCAGTTACAGTCTTGAACTGTCCACTGTGTAACGTGCTCATAGACAGGTGCCTTCAGTTCGCAGTAGAACAGACCCATAATAGTTCCATTTAGGTCGTTCAAGACCAAGCCAGAACTTTTGCTTCGTAGCCCCAAGCTAACGAACACATTGTTAGTCTCGGTGATCATTTCTCACTGAGGGTGCGTACGGAACATAAGAAACTACTTGATCGGTACCATGGCTCAATCCAACTGTTCTTAACTCTGTTTCCCTCAAACTGCACTGTTTACCGAAACAATAATCACGGTGGCTATGTATTTCTGCTTGTAAATCGGAGCTAGAACAGCACTCCCAGAGACATTAGGGCCGTGTCTTGTGAGACAGTCTTTGGGAAGATTTCTCTTTCCCGTGGTGAATATTTAACAGTTAGCTCATTTTTTATAGACCTCCATCCAGCACTGTCCAGCCTCTTCTTTCACATGCATACAGTGCATTAACAGGAGTTGATCCGGGTCAGGTTGTTTTGGGCAGAGATTTTAATCTTCCAGATTTTTTTTGGTTAAACCACCGAGCCGTGATTAATAATTTTGTCTGTTTATTCCATGTTTTTGGATATTCTAAATTGCTTCGATTTTTATCAGTTTGTCACTGTGCTTGCAAGAACTGGTGTTAGTCGTTCAAGGGTTTTGGACTCTTGTCTCTCTAATTCTAGGTATAAGTGATGGCAATTGTTGCAACTTTTAAATGCACCAAGATATCGAAGCCAACCTAAAAAAGTTTACATGTACAACAGAGGCGATTCCGGTAGCTGGGGTTGTGATCTTATGCACTTTTTGGTTGAATTCCAAGTGTAGTGTGTCGACTATGTGAATTTCCTGTATAATATCTCTGAGGATAAGATACAAGAATTGGTCGAAATTTATGTTCCATCCAAGATAGTCTGTGCAAAGTGCAAGCAAGATAAGTCATGAATCAATTCAGATATTAGACGTTCAGTAAACAAAAATAAACGTGTTTTCACACAATATAAGAAAAGTAGTCATTCACTTATTTTAGACCACCTTAGAAACCTACAAGGTGAGCTGAAAATAAGTAAAACTGCACAGTCAAATTACTCTTTTTTTTTCACTTGGTCATGAGCTTGCTGTCCCAAAGAACTATGAAAATATGTTAAATCTCAAAGAAAGGATCTGGCCGACATTCCCGCCCTAATGGTCGATGGTGAGCTTGTTACATATGATAGTGCAAAAGCATCCACTTTCAATATGTATTTCAAATCTGTTTTTTTAACATTCACCCCTACATCTTTTCTATCTACTTTTAACAAAACTACCGTAATATCCCGAGAGATGCCTCACCCCCGAAAAATAACCCACCCCTATTTTTAACTTGATTTGCTATTTTTTCTTAAACAACGAAAGATAGCCCACTTCTAGTAATCAGTGTTTGGATCAATGATGGCCACGGAGTAAATGCTGCTAGTTAGCTATGATGGGATATAAGCAAACATTGCTGTCTGGGAAGTACAGTCATCTTTGCTTTATTGCCCCTTGCCGCTATAACAAGTTTGGCAGGAACATATGACCTAAAAATAGCTTTTTTTTTAAACTTTTCTTGATTGCACATCGAAAGTTGGCCCACTCCTAATTTTTTACCCGATTTGCTCTTGATTTTAGGTGGGCTATCTCTCGAGATATAACGGAGTGGGAAAATGAAGGAAATTACATTTTACCACAGCGGAATAAGAAAATTACTAGGCAATATTAAAGTAGGAAAAGCTTCCAGACCCGGTGGAATCCCCAACAATGTATTACTGTTATTCATGAAATCGCTGAAAAGTAAGTATGTCCCGGATGATTGGATATCCGCCAACATAATCCCAATACACAAAAATGGTAAAAAAAACTGTTGAGAACTATAGGCCCATATCTCTTGCAAGTGAATGCTGCAAAATCGTGAAACATGTGATCTATTCTAACGTGCACCACTTTTACAGTTTTGTGTTTAACCGTTTCACTTTTACAGGTGTTTAGACATTTTTAAAGGTGCACCACTTTTACACTTTTTCAAAAGCCCACATGTTCAAGCTTTCTCTTCACGCATATAAAACTAATTTCATATAAACCAAGTTTACTGGTAGATGGAACCATGTAAGCAAAACCAGTTAGTGCATGCGTCACGTCGCTGTTATCCTCAATGGCCCCTGTGGTAACAGTGCTAGGGGCACAACATTGCAGAAATGAATGTTGTCGGGATAACTCGTTTAGCATCGGAATTTTCGCAATCTATGAAACCCTTCAACTGTGTTTGCACGGGTCACTGTCTGCACACAGACACATTACCCCACCTACCATAGATGAGTAAGACAGTCCGGTGCCTTCCCTCCCCTGGATTCCTGTCCTCCATGTTTGAAACTGAAGCATGCCATTCTTCTTGCAGATGCAGAATGGCGGAGCAGAGAAGAGCTCGGTGATTTGAGGGCGAGGAGCGCGTTTGTCACGCTTGGGACCGGTTTTCCTTGCACGGGCTGTGGATTGGTGCTGAAGGGGCAACAAAACCATGGTTCGAGCGGTGGTGTCGCAAGCGCTTTTCCGCGTTGCACTTCCCATCGTCTTGCTCCTGGGTGAGCTCGCATTTTTTGTTCTGTGTGTCTCACGCATGTTCCGTAAGGATTTTTGGAGGGCACTCTGGTGTGGAAGTGTATGCTGCAAGCAACAGTAAATTTGGGATATTTGAGGGAGGGAAATTTCCTAATTAGGGCTCAACTGTCCTGTATACTTTTGTCACTTATCCTTGCCACACGTGCAGAATGTGTCTTCATACTAATTCAGTTAAGAGTGATTATGCATTTTGTTTTCTCTCGCACGTACACCTCGAGTGCGAGCAGTGACCTCAAACTGTTCCTTGTCTTTGCTGCAGTGGTGCTCTTTCGATACAATGTGTTCTCCTTCGTGTACCTGCTCCTTCTGCTTGCCAACCCGTTGCTGCCTGGCCCCACCTCTCGACATGCCGGTGAGGGATGTCTGTCTGTTCATCTGGCACCATCTGATATTGTGCATAGGACTGGCTAGATCATACAATTTCTGCTGTATACACCTGGCTGTTTGATATTGAGGCTTTACTGTGCCAAATTGGATGCTCTTGAAGGGCAACTCCGCTCACTTCCGAAGATTTCGGGCCGAGTGATTTCGCATTAAAAAGCCCTAGTAAGAGACACTGCGTCATTTGCTTCGCGAAAAATGGGATATATATTTTTAAATCTAATTTTTAACACTAGCAGAAATCAAAACCGAATATTCGGCTCCGTCCGACAACACTTGCCTCGGGCCGCAAAGAACATGGCTGTCACGTGGTACGAGATGTTACGTGATCCTTTACGCAATGACGGGCGGGATTGGGGCAGGCGTGTGCCTGGTGCAACTGTCGTCTGCACTGCACTCTTCACCATGTTTTGGTGTCTACGACATTCAATGACGTCTTTATATCTGCGGCATAAGTCTGCGCACATAGTGTCCGTAGTGTGAACAAAACTCCGGGAGACAATAATCACAAATGGTGAGTGGGTTAATAGTTTTGTAATTAGCGGCAGCACACTGTTGCGCGAAGCAGCGTGAACGCAGGCAAGGGGCTGGCTTAACTTGTTTCCCAGTGATACACGCGCCGTTTGAAAAGGGTGACCCAAATCGCGCGAGCTCTCCGCGTCGTGCCTATAGGAGGTATTTACTGGACGCCATGTTTGAGGTAACTGCTCACAGCGCATGCCCGGGAAGAGTTTCCCGTCGGCTCTTGGGCAACCGCTCGAGAAGAGGGGAAGGTGAAATCCTCTTATCACCGAGACTCTCCTTTGTAGGACCCAAGCTTCCCCAGACGTCGCTATTCTCCCATCTAGAAGATAATAGAAGATTAACTTGCCACTCAAAACTCTTACAAAAGCATCGTTCCCCTCTCTCTTCCTTGGTGGTAAGAAAGCAGCAGCGAGCTCAGCTATGACCGCCAGTGAATACTCCCTATAGCCAATGCCAGTTGAGGTGCACGACGTAGTGCATATAGCTTTACTCGTGACGGAAACATAGCTGGATGAAACTGATCAGAGGCGAACTCCCGATTGCTTCCAGCCAAATGGCTCACAAATTCTTACCTGTGTAGATTACCTCTCAGTACTGAAACCGCGGCCACAATCATGACTGTTGCACAATTCTCAGAGTAGTGAAGCCGCTTTTACTGGAACAGACACATTTCTTCAGCATTAAAACATGCAAACGAACTAATTAAGCCAGATCTAGTAAAATATTGGGTGTCTCAAAGAGCGGCCAGGCTCTTTAAATCTACCGCAAAATTCAGTTTCTTAACCTATCGCGCTACGATTTTGTGCAGCATTGCCCACACGTGCTGCATTTTTTCTATTAAATTTGCAAACAGCGAACTTGACTGAGAAAAAAAGTAAAGAAAGAAAAAGGCTTAAATCCTATGGAAACCCGGCGAAGCCACCGGTCCTCAATCAATAGGGTGCCCTATTGTTTGAAGACCGGTTACTTCGCTACATTTCCATAGGAGTTAAGCTTTTTTCTTTTTTTACTTTTTCCTCAGGTAAGTTCGCTCTTTGAAAATTTTATAGAAAAAATGCAACACGCGTGGGCAACGCTGCACAAAATCGTAGCGCGATAGGCTAAGAAACCGAATTTCGCGGTCGACTTAAAGAGCCTGGCCGCTACTTGAGACATTTGGTAGTTGTTGTGGTATGCCAGGCTTACGCCAGTCCCGTTATGAAAACAAGCACCCGCACAGCACTTCCGTAGGTCTGTACCTGGGACAGTTCTTTGCTAAAAACTTCTTCGGTCAAGGACATCTTCCGCTATGGACCTCGGTGGACGCAAAACAACTTGCACCCATTAAAAAAAAAAAAAAAAAAAAACTGGCAAAGTTTAACGAGCTACTCAGTGTGTCAAACGCTCGCCGCAAACGTCGGCAGCCATGTTTGTTACCATTTAAAACCAAAACAGAAAGGATGATCTTTTGATATTTTTTAAAACAATAATTACTCTAGTTATATAGTTTGTTTCTCAAACAAAAAAAAAATAGACTAAGACTACCGCGGCACGGAAAAACAATTTCGCAATAAACATTCCGCATGTCAGTCTCCAACCAATGAGAGCGGGCTACCTCCATCTAAATTATGTCTAACAATGCAAATATTGCGGAAAAAAAGCACTACCTTTTCTAAGCAAAAATTGTGAAAAAAAAAATGTGTTCAAAATAGACCCATTTAAGAGTCTTGGAGAACATAATGGCGCTTCACGACAGGGACGAAGAGTAGGAATGAGACAACTCAATGCGTTAACTTCAACTGGTTTGATCGTCAGAAAATCGGTTAGCGCATTGTGTTGTCTCGTTCCCACTCTTTGTCCTTGTCGTGAAGCTCTATTATGTTCTCCAAGTTTCAGTACCAACTCGCCCAAGAATCCGCATTACTCAACTTCATTTAAGAGATGTTTTTACAGCGGAGCTGTTAAGGGCTAGGTTCCCCAGGATCGTGTCCGTGTATGTCGATACAAACCTACCTGGACAGCTACTGCCATCTATAAGCGACGACGGCAAGCACACAACCTGTATGGTTTCCGCCGTCGCTCGTTGATGGCGGCAAACTTTCCAGCTATAATAGAAGAATGGATAGTTGGGCGCGTTGGTGGGAATTCATTGTAGGAAACAGCGCGAAAAACAGACGACTAAGAAGAAGCACACAGTGTATCGAGTACAGCTCTGCTGGTCTTCCTTCACGAGAGTGGAAAAGCTGAACGTTTTTTTTTCTTTGTTTTATTTTAGTGTTTTTTTAAGCATTTTAGCAATTTTTGTATAAAGAAGCTCTGAAAGTGTGCATAAATGCAGTGACTGGGAATATTTTGTGAACATGAAAAGGGTCTAGATAGGGTGTTTTCCCAAATATACCTCGCGTCTCCGTAAAGGACACATGCAAAGAAAAAAAACTTTTTTTTTAAAACAGGCTAGATGGGAAAAGAATATTATAAAACAAATTTACAATGAAGAAGAGAAAAAATTTAGAGCTATATTTACGGCGCAAAATTAATTTGTAGTTGGCGCCTGCATGAGCCGCCGCTGGTCACGTGGTAGTCCTGTGCGCTGCATCGCCGCCGCCGCACACTGAGCGTTGTGCGACGCCACTTCAACGCGTTACTCCACGTCGCCGCCACCGCACAAGCTAGTCTGCTTCGGGGCGCCGCCGCCGTCGTCTGACCGGCGCACAGGTCTATCACGTCTGCTTGCGCTTTTTCAAGAGTTTCCTTTGGGCTCTAAAAGCTATTTATTAATCTTAATTTTTTGTTATACTTCAAACAAAGATGAATAAGTTACTTTTAGAGGCCATAGGAAGCTTCTGAAAGAGCGCAAGCACCACATGACAAATATCTACCAGTCACGTGATAGATAAGGGCCAGCTTTCTGCGGCACCCGCGGGCGCCAACTACAAATTAATATTGCGCCGTAAATATAGCTCTCAATTTTTTCTTCTTCGTTGTAAAATCGTTTTATGACATTCTTTTTCCATCTAAGCTGTTTAAGAAAAATGTTTTTTTTCTTTTGCAACCGAAAATCGAATTTCAGAAAACAGTGCAGAATCAATGAGCGGGGACGCTACAAATCCCAAAACGTCACTCATAAAGTGGTATCTCCAACAGATCGTCGTATTTTTGTAAAAGAAGAGCGCACTTGCACAAGGCCGACAAGATCTGTAATCTCACGATTCTCATTTCCTCCTCTTTTTGCTTTGACTCTGCGAGGGCGCGGAAAGGAAAGGGAGCGAGGCCATTTCTCCTTCTTCTCAACTCTTCTGTAATGAGATGACGTCAACATTCTCCCTCATTCGCTCCTTTATTTTCCAGAAATACGGCCAGCCACTCGAGATATGCCTATATGAGTGATGTTTCGTGGTTTATGGCGCCCTGTTGGAACACTTCTACAAGCTTATTTTGTGAAACCCGAATTTCGGTTCAGCATCCCTTTAAGAAGGCATTATTGTGAGGAAGTGGTACAAAGACATTTGAGCAAAATACAGAATGTGGTGCTGAGAGATATGAGAAGAATGCAAAAAGAACAAAATTTAAGGACTACAAGGTGGTTTTGCAGCAGCACGAACATAGAAAGCAATAGGATAAATTTTCTAAAGCATTATTTAACACATTTTTGAAGAGCGAGGTTGCTGATTTTGTGGCAAATATTTCTTCAGGCAGCGAGTTCCAGATGCTTGTTGTGCATGAAAAAAACATAGCATTTAAAGGCATCCTTTCTACATTTGTACTCTGGCACCTTTTTTGAGTGGTGGACCTCTGAAGGGCAGTAAAGATAATTAGGTTTGTAGAAACTTGTTCTATTTCTATCTCTAAGTGTTTGATGTTTCCCTTTGCTTAACAGTCTCGGGTATAATTCATTGTGGTTGTTGAACATTGAAAACCACTAAATAAGTCAGTTGGCAAGAAATTTGAAGCGTATGCTTTGTTTTTCTGGTTTCCAAACATAAATCCACCTTCAACGCCGCCCCCCCCCCCCCCCCCCCCCCCCTCCCCCCTTGGTTTATTAATTTCTTGTCATCCTCATTTTCGCTCCGCTATTTTGCGTGTGGCACAAACGCTAACTTTTGCTCGCCACCATGCTTCCCTTGTGCTCCGAGCCGTTATAAAATTGACTCATTTATTGGTTTTCAATGATGCCCAGCAAGTTCCTAATTAGAACTATGTTTACTTTACTAATTAAGAAATTAATTATGCAAAACTAATTAAATACTTGATTATTCAGTATGCTATGTACCTCACCAAATTGGCCCCTTGGCAGCACCAGTTCTTTTTTTGTGCAGCGAGTTTTTGGAGAAGTTTAGCCAATGTTTAGTGAAACACCAGGGGCCCTAAACTCGTCAAACACAAAGTTGGAGCCCAAAGTTCGAGAAGCGTGCTGATTGAACGTAGGCGAAAAAAGCGCCGAGTCATCGTCGTGATAGGCCAATCAGTGCGCTCCGTCAACTTCGGCCCCAACTTCGTGTTTGACGAGTTTAGAGGCCCAGGTTGTATATCGATAAAGCACTCAGTAGTGCTGAAGTTGTGACATATGCTTTCTGCGCAAATTTTTCTTTCAAGTTGCTTTCTTTGTGAAGCTTAAAATGACATCTTCACAATTCCAAATCTGGCTACTCCTACAGTTTTTCTAAGTATTTTTTTTTCTTAGTATAATAGGTGTGGTACAGTTGGCCTAGTGCTCTATAGAGGGCTTTCCATTCAATTTTTCTCCTTATATTTGGCCCTTATTAAGTTCTTGTCACTGTCAAAGGACATTAGGGACAACTACATTTTGTTTAATGGTGTTTTTGTTTTGCTTTCCAGTGGGCTCAGTATAGTGGCCATTATTTTTGTTCAGAGTTTTTAGGCAAATATTTTCGCATAAATTCAAGTATTTGAGAACTGGCAGAAACGAGCAGAATGGCAGTTTGTTCTAAGAATGCAGGAAACAGCTGACTTGGGCTGTTTAGTTGAACTCATTGCAAGTCTCTAGAGAAATTTAAAACTCGTGATGTTTATGTGTTGCACTCACCACCTGCTGTGCACCTGGCATTACCAGTACAATTTGTTCGTCGACTTTATCGCTTGATTTGCAGCATAAAGGATTGTCTGTTTATAGTATATTAAAACTTGATCAGTATGGCAGGGGATAAGGCCGTAGCATGCTAAGATCATAAGACTGAACTTGAAAATCCACTTTAGTGTTTCATTTTTCAAGCTTTTATTTCAAACTATATTTATTTTTGTCAACTGGTCGGCACTTTGCCTGTCTCACTACCCCAAAAATGAAGTGTCCACTGCTGCACCAGCACCAAGGAGGGGCGTGGGGCATGCGAAAAGGTTCCGAGCCTTGGTTCTCTTGTTTTCATGTGTCCTATTTTCTGCTCGGTACAGAGTGCAGGAAAGGTGCTTAAGATATTGTTTGACCTCTCCGGCGGCACTTTATGGCCCGGGCAGTTTATAGCCCTCCACCGTCAATTTTCTTTATCTGTTTTGGGACTTTCTCAGGCATTGAGTTACGACAGGTCTAATATCGCGGCATGGACCAAAGTCAGTTTTATTTTTTTGCCGAGTCGAGCGCGGTTGGGGTAATGATTGTGCTCCATATATATGGGCTTATGGGACCAATAAGCTCCGTCGTATTACCGCTTGGACGGCAATGTTTCGGGCTTTTATTTTTGGCTGATCTTCATAAAATCTGGTCAAAATAGCCTGAATCTTCCGGCATAATTGACCTTAGTAAGTTTGCCGACATGTTAAACATTATGCAAAGAGCTAGATACAAAAATGTATTTTATAAAATTTTTTTTGTCCAAGTGAGATATCTAGGATTAAAGGCATGGCCCTTGAATTTTGTGAACCTCTAATTTTCCCAGCCGATTTAAAATTGTTTGGTACTTATGGGAGCCTGGAATCGGGCCGACTGGTGCCAGTGCTTGAAGGTGGTTTGTCATGTCCGAGGTCATCTGAGGTCTGGCCATTGCAGGGCGAGCTGCATGCTACCTCAAGCTGGTGGTGGCTGTCAGTGCAGTCTTCTGCCTGTGCCAGGTGGTCTACCAAGTGGTGCTCATGTCGACTCAAAGCTACAGCAAGCCCGTGGAGAGGTGGGGTTGGCCCTGACAGGGCACATGCCATGCTGCGGCAGTCAGTCGCAGCCTCACTTAGTCAGCACAAACTGCAAAACTGTTCTAGCCATGAGAGAGGATTCTACCAATGGCAAGAGCTTTAGTCTTGCTTGATCTGCTTAAAATTCGAGCTTTAAAAGAACAAGATTATTGGAGCTACTGATATTAGTTACAATTTTGGTAACTGTGACTCGGTTAGATGTTGACAGAACACAAATTAGAATTTATGTATTTTAATGTCGGCGCTGTTTGTGTTGTCGTTTACTCAAACTGCCTCAAGCAGAGGCTGAATCAAGATGAAACTGCCAAATAACCTTTCTGCATGGAACCGTTTGTCAGTAATCGCAGCATACCTTGACATCATATGTGATAGTCTAGATGAGACTGGAATGCAATGTGGTGACTTTTGTGGGTGTCTGTAATTTATCAAAAATGAGTGATAAGCATGGGGGTCACGAAAAATTTGCGTTTCACGGTGTGAATTGCACGATAAACACGCGGGAGTTCGCTACTAACTCCCCTGTCACGGGAACGGATAACGCAGACTCGGCAGATTCGCGCTTCATGGTGGGATAAACACACGAGAACCCGCTACAAACACGGGTAGCACGGGAACCAATATTGTGCACGCAGATCGCCGACAAAAACGCAGGAACTCTCTACGAACTTGCATGTCATGGGAATGGATACCGCAGAGCAACGAGCTGGAGTTGAGCTAGTTGGTGCATGGTACTAGGATGGGGCCAGCTTGAACTTGAGAGAGAAAAATGTGAAAGTACAGAGATAAAAAGAGAGATTTCGGTGGACCACCAACTGTGGTTTAATACTTCTTCCTCTTTGTGTACCTTGACTACCTGCTTCTTTTTCTTCTTCATTCTAAGAGCTATAGATATGATTTAGTTTGAAATTACCCGCATTCCAGCGGGACGTGAAGCACCGCAGATATTGCCGGTGTTTTAAAAATCAGCCAACACAGATGGAAGGGAGTAGGCGAGAACTAAACAAAAAAATCGCAGTAGTAGGCTACATTCATGGCATAACCAACAATTTAAAAAAAGATAGCCGCGAGGCAGGACATTAAGCTTACCGGTTACCGCAGATCCAGTACCGCAGATCGTGCAGTTAATGAGATTCCTGTTGGACATCGCGTAATCAATATCCGACTGGAATCTAATTGGTCAATGGTTCTGAAATTTTGTTATCGAAATTCGGCCCAACAAGTGGAATGGACGGATCTCTTGGGGGCGGGGATTCATACAGGAGTTTGCATAGATATATTTTATAAATGTTTCTGTATTTATAACAAAAACTTCGTCTTTTAGCCCATCTTTTTTTTTTTTTTTTTTTTTCTCTCACATTAATTTTTGGTGTTGTACAAACAATTGGCATTTATGGGGGCTTATGTTGAAGAAAACAAGACTTGGGTTTTGGGGAAATGGGTTTTCCCAACTTCCAGGATACGTGTATGTGACCCGAATATTTAAAGAAATTGTGTTGAGTGGGGTCTGTTCCGGGGGACTGCAAAATGAAGAGGAAAACTTGTTTCCGTGAAGCTTGGGGCTTTTCATGTTCAAGCAGAGCTCAACTTCGGGGCTTTACAGTTTTCCCCGATTTTGGTAAAACTGACTCGAGGGTTTTACAGGGTTTATCGGATGTAGTGAAAAGACGGAACTCTACATGGTTACATTTTAACTCGGAACAACTTTTGCTGTAATTTAATTGCAAACTGTTGCAGCTCTGCTCTTGATTTATCGGTCTTTTCGGGAAAAAGTTAATTTTCTTGGGCGGCAACCATTACGCCAAATTGTGCGCGAGTAATGGGCAAGTCGTTGTATAATGAAGTTTGATTGAAGGGGGTGTTTCGGTATCGGTATGGCCAGACTATTTCAGACTAGATCTGAGCGCAGTGGACGCTACAATTGGGTGGATCTTTGTGCGTCTGCTATCGCGGGCTAAGCTAACGAGACACGGTGAATGTGCCATGGTGGGCTTTTCTCTGCGAGTGATATGCACGTTGGGTGCTGTTTGACCGGCTCCTCCGGATAGTTGCCTTGGCTGTGGACGACTGCTCCCAACCGGCCGAATGGGAGCCGAAGGTCGCATAGGGGCGACGAGACTGCAGCCGTTGGCTGACTGTTGGGGGTGTGCGTGTCAGGTGCCTTCTCCAGGAGCGGCTGCTGTCCCTGGCTGGCCTCAACCGTGCTGATGACATCCGGGCGCTGGAAGCTGTGCAGCTTCTCGGGTTCGACATGGCGGTGCTCTTTGCCAGTGCCATCACATTGATACTCTGCGACAAACTCGGTGAGTCCACTCTAGCAAGACAGTGTTTATTTTCTTCGAAAGCCACCTTGGCACTTGGCGACACTTTTTAGCCTTTTGCTCTACGAGTAAGTGCTAGTACCGCCTCGAGTGCTGCTGCGTGCATGCGCTGTACTACACGTTTTAATGACTCTGCAAGAAAGAAACGCCAGTGTTCTCCGCTCTGTCTGCTCGACGAGCTGGGGGCGTTTACCTAAGCGTGACCAGTAGACAAATTTCCATACCTCTCTCGGGCCAGGACAGCGAAGAGTTCTTGTTCCATCCCCTGCAGCTCTGGAAGAACACCGTGTGGTACCGCACCGTCGCCGCCGGGCCTTCCTGCAGCTCTTTGGCGAGTTTGTGGTGTTGGTGCTGATGGCAGCCGCTGGCGTGCTCCAAGCATCGCTCACCTCGCTGGCCTACTTCCTAGTCTTCCTCTGGGCCGCCACCTGGCTGGGCATGCACAAGCCCCTGACCAGCGGCTATCGCGCTGTGCGCACGGTGCTCCTGCTTTACAGTGCCCTCCACTTCATGGCACTGTACATCTACCAGCTGGACTACCTCCAGGAGTTGGTGCCTCCCTCCAGCCTGCAGGCCAGGTGCCTTTCTCCCTGCTCTACTCCGGCTGTGTTTAAGCTGACTCGGTCACAGTGACCATTGCTCGTCATTGCTGCCAGCCGGGAGCAAGTCTGCAAATTTTGTCATATTTTATGCGTTTTAGATTAAAACATACAAAAATAGTGCAAGAGTTTTTTTGTTGCACCTGATAGGGCACATTGTAAACCTTGATTTGTGAAAAGTAAAAAAAAAAAAAAGAAAAAAAACCCACTAAAGATGCTTTTTTTTATAAAATTGATTGTCAATTTATTGCAATGTGGTAGCCTGCCTACATTTGAGCGAAATTTTGAAAACTATGCACATTTTCTACTTTAATGAAAAGTGGTACCAATTTTGAACACAAGCAAAACAGTCTCTAGGATTTCTGAATATGGATTTACAAAGTCCTGGATTTGAACCAATTTGCATTTTTGTTTTGAGATTTTTATTACAAGTATAAAGTTTTGTTAACAGACATTGTATTGCAAGTGCAGTTTTTGCACACAATATATTAAGCCCACAGCAATAACAGTTTTATGTCATACGTTTCCGTAATGTCAATCTTGCGCATTTTGCAAAATGCGCTCTTGACTGACTGCAACTTTAAAATTTTTTTTTCCAATAAAAAAAAAAAAAAATTGAAGTTATTTTGGGGGCGCAAGCAGAAAGTATTTTTTTTTTTCATTGGAATTAAAAATTTTAATTGGACATGGTTGTTCTATCATCGATCTGAAAATGCCCAGTATGAATATTGCAATTGCGTGCTTGAGAGAAAAGCACACTTTTAAGGCAGAATGTGCGTGCGTGGTGTATTTGAAAAGAAACAAAAACAAAAAAAATGTTGATATCTGCATTGCAGTAAAATTGTCAAACTGAAAAGTAGGGCTATTATGCAAGAGTATTTATTAGGCAGAGATGTCCCAATAACCTGCGTATATCATTCATAATTTTTATTTTTTTTAAATTTGAGATTGAAGAAAAAGACATTTACATGCAGAAAAATGTAAATTCATTCATTTAGGTAAAGCTGGACATCTTTATAGGTTTAATTTAATGTCAAATCCGTAGTTTACTTGCCATCCCAAGGCATCGGACCTTCTGAGGTCGCTGTACAGAAATATAGTTTGATCAAAATTAGCTTCTAAATGGACGAGTGGAAGCTTGAGAACAACCTTCATGAGATTAGCTGGGTTTTCATTTATGCATGGTGCAACAGTAGTGAGAGGCTTGTATAGTCGATTAGAAAATATTCAGCCTAAACAACTAGGGTATTCGCTTCGAAGTTGCTTAAAAATCCACTATTCGCATATGACTAAAACGTTTATAATGCGATTGTTGCACAACGGGTCACTAGGTATCACGCTTTTTAATTTGTTCGTTGGATTAATTTTTATAGGAAAAAGGAACATACCTGTGCAGTGGCATAGCCAGGAAAGATTTTTTGGGGGTGTTGGCTCTGGAGCTGGGCGTGAAGAGTTGCGGGGGAGCAGAGGGTGCTGGATCCCGAAACCCGCCCTCTGCCTCTGCCACTCTACCTGTGGCAGTACTCTGTGAATTGCGAAAGAACCTTAGGACTTTGGCTTTTGCTTAGGTCAAACTGTCTACTTGCATAAAGCATGAAACAGGTAGTATTAGCTTTGAATTACATGTGCTAGTTTTTGTGAAGAAGGTTTCGGTGACACTCAAATTTCTTTTTGTTCCTCGACTACTTTTTTCCCCTGTGAGGGAACAATCTTGTGCGTACTAAACACGTAAAAGAATCTTTTGGCAGTAGGTCATTTGTTTAGTTGGTTGGGTTAGAAAAGAGCACTACTATGATGCCAGAGAGCTTTCACGGTAGTAAAATGGGAACAATTAGAGATACAAGCCCCGCATAGCCACTTGCAGCATTTTCTTGGAAAGCTGCAATAATGTCACAGTGCTGTAATCTCAAGAAAAACTATCCGGTTTGCCACCGTTTCGTTATCCTTTACTCGTAAAAGACGGTTCATACTCATATTTTTGGGGGTTTCTTGTTTTTTGTATGTATTTTATCTTGTGTTTGTTCTTGGGGTTTTTTCTACTGTACATTTCATTGCGGCGAGCAACTGTTCATGCTCCTGTTTGTTGCACTCTCAGCTGCTCTGTTTCAAGTGGACCTCGGACTGAAACTGTTGTTTCAGGCTCATTGGGCTGAGCCCCCTGCGAGTGCTTCCCTGCAATGCAACGGGCCCAACAATGCCGGACACGAGAGTGCTGATGTTTCGGCCGCTACACTGGACGCTGTATGTGAGCCCACTGACGGTGTTCTGCTTCTACGTTGTGGTGGCCACCGTCACCCGTTACCAGTTGCTGCAGCAGCCTGTGAGTGCTCTTCTCCCAAGTCTTGCAATGGTGACTTCTCTTGACAAACTCGCCCATCCGATGAGGAAAAAAATGACCCCATCTCCACGGGGTGAATGATGTTGATTGGGGCAAAGCTCTAGTTGTGCTGATGATACTGATTTTATTGTTCATAGGTAGTGCTGATGATGCTGATTTTTTTTGTTGCTCATAGGTAGTGCTGAGTTCCGGGTTGCGTTTCGACTTCATTATTACTGCTTTATGGTTGTTGAAATGCAGAGCTAGTGGTTCTTCTAGCGGATCAGCTTGGATCCGCTAGTAGCCGTGGGAACGCATCTCCACCGCTTATTGTAAAATACCGGGCAAGCGCCCACTCAAACTTTGGAGATAATCGCGAAAAAATGGGTATGGGCGCTTGTCCGGTCATGAATTTTACACATAAATGTACCATGCATATTTTCTCAGATCTTAAAAATTTGGTAATGGGCGCTTAATGTGGAATGGGCGGATCCGCGGCACTCTACGTTAAGTCAACGTTCCATGTCAGAGAATGTGGTATGGAACGTGGTTGTATATGCATTTGAGCATTTGACTGCAGCGCCCTCTCGTCTGTGAGCGTTGAGCCAATGCATGCAAAGTTTAACGCGATTATATATGCATTTGACTGCAGCGCCCTCTCCTGTATAGACTTTGAGCAGCTACATGCAACGTTTTATCCATGACAGGAACCCCAGCTCTTGAGTTACTGCCACATCTTGGAGCCCCCTACTCGTTCCGCAGTCGTGGCCGAGTGGTTAAGGCGATGGTCTAGAAATCCATTGGGGTCTCCCTGCACAGGTTCGAATCCTGTCAACTGCGCAAACATTTTTTCTTTTTATGTGAGCACGTACGCCGGACGGACGGACGGACAAGGCTAGACCCTAAGGAGCTTCGACCCTAAGAAATGGCCGCGTGGCTGGTGCTCAGTTTTGACAGCATTCGTCGTCACTTTTTTCTTGTTATTTGAAAAGAGCAGTGATGTCTTCTCTCTGCTTTTACTTTTGGTGTCTGGCAGATTTGGAAGTGTATCCAAGTCTGGCAGACATATTGTTATGAAAGGGGATCTTTTTCTTCATTCCCACCGGCTACTTGAGCTTGAACAATTTTCCTATGGGCGGGAAATTTTATCAGCAGCTTGGTGCTTTCATATTTGGATAAGTGCAGTTGGCAGAGACTGTAATCTTCAGTGCAAAAGAGTGTCCAAATGTGCAAATCTATGCTACAAATGTATGTCCATTGCTTCACTAATGCAGGCTCCTGAGTCGTCTGCTGTGTCTATGGCGGGTGGTGCCCCTTCACACAGTGGCAGGCTGGACTCCAAGCGTGGTTCCCAGCGTTCCACAGTTTCCTTTGCTCGGAGACATCGCAGAGACAGTGGGGTAACTGCGCCTGTGACCCTCTTACGGAAGGCATTTAGAGCCCTTTGTTACATTGTGGTAGAGTACCATCGAAACGGTCTACAAATCTCGTTCTCACAAGAAAATGGGTGCACAATTTTGAAAAAAGAGATATGTAGGTTTTTGCTGTTTGGTGCATTCTAGAGGAGGGTGTCTGCTGGAGCACGAGTGCAGTATCAGCAGACTCCAGCAGATTCTACCTTCTGTTACAGGTTCATGTTTTGTCTGCCACATAGATCTTACCTACTTTGAAAGCTCTGTGCCTTTGTTACTTGATGTCAAACCATGAACTTGAGAAAGGAGGTACAACCATTTATTTGGTAATGCACCGAATATTTGCAGCTTGGCTGAGAGGGCTGCTGTTTGATGCACTTGGTGGTGGAGATGAGGAAAACATTGATTTTATGTGCGGACGATGGGTGGTAGGTCTCTTGTATTTCAGGCTGTTTGAAGATTTTTCTTACTCAAACAGCCTGCAAAAACATTCTGCATCTATGGTGTTAATTATATCTTGTGTTTGGCTTTTTCAGTTTATTTTTTTTTTTTTTCAAATTCAGCATATTTTTAGAGACTTGATCTATAAACAAGTTTTTTAAAAATGTTTTAGTGTTTTTATGTTGACCGGTTTTTATAGTGGTAGCTGTTAGTGTCTCTTTGGGATGAAATCCAGTGAGATAAGTATGTAAAAACTATTTCACGGTGGGGAGAGCGAGATAGTAGTGCCGCCATATTTTCACTCTTGCCGTCGCTTCTCGCATTGCCCTCGTTCCTTCGTTTGATTTGGCGGACGACGGCGTTGCCCTCGCACAGCCAGATCAACTGCGGCAAGGCAGGATATTGGGCTGTTGCTCCCCCTCTCTCTCGGCCCCCTCTACTTTTAGGTGCTCGCTCGCTTCTCTCCTGCCCTCAGACATAACCGGGCCATGCAACATTTGCTCTCGGTGCAAGAAGCAGGAATGGCAAGTGCGCCACACTGAGCAGAGTAGACGTGTGCAGGGCCGTGGCGGCACGAAAACAGCACAAAGCCCCACCTATCATGCACATGAGGCACAGCGTTAAAAAAACATTTAAATTAAATTTTTTTTTTTTTTAAGGCAATAAATTAAATTGATTTTTTTTTTATACAAAAAAAAATAAATTTGCGCAATATTTATATTGTTAGACACAAGTTGGGTGGAGGTCATGACCCGCTCTAAGCCTCGCCCGCAGATAACTCGCCTCGCCCATTACTACTGGATTGGCTTGGCTGCTCGGCCGAATAAGCTAGCAAACCTAGTGTCTCCCTTTCGCGACATCTGGTGCGTCTAGCCTGGCGTCTGACACCGCCTGCCAGTTGTGCGAGCAGATGCGCGGCAGCCTCCGGCATCATCTGCTATTCCACCACCGTGTATTGTCATCTGCAATGCCCGAAAGACGCGGATATGAAAGCGGTGCGTCGGCGTTTTCGCCTTCATCCGTCTGCTATTCCGCCCTAGTCTAAAATCTTCAGCAACACTCGCAAGACGCGACCCTCTTAAGCGGCGTTCTAGTGTTCTATCATGTCCGAGTGACAGTCCAATACAAGCGACTGAGAGGATTAAAGAAAAAAAGACAAAATAAATACTGTAAACAACCTACTTTTCGCGAGTACCTAAATTTCGCGAGTCTCCTACAATTCTCGAAAAATAGGTCCTGCGAACAATTTCGGTAAAATGTAAACACGTTGGAATCTATATTGAGATCTTGAAAGTAAACATTTGGCAGAAATCTGCCTGGTTGGGTAAGAACAATTAGAAGAGGAGGAAGGAACGCCAACCAAAAATAAAAAGGAGCCCAACGTTTCGAAACCTGCTTGGTTTCTTCTTCAGGGGCGACTGTGTGCGCGAGGAGCAAGTGGTCTTCTTTTACGGCGGTGGACGTGATGTTTTCGCGATCGTAATGTGGCTGAGCCCGCTGACGTAAGCCGACGGTAAAGCGCCAAGCGACCGATTGATGTTTTGCGGTGTGGTTTGAATGTGCCATGACTCGACGAAGAGCCTTTGCCGGGAATTGGTCTCAATGTCGAGGATTTTTTAAATCCTCGACATTTTTAAGAAGTACCCTGACGCGCGGAGCCTTCATCTGCGGCTTCTGTGCAGGAATGGGTTTGCGCCCGGTTTCTACGGTCTTCCTAAGGTTCATAAGCCTAACGTCCCTCTCCGGCCGATCGTGGATTTCACAACCTCACCACTTCGGGGATTGTCGAACTACCTCCACAGCACTCTCTCTCCTCTCGTTGGAAACACAGCGACCTATGTGCGGAACACCGGGCACTTTGTGGAACAGGTTGCGCAACTAAAGGTAAACGATGACGAAAGCCTGGTGTCGTTCGACGTCGTCTCGCTCTTCACCAGCGTGCCGGTTCCCCTGGCAGTCGCCACAACCAGAGCTGCCCTCGAGGGAGACAAGAAGCTGAGCGAACGGACCAGCCTTACGGTGGACGAACTGTGCCGCCTGCTAGAGTTCTGCCTGGGGAGCACCTACTTCAGCTTTAAAGGAGAATTCTTCAAGCAGACCAGCGGAACCGCAATGGGCGCATCCATCTCCGTCACCACGGCCAACCTGACAATGGAAGCCATTGAACATCGCGCGCTGGAGTCTTTCACTGCACGCCCTAAAGTGTTTTTACGGTATGTCGACGATTGCTTCTGCATTATGAAGAAATCAGAAGTGAACAACTTTTTGGCACACCTCAACTCCATCGAGCCGGCCATCCAGTTCACCGTTGAAACTGAAAAGAACGACGCCCTGCCGTTTCTTGACGTGCTGGTCAAAAGACAAAAAGATCAATTGGAATTCACGGTGTACAGGAAACCGACACACACTGGGCGCTATCTCCGATTTGACTCAAACCACCCTGCGAGCCACAAGGCGTCGGTCGTCCGGACACTCCTGTCCCGAGCGAAGACTATTTGCTCGTCGGAGGACTACAGAAAAAAGGAAGAAGAAACCATCATCTCCGACCTGCTAAATAACGGCTACACACGCAGTTTTATTCAGCGAATCGCTCGTCGTCAACGTAAATCTGATCGACGCCTAAGACCAATCGGCGAAACACAAGAAATCGCACATCCCCGCTCAACCACGCGCATCTGCGTCCCTTACATAAAGGAAACCAGCGAAGCGCTCGCGCGTGTGCTGGCAAAAGAAGGCATCCAGATGTCCCACAAACCAGTGTCAACGCTTGGACACCTGATGCCCCGGCCAAAAGATCGTCCCCCAAAGGAAAGAGCGCAAGGCGTTATTTACCAGATTCCTTGTGCGGACTGCCCTGCCACATACATCGGCGAAACCAAAAACTTTAAAGAAAGACTTCGCCAGCACAAAACCGACGTGCGAAAATTCGATCATGAGCGCAGCGCGGTTGCGGAACACAGTGACTCGAATGACCACCGCATTGACTTTGACGACACACGTATCCTCGACATTGAGACCAATTCCCGGCAAAGGCTCTTCGTCGAGTCATGGCACATTCAAACCACACCGCAAAACATCAATCGGTCGCTTGGCGCTTTACCGTCGGCTTACGTCAGCGGGCTCAGCCACATTACGATCGCGAAAACATCACGTCCACCGCCGTAAAAGAAGACCACTTGCTCCTCGCGCACACAGTCGCCCCTGAAGAAGAAACCAAGCAGGTTTCGAAACGTTGGGCTCCTTTTTATATTGAGATCCCATCACGTCGCGAAAATTAAAACCCGCGAATTATTCCAGAACTTTAGCTCTGACCTAAATCGCGAAATATTGAGCCCTTGAAAAAAAAGTCGTTTACTGTATACAGTTCTTCCAACTTTTCTGTTTTTTTTTGTTTTTTTTTCGTGGAATCCACGAGCAAGTTGGGTGAGCGTCTTGACGCACAATTACAACACAACCTAATGATATTTGCTTTGGCAGGTGAGGTTCACTGCAGAACTTGAAAGCCACTTGCCTTTTGAAGCGACATGACGGGAACATACCTGGACAAACTTGATGCGAGCCGAACGCCCGATTGCTTCCAGCCAATTGGCTTGCGAATTCTTACCTGTTCAGATATCTTCTCGGTATTGAAACCATGATTCCCTTAAAGGCAGCGGGGCCGCCTTTACAAAAACCAACATGTTTATTCAGCATCAACGCACACAAACAAACAAATCTAGCAACATTGTTGACGTGGGATTTTAGGCATAGGACAGTCCCGCTACGAAAACGAGCACCTGCACAGTGCTTCCGAAGGCGCATACTTGCGACAGTTGTTTTCTGCAAACTTGGTTGACGATGCCTTCCTCTAAACACCTTGGTGAACACGAAACGACTCGCACTCATAAAAATGGGCAAGCTCAATGAGCTTCGCAATTTGGGAAAGTGCTGACTTCAAACGCCAGCAACCATGTTTGTTATCGTTTAGAACCAAAACGGAAAATAGTCTAGTGATATTTTTAAAAATAGTGACGACTGTCCATATGGATTGCTTCTCAAATAAAATGCCTTGAATAAAAACTACCGCGGCACGGAGAAACTATTTTGCAACAAACATTACACAGTTCATTCATCTCTCCAACCAATGAGAGTCGAGAAACGGAGTGTACGTTTTTGGGCGGGACCTAGGGCAGGCTCCACTTAAATTGTGTCTAACAACATAAATACTGTGCAAAATGTTTTGTTTGTGGAAAAAAAAATTAAAGAAAAATGTGTCCCAAATAAGCCCTTTGAAAATAATGTTTTTTATTTCAGTGTCCTACACCTGTGCTACTGCTAGAAGAGCTCTTAAAACAAATATCCTGAGGCACACCTTTCAATAACCCAACGGCTGCCAGTGTAGCATATCAAAAAAAGAAATATTTTCAGCTTGTCTTTTTGTGAGGACTGGGTGAATATTAGAAAGTTGTCTTGTTTATCATGGTGCTGTCATGGGGAGTTTGCAGCTGTCGTATACAAGGTAGGAAATCCTGAAACTATCTATAGGGTTTAAAATCCAACAAAATAAGTTCATAAACTAGCTTTTTTTTCTTTTGGCACAGTAGCGTGTGCAACATTAATTTAACGACGGAACAGTCAAATGTAGGCGCCAAAAGACAGTACCATGTTCCAAACCCCGCATACTTCATGCACATGGTAAACTGATTGAATGCTTCAATCTCGTCATTAGCCCCGATAGAAACTTTGAAAATGCCCTCATACAGTGTGTTCTCAAAGAAATGTAGAGTTTTTTTTCACGACAAAAGTAAACTACTCTATGCCGAACGCTCAGTCGTGGCCCGAATGTTGCACCAGTGGTCCAGAGCGCATGCCAAAGTTTTTGAAGGAACAGTGTTCTTATTCTGGAAATTAATGTTGATTTTGTGGAAATTTGGATGGAAAAATGGGTCCCGTTTCCGGCAGTTGATGCCATTCAGCTCCATACATTTGTGGGATTGGTTGGCCGCCATTTTATCATTTAAATTTTCTGGAATCACTGATTAACTTTTAACCCATTGCATAATCTATTATACATAGCTGTATTCTAAATCTGCAATTTGCACAAAAATAAATCAAACATTCCCTTGGCCCCCAGATGTTGTTTGTTGCTCTCTCTATTGATTCTTCGACACCCGATACATTCATTCAGTAGTTGCTACTGTGTCGTACTGTTGGAAACATTCAGGAAGGTGGAGAGCAACAAATATAGCATCTGGAGTGAATATTCGATCTAATATTTGTGCGAACTGCCGAATGTCGTCAGATTGGTGGCAAGACTCGTGACCGGAAAAGATAGTGCAGTCGTCCCTTTCAAGTAAAACTTTGTTCATTTCTTTATCAGCTAATGTGACGCTCCACGTTGAGGTAATGTCGGCTTTCTCACTCTCTGTCGAGACCAACCGAATAGTCTGAAGGAGATGGAGCAATAGTGGTATGCCGTGCACAAAACAAGCTTCGAAACCGTAACCCAAGCGAGGTTCGTGTTCGGGCTTCCTGTTCTTTAATGGACAGCACGAATAACACTTGGTGATTAGTATAGCCAAGGGGTTAAATAAGATAGTGGTTAATTCAGAAACTTTGGTATCGGTTTCGAACCACTAGTGTTACATGTGGGTGGAGACTGATCATTCGGCAATGCACAGTTTAATTTGTTTGATGATGAAGACACTGTAAATTATTTCTCAGGAATATGACCTTTTTGACAATAAAAAAAACGTCTAAACTTGATCTCGAAGGTCCCAAAGGAGAACAAAAATATAATCCCCAAAAGTATGCCTGTTGTTGAACCCCGCCGTGGGCATAAGACGGGGCAGTCCCGGAGATACATAACTCGACACACAAGTGCGTCGCAAGGTTGCACAGAAATGGCCCCCCTCCCCCCAAAACGCCCATCAGCTGTGCCATACTGCTCTAAAATACTGACATTTTCATATTCTGAAAAATAAATTCGGCATATGTTCGTCGGTTTATGTCGACAACACCAAATTACCCACCTTCTTCCCGACAGCCGGGCATCTAAACTTAAAAGATGTCTTTGAAAAAAAACCTCAATCAAATTGGTAATGCAGTTTTAGTGCAGGCTTGTGTGTGTTGCCAATAATGCATGCGAAACTGCATGCATGCATGGCCGACCCGATTTAGGCTTGATGCCCCAATGGAGTGGAATGATGATTGAATGCTGCTCTTCATATGGACACTGATGCACTAGTATAGCGATTTTCGAGACTCGGTTTCTACCTTGCATGAGCGTTGACCCCAAGTTTTATGCCGTGCTGCTAATACTTTCCGAAAGGCTGTTCAGAGTTCCTGGATGGAATGTATCTTACAGTATTTGTATCGTCCTGTTCATTCTGCCTATGCATACCTGTTTTATGTCCCCTTTTCTTTGGGCATTACTACTTGCTGCTAAGGAATGGATTACGACTGTGCAAAATGCACATGCCTCTACATTCTTACCGTCACCCTTTTCTACGAGAAATTTAAAAATGGAACTGCTTTTTCCGTTTCACGATTCTCCTCTCTTGGAACTTATTGCGATTAGTATTCAACTTTTATTGTGCATTTGAATTGCTTCACCAAATAGTATACTAGTCTTTTTTTAGGACCGGGAAAGTCTTGCCTTCGGAAAGTCAGACTTGGGCTATAGTATCTGGTTTGCCAGGGCCGTGCAAACTCTTACTGGTTTTGAAAATCTCATTATTGTCAACAGTATCCTTAAAGGGACCATGAAATGATATCGTATGGAATATCACTAAGAGCATATCGTGTAGTGTAGTGGGACATTCGGCGAACTAGAATATGAGGGCAAGGAGCCAGAATAGTGATTTTCACTGTGGCATTTTTAACTTTATTGGGATTCACTTAGTTCCGAATGCTGTCAGTAGCGTTGCAGCTGAATGTCTCACGAATCGGACAGCAAAATCCATCGCCGGTTTGCTTGCACAGAGTAAGAATTGGTCTGTCGACGAATATTCGGGTTTGCGTACGTGCTCAATTAACCTTTTGTGGTCGTGCAACTTTTCGCCTTGTTGGGCCCCCGGGTCAGAATTATTTTACACTAAAAACAATACAATTACTTAGTGGCCGTAAAATTAAATTCATTATCAAAGTGTCTGTGAAACCGTATTAAGGTGGCGATGCAAGCGAGTTGGTTTATGACTTGGGAAATTGGAAACAGCGCGCAAAAAGACGAAGACAACGAGAGAAGAGCACAGGACAAGCGCTTGTCCTGTGCTCTTCTCTCGTTGTCTTCGTCTTTTTGTGCGCTGTTTCCAATTTCCTAAATGTCTGTGAAACACGTGTTGGGTTCTTGGATTGTACAACGAGGAGTTTCAGAAGCTTGTTCTGCACCCATGTGGGTGTCAGCTGTGACAAATGGCAATGTCCATAAGGCTCATTTACAGAACTGTTACAATCATTCGGTTCATCACAGACTTTCAAAGCTCTCTTCAGGGTTGTCCTCTCGCTAAGCCACCTTCACTTTTACTTGAATTGCTAAAATATTTTCTGTCAAAAGCAAATAGAGCAAAAAGCTGCCATGATAAACAATGTGAGAATGTGCCAGGGAAACTTGGCTCGTCCAGAGGAAAAGAGTAGAAAAAGTCAGTTTCTAATGTAAAGCTAAAAAATTAACGGCATCATGCTTACGCTCCTGATGAGAGATGGTACAAGTTTAAATTGTCAAGGTGTACGCGACAATTGGTCGCAAAGCATAAATGAGACTGGGGGGGGGGGGGGGGGGGGGGGGGGTCGGGGCGGGGCAGGGCGGGGCGGGGCGGGGCGGCCTGATCGCAACATGAATATTCCTTTGTTAAGTGGCATCCGACACATGACCTCAAAGGGTTAATGCGTGACAGAAATTGCCGAACAACAATGTCGGGAGCACAGCATGTGCACTAAGCATCATCAAACCAGGCATGAGCCAGGAAAACACTAGACATGTTTTTCTGTTCACGAGTTAAGGAAAAAGCGCTGCTTGATTTTCTGCTGTGCATTCTGTAACAGGAAGTGCGTGGAACTAAAGATGGATGCGTGTCTTAAATACTGTGAACATTGGTGATCATGTCTAAGCGGTAGTATTTACTACAAAAATTGAGAAAACACATTTAATGATCCATTTAAAATATTCAAGAAAAATTATGCATGAAATGAAGAGAATATATGCTTGATTATTTTTTTGCAACAGTTTGAAAACCATGGCTGCAATATTGCTCTTGCTGAGATGTGCAGAGTCGATCCAAATAGCCCTAGGGTAAGCCAGAGTCTCAACCCTGATTTGTTGAGGGATGTTTGTCGCTTATGTCGAGTTCTTTCGCTTCATTTTAGCACTAGTAGTAAAATTATGCTCTATACAAACAAGTCCCGAAGGTACCATGTGTTATGGTGCAGTATTAGAAATGCCTATGTCACTTCACTGTGCCAAAGAATTCTGCTTGCTATTGCATCCTGGTTTTTCTTTGTGCCTTTGTGATACACTATACGAACCTAGTGCTTGCCAGGCTACGAGAAATAAAATTGGGAGGGCCTCTGGAGTCTGGGTTTGCACGACCCTGGTTTAGGCAGGGCCACCAAGCAGTCATTTGATCCATGGTCGACTCTTAAAATAATTGTTTTGGTCATCGGGAGTTACCGCCAGGTCCAGAAGGGCATTGGGGCTGCCAGCTGTTTATTCTTAGGCTTTACAGGTGTAGCCCTGAAAGCTGTGGTCTCTGCGGATGAGCTATATGGCCAGGAGGACACGATATAGGGGGCTAATTGTCACAATACGTCGGATAACTAACCACCATTTGCTAATTAACTCCTTCATTAGTAAAAATAAGCATGGTTCTTGTTAGAAACTTGCTGGGCATCATTGAAAACCACCAAACGAGCAAATATTAAAAATATTTGGGGCACGTGAAAAACACACTCCAGTTACTGCGGGGGCAAGGCTGGATGTGTGAAAATGCACATTAAAAAAAAAGGAAGAACCATGTGGGCACGCCGCCGGCCCTGCGCACTTTGCACTAGTAGTAAATTGAGCAGACCATCGCGCTTCTCACACACGGCACCAAGTCCTTCTAAAGTTTTCTGGTTTTCAATGATGCTCAGCGAGTTTCTAATTGAACCATGTGTTTACCTTTACTAATTAAAGCCCCCCTGGCCGTAAAACTTGTCTGCATAGGTCGCATCAGTGTAGCTTTTGCAGCTTTTTAAAAAGAAAAAACAGTTTGTAAAGCCGCCCCCGTACATCTGTATTTGAACCACTGAGCTGCCCGGTTGACTGGCCGAGTTCCGACAAACGTGCTGTTCTGGCTCGATGATTGCTTGGGATTCCTCCCGAGACTCCCTGCCTTTCTCCCGTGTTTATGGGCTCTTCCAGGTTCTGCCTTTAACGTGAGTTTCCTTTCTTTTCTTCCCTCCTTTCCCTGGGGCACGCCGTATCTTTTGCGTTGATGTGCTCGGTAGGCCGAAGTAGACGAAGACGCCAACCAGAAGGCTCCAGTACGTAAACTAATCTGGGTTGTTGGCTTTTTTGTTTGAGAATTTTTCTGTTTGAAGGACTTCCTGCATGAGATTGCATAGTAATATTTGTGACTTAATTAAGGCACTGGTCTTGGCATCTCTCGTAAGCAGAGAAAAAAAATAAAGAAGACAACTTAAAAAGCATGTGAATGGCTTTTATGGAAGACAAGCTTGCATTGTCAGGCTTAAAAGGGATGACATAAAGGCATGTCATGGCATTGGAGTTTTTTTTTTTTTTTTTGGAGGGAAACAATAGTGATGATGCTTCTAAGGCTGCTTTTAATTTGGGGACATCTGTCTCTTGGTGGCGAACTTTGTCACTGTTTGGTTGGGAGCTCGAAGAAATTAGAGTTGAGACAATAGTCACCCATGTTGGAGGTCCTTCCATGGGAACTGCTGCTCAAACTTGAATCACAGCTGCACTGCTGCATGCTTTTGCTACATTGCACTGTTCTTTTGCCTTGTCAATGGCCTGCACCTGCCTGACTGTGGATGCAACGCATGCTTCCCTTGTGGCATTTCTTGACGGGACCCAGCTAACATGTAGACAACATAATGTCTGTGACAAAAGATGGCCTCGAAGTTGGGCATTTACTTGAATGATTAAGAGGGTCCTTCAAAGTGGCTCCAAGTTTATTTTTGTCTCTTAACTTTTCATGAGAAGATTTTATGTGGGCGCTTCGAGGCTGATATACCAAATTATTTTCAGCCCAGCTGTAGATCCCTCCTAGTTGTGTTCCTTTCCACACTCCCCTCCTCCCCCCCATGCCACGAGTTTGGAAGGTAATTTCCATGGAAGGGGAAAAGGTATTTTTTCCGCAACATAGACCCAGAGTCAACCACAAACCTTTTCTCTAGTTGTGCAATGGTCTTTAGCAGGCCTTGTTGTTGCTTGCATTTGTGAGCTTGTACTTTGAACTCTGTGGATAAAACTTCACTGCGAGAATAGTGATAATATTGGGAGGCTTGACTTGCAGCTTCTGGTGAGCAGTGAAATGACTGCTCCTGGCTGACAGTCACGGGAAGAGTGTAGTCAGATGTTAGGTCTGGTGTTCAGATGTCCAGACTGTTTTATTGAGGGCTTTAAAAAGAAAAACCAAAAGTAGCGTGGTTGAGAAAAAAATGATACAAGCTTGATCGTGCTGACAGCCTGGCAAGCACAGATTGTGTGCTTTCCAGGGAAGAAGAGAAGGGCGTCTGAACAGCACCGCCTACCCACGGTTTCCTCTTGTATATAACATGCCCCGAGATGGCACAGCATGACAAGAAATGCCGTGAAGCACTAAAGATTTCGCTCTTGCGTGCTCCGACCACCGACCCCGGATAGCTCAAAGGGGCTTATCAAGTTTCTCATTAGAAGCTTATGTTTACTTTCACTAATTAAAAATTGCAAACGACCACACAGTGTGCTGCGATTGACGGCGCTAACTGCTGCATTGTGGAAAGGCGTATTGAAGGAGATTTGCCTTTAGCCAGTGTGCTGTACAATGTTTGCCATGGGTTCTTTGCTTTCAGTGGAATTGGTGTAGGAGGCGTGTGCGAGGAGGTGTGTGATTTGGTGGAACGATTGTGCGAGATGTCGCGTGTGTTGGAGTACACAGACTTGCTTCTTTTTTAGCTGAAACATTTTTTTTTAGATTGGGGGCACCCGTGTTTGTGCCTGCGGTGGAAGAAGGGAAAGTATGTATATGAGCTGTTCTTTAGAGGCACAGAGAGCACGCGAGAATGGAACCTGTGCGGCAGCAGTAGGGTGGCAAGGGAGCGGGTGGGTATTTGGCAATGGCGGCTGCCGAAGGGGTGGGGGAAGGGAGAGCGTCGCCGGACGGGGATGTAGCAAGCACGATGGGGAGGCGGAGAGTGCACTCTTCGTGATCACATGGAGAGCTGGAGAACAGCGGTGGCCTGCAGAGGGGAACGACGGGGAGAGCAGTGGTCTAGAGTGAGTTTCGAGTTGATACACCAGCATTTTTTTGCTGGGGCACTAACAGCTACCGCTCTAAAAGTTAAGTAGTAAATATGAGTTAATCTTGCAATTCCTGACGTCCGCCGTGGCTGGCAGTTTGCTCCCGGAAAGAGTCTTTTTTTCTCAACCACCCTATTTTTAGGGATTTTTGAAAGCCTTTGCTGAAGCACCCGGTATTGGGATGAGTATGCAGAAAGTTTTAACTATTCATTTAGTTTTCTTAAGTTTAAAAAAAAAAAAAAAATTGACTTGGGCCACTCTTTTAGAAGCATATGCCCTTTGATATAGCTGTCATGAAGCAGTGCTGAAATATAAGGTGAATATTGATTTGCTACCAGCCATGCTTAATGTGGATTATTGTCTTTCTTGCCAAAATGTCTTGACTACAACCTTTTAGGCTCATTGCAACATAATGCAAAGTGCGGTCGTTCGTGGATCGGACAAAGATAATGCTGCTCATATTTTCAAAACGGGGTTGTAAAGATTCAGTAACCCTATGTGAGTGCCAGTCTCTCGCCTGTAAGCAAAAGTGCCAAGCTCCCAAGGTGTTGAAATCTTTTTTGTATGTCCTTTCTTGTCAGTCTCAGCTTGGATTATTGTAAACAATTTTAGGGCTATAGGCTGAATCAGGAATGCCTGGTGTTTGGGAGAGAAGAATTGCACATTTTTCTAGCTGAAAAAGTAAACTGCATAGACAAGCGTTCAGTCTCTGCCCAGATGTAGCACTAGTGGTTGCGGCCAGTTGCCCAAGTTTCAGCGCATACTGTTTTCTGATTCGGAAGTTGGAGCTCGCAGACATATGGAGTTAAACGGTGTCTGCTACCAGAATGGGCCCTAGTTTCTCGTTGAAAATTTCCCAACAATGCTTCTAATTTTTGAATCGGCAAAGGGTAAGAGCCGAAACGTGAGCGTCTGGTCACAACTGCTAGCGTGCATTTTATTTGGGCAGAGACTGAGCATTTGACAGTGCATAGCTCATTTCTGCAGCAAGAAAAACATTTCAAACGCCCGGTAAACTATTCATCTCTCAATTTCCAGAATATTTGGCATGAATGGAACTTGTGATCCGGAATAAGTGGCCCATGGATCCACGCTGGTTCATAACCTTGGAATGATGTGTCTGCATGTGAAATGTTTAGAATGGAGAGGTGGGCTAGTTGGTGCATTGCTACGAAAATAAAAGTGCCAGAGAATGGGACAAGGAAGGTGAGACAAACAAAGAGCTATCAGCAAAAAGAATTTGAGTACATCACCGAGTAGAAGGTATATATTTCTCCGTTTTCCTGCATTAAAGATGAATTTCTCTCCTTGGTCCCAGTCTCTGGTGCTTTTCTTCTCGTTGAAGTGCTTAGCTCCACAAAAGTTCACTGCAAGAGGTAACTCGTTTGGAGTGTACTATACATACAGGGGAAAATATGGAAAGCACAAAGAACAATGCCTTACTTTTGTGGTTACCACGACACCATTTGCAGCTGTTGGACAATGATCATGTGGGCCGCTCGTACCAGAGCATGGCACCAAAAGAAAGCTCGGAGCCAATGAGCAGCGGCGGCGGGTCTTCTCAAGACGTCGGACACGTGACTTGTGTGGGGGGTCACGTGGCTGGTGCCATGGCTGCAGAGGACGACACCATGGCTGGCAGTGCACCTGAGCGGGGCCCCAGCGGCCGCCATGTTGCATTCATGCTTGGACTCCAGGCAAGGCCAATGCTTTTGCGTAATTGCAAGCAGTAAACTTTAGCAGCACTGAATTTGATCATAGATCACAACGTGATCCTTTTTTTTTATGCAAAAGTCCAGATAATGGTTTTCATAGTGAAATTGACCGTAAGCGATAGCAGCTTTTGTGTTCTAGGATGTTTAGAGTGCTTAGATTATCACTATAAAAAGACAAACATAAAAACCCTTTTAGTTCCCCTTTGACGTTATGTTGGACACATTCCATCATAAGAACAGACAGATTGAACAACATTGAGGCTTTGAAGCTGACCAAGATTTTGTCAAGTGTTCTGTGTACTTTTGGCTTGGTGTAGCTAATACATTTACTCACAAATGTTAATTGTGTCTTATATTACATTATGTGTAGGGTGACCACCCGTCCCGCAACTCGCGGGACTGTCCCGCATTGAGGGCTCGTGTCCCGCGAGAAATTCGAAAATCATCAAAATGTCCCGCCTTTCACACTGTCGTAAAATTCACTCCGCAACTCATGGTGCTGCCAAACAAAGGGGCACGGGAAAGTGCGGAGGTCGCATGGTAATCGTGTGAATCGCAATGATATGTTATTTTCTATCCAAGCATTGCGGGAAGCGACCTTCGTTCTTGCAGGATATTCGACGCGCATGCGTGGTTGTGCCTCTCCCTTTGGTGGCAAATATCGTAAGAAAAATTGCTCGCCAAAAGTTTAAATATGAAATATTGCAATAATTTTCAAATTGCTACGTCAATGCGAAAAGGTTGCTGTAGATATTTTTTTTTAGTGAAGGCAGCCGCATTTGCATCGGTCGGAAAAAAACAATGCTAAAACATTGTGTATGACCATGTTGATAAAAGTAAGCGTTGGCAGGAAACAAGAATTCGAATAAGATTTCCTGTTTCTTATTGCCATTTCATGCATTGAGTTCTAAGATCGTTGATTTTTATGTTTTCAACTTCGACACAATAAATAACATGTTTGGCATTAAAACAAATATATCAGTGGGAGTGGAAATTATTTGAGTTTAACTGCTGCAATACAATTATCAGGTGTATAAACCGTGCAGGGTAATAAATGCCTTAACAGAGCTTAGGTTCGTTGTGTGCGTGTTAATATATTTCCTCTAACCCCCCCCCCCTTGCCCCGCGTGTCCCGCATTTCGCTAGGAGGGAGGTGGTCACCCTAGTTATGTGCATCCAGTGCTTTGTTACTCGCTTTGTTTTTGTTGTGGCAATATTATTGTATCCTCTCTCACACAATATTCTGTCAGAGTCTCTTAAAGGGGCACTCAAGTGGATTCTGAGATTGTCTATTTGTTGTCATAACTCAGTTTATGGGCTCTAAGCATCCTAAAAAACCCGAAATTACATTCAAAGGCGGCCAATTTCCCTATTAAAAATCCAATCGAAGATTGTGTCACGTCCCCCTTCCTGCGGTGAACTAAATTTTCGAATATGTGCGCCTTCAAAAAATTAGTCCTCCGGGAAGCCGTCACTTGTGATAGACTGTTGCGTGCCCTCCCCTGCTGCCTTCCCGTCCGGTGGCGCCACCTGGTGTTCTGCGCCACAGCGCAGAAAAACAATTTTTGATTAGATTTTTAATAGAGAAATCGGTTGCCCTTGGATGTAATTGCAAGTTTTTTAGCATGCTTAGAGCCCATAGATTAAGTTATGATACAGTCGAATCTCGTTAATTCGAACTCGAGCCGAAGCCGAAAAAACATCGGCTTTACTCCGCTCTTTTAGGATCGGGGAAACTAGGTGCCGTGTCTAGGCTTTTCGCGTGGTTTCATAGCTGGGAGCTGGCTCCACTTGGAGAAAGGATTTAAGGTGCCGTTTTCGCGCTTCAAACTGATGACATTGGCTCGCTCCATGAGACAGTTGATGCTTTCGCATTAATAAGTGAACATCTCGAAGGGCAATTTTCATCTTGTGAATGAAAAGGACTGTTTGAATGAAGATGCCATTCAAATTCATATTATCTCCTTAAAAATTATTTATAGGCAAACACAATGGCATAAAAAATTGAAACCTTTAAGTGACTTCTGAGAGGCAAATTCCAATGTGACTTGTTTGTGCTGCAGGGTTGCCGTCTGATAACGCGAGGCAGCTACGTGGTGACACTGATCATGATGATGGCTTGGAGCATCACCTACCACTCGTGGCTGACTTTCATTCTGCTGCTGTGGTCGTGCGTGCTCTGGATGGTGCCCAGGTCAGTGTCCGCATTCACTGGGAGCGCAGGAACCTGGATTGGGGGGCACGTCCCTGCTATGTCTGCAAAATATTATCTGTACTCTCTTGGAAATATTTGCCAAAGCAAGGTACTGTGAGCAACCTAGGTATTATGAGAACACAACTTTTGTAAAATTTTGCAAATGGAGGGCAGTATTATAGACCAGGGGTTCTCAAACTGGGTTCCGGGGAACACAGGGGCTCCACGAGCTGGTCTCATGGGTTTCACAAACACCCAAATTGCAACCCCCATCCCCCCCCCCCCATGCCGCAGGCTGCGCGGCAGGACCATGCAAAGCACCTTCATCTCACTTTGTACTGACATTGCAATTGATATGGTGGGGATATATGGGAAGCAACACAAGCAAAATTGCCTACAATTATGCATCTGTCGCTTCTCGGTTGGCAAATATGGAGGGGGGGGGGGGGGGGGGGCAGTTTAGAAGCTTCCTGGGGTTCCGCGAAGCCAAAAAGTTTGAGAACCCCTGCTATAGACCTTTGCAAAAATTGCCTTTTGTGCTGCCATCTTTGTCTGCTGGGCTGTGGAACGCCTTGTGAGCATGCGCTGTTTGTCTGCTGTGCAGTAGATCAGACCCTGCGCATGAGTCCACAGCTCAGTGATTCAGCTTTTTTCACTCGAATGATAAGCGATGATAAGGTTTATACTACAGTAAAACCTGTTTAGAACGAACCCACGTACAGCGAATTATCGTCGATATCAAACTCACAAAAAATTTAAATAAAAATGCATGTAAAAAGTACCTTTTATAATGAACAACACATTGGCTATATCAAACTTTATTCTCCCGGAAAGGCTTTCAAAACTCGCTAACGATCGTCTTCTAGCCTGTCCCTTCCCCCCCCCCCCCCCCCCCCAAAATAAAAGAAGTAGGAAAGAAAGAAAATTCCAAAAACTCGAGTTGCAAACAAAATTGAGCGAAGAGAAGTGATTCAGAAGGGGAGAGAATGCTAAAAAATACACTTTGCATGCACGCACAGAAAAAAAAAATCTTCATAAAGCGTTTGCTTACGAAGAGAAGCAATTCTGAAGGGAAGATAAAAAAAACAAAAAAAAACTGCACGCATGCAAAAAAAAAAAAGCTTTCTAGCACGTTTTTACAAGGTGGAAGTGAAGAGATGGAGAAAGAACGAGAAGCTCCCGCGGCCCGCCTTACAACGAACGCATCGTGGAAGTTCGTTGTAAATGGTTTTTGCTATATCAAATTACTTGTTATATCGAACTGATCTTAGTGTTTCGTGCTGTTCGTTATAAACGGGTTTGACTTTATACCTGTGAAATATTGAGAAACTTCCTCATTGGTTGGATTTACAAAATATTGATCCTACTATGTTCTAGATGGTTACATTTATTTACTCTAAAATACTGGGGGAGCACCCAGCCCACTTTCACTGAAAACTGGGTTAATCTAGGCATGGGTGCTTAATGTATAATTTGCAGAATTCCCAAGCTTGGAAAATGTTTATAGTGGGCGCTTGTCCGAAGTTCGCTCTTCCGCGATATTATATGGCATTTATGTATTTATTTGCAAATACTTCATTCTCCAGTCGGAAGACTTGGTGGAATTAGAAAGAAGAAAAAAACAATTTCAAGGTAAACACAAACTTAGCTTTAGTAGTTCTTCAGTAGGATCCGAGGGGGATAGGGCTTCTCTTTCATCTTTTGTTGCGATTAGATTTGCAATGGCAGTTACTAGAATGGCAGCCACTACAATGGCAGTTACTTGGTGGCAGCTGCTTAACTTCCCTACCAACATAAATTAGTGCTCCTTGAACTGTGCTCGTAGACAGCGATCTTGAATCGAGGTCTGACCCCTCCGGCGGGCCCCTAGCTCGCGGCTGGCTTGTCTGCGGTCATCGCCGGCACTGGTGGCATATGCGGAGCTGCTGCTGCTCCTGCAATACCTGTACAGCCTGGCCCTGACGGATGAGGAACTGCCGCAGAACCTGAGTACGGTCAACCTGGCTCAGGTGGGGTTGATCAAGTACCACGAGAACTCCTACCAGCCCCTGGCAGTCAAGGTGGGCCCATTGTCTCTTGGTTCTTCGATTGGCGAGCATTGATTTCTTTCCCGACTAAACTTGGCAGATAGACTCCGTCAGTCTTTTAGTGTAACATGCAGCTGGCCTTAGGTTGCACTAGTATGTTACTGGTGTCGTTAAAATTAAAACCTGCTGGTTTTATGTTTCTGGTTGGGCCTTACAAACAAGTGCTGTATTCTTTCCTGGCACAGATTCTGTTTACTGTGATGTTCTGGATTACACTACGCCAGTACATCGAACACAAGACTGCACCTCCGGAAGCTGGCATTGGTAAGTTTAAACTCTAAGGAAACGTAATAAGCGATGAGAGCTGGCATTGTAGGTGCATTTGCATTCAGATAAAAAAGAAAACGGGACAAATTACTTATTTCTCGTGGTCTAGTATCCGAAGAAGGCGTTTATCTTACTTTTTATACCATATTTTGGTTGGTTTTCTTGTAGTACTCAATTTCATCCCACAGATTTACCGCTGTGGTATCTGACAGATGCATTCATCACAAAATGTGGCAGATTTCGACAATCTTTCTGTACAGTGGCAATGAATAATTGTATTCCATATCTAGCCTGCATTGCAACTTTAGTTAAGTATATATCTTCTACAGCGGGCTCTTTTACGTGCTAACTAGTCATGAACCAACTCGCCCGCATGGCCACTTTATTCCATAGCGGTTGGCTTTGCTGGGCCAGCTGGTTGCGCAGAAATGGGGTCTGCCGCGTGTGACTGGGTGGGGGCGGTGTGCAGAGCTGCGCCGGCAGATGAGCACAGCCACCAGCAGCCTGGGCATGGGGACCCAGCTGCGTGTGCGCCATTTGGGGCGCCTGATCAGCGAGTGGCTGACGCACTACTGGATCTGGGTGGTGGCCATCATGCTTATGGTGATCTCACTGGGAGGCACGGACGTGGTGCTCTACCGCATCGCCTACATGCTGCTCTTCCTCTTCTTCATCCTCGTGTTTCAGGCAAGTGGCAGGCGTTCCTCGGAAGCGACCAACATGTCCGGTTGGCCGGAGGGACTGGGAGACTCGCGCTCAGCAGCAGTAGCTATCTGTTACTGGACTTTCTCACATTCCTCTTGTGTTTCCAGATTTCGTACCAGCTGTGGATCAAAGTAATGTATGGCTTCTGGCTGACGGTCATCATCTACTCAATGTTGGTGCTGATCCTCATCTACACGTACCAGTTTGAGAAATTCCCAGAGTACTGGAGCACCTACCTGCACATTCCACAAGACATGTGAGTACTTTTGTCTCGAAATGTGCCGGGCATTTGTTCCTTGGTCCTTGTCCAACATAAAAGGCCCCATCTTCTGTGCCTTGTAGAGTTGCTCTGAGATTTACTTTTACTCGAACCACATGCAGCAGAGCGTGTTCAAGGTTTGCACTGTTCTCTGCTTGCAGTCAAAAGGACATTGGTCTGGAGGTATACCAGTCGGACCCTGGCACACTGTTTCTGAAGCTTCTGACACCAACATTCTTCCTCATTATAACCATCATTCAGCTGCATTACTTTCACAAGGAGTTCATCACTCTCAATGAAGACAACTACCGGTGAGGAGGCGTCCAAGCTTGTCCAACCAGTCGGTGTTTGAGGAGGACTCTCTTTAATCTAGCTGCATATGGTGGATACACTTTGTTCATCTGCAATGTCACGAGAATCTGAAATGGAGCTAAATCGAGCAGTTTTTTTTTATCTATTGATGAACTTTTTTTGTTAATGCTGTATTGGTATCTACCTGTCTGGCACTCTGACAGCGAAGCATTTGAAAGTGATTGATCACTTTCAAAGACTAAATTACACTTCCACCCGAATTGGAGCTCATCTTGCCCCCCTAGACGATCGTTGTGCAGCTGAAAAAATTTGCCCAGTCCGGGCTTTGATTCTGGGACCTCTTGAAGACTAGTGGGGAGCACCCTACCGACTGCGCTATACTCTGTTTCATCTTAAAGGGGCACTGACACCCCAAAAGTCGTATTTTTCTTTTTATTGTTTAAAACTATGCACATTGTTGTCATAAACACAAAAAAATACCGCATCAAAAAAAAAAAAAAAAAATTTTCACGCGCGCGTTCGCCTTTTTTTTGTTTTCCCCTCCCGCTCCTCACCTCCTCGCTTATTTTGATTGGTGACATCAAAAATCATGAAATTTAGAAGCTTTGTAGGTGACAATTCTATCACATTTAATAACGGCAATCGTGAAACATGTTTTTTAACACAATCGCGAATGCACTACGGCCCTTCTTTTTCAAATGCCAAATATCGAAGTCCGTTGTGATGTTGCCTTCTGGATTTTATCCTCCCTCGGAAAACATGGCGGCGCTCGACGCATGTAGCAGAGGGTGATCGGTGAGTCGGGGAATCGGACGAAATGGCCTTTTATAGGTGCCCGACGACCTCTCAGACTTCGAACAGGAAATCGTCAAACGGTCAAAACAACTGGGTTTTGGTGTCTGTGTATCGTAGTTTCGGTTGTGACACCGCCGGGGCACCGTCATCTGCTCGAAGCGATAGGCAGCACGGCACTCACGCAGGAAACCGGTTTCCTGGTACGGTAATTCCCGCGACGCCGGCGCCCTTCTCTCCTCGCTTCGGGTCGCGAAGTCACATTTTGGAGCGGAAGCGCGAAAGAAACTCGACTCTCAGGAGCCCTCAAAATTTGACGTCACTCCACTGGTGCGGATCACGCAGGAACTTCAAATTCGGCATTTGGAAATTGTTTTTTACTCCACAATTACTGAATTCCCAATTTTCGAATTTTGAGGGTAATGTCCAGGCATCGTTTTCAAAAGATTTTGATGTGTTAGTGTAAGTCCGAACGGGACCAAAAGGTAGTGCAACACACACAGAAATGCGCAGGCCGCCATGATACATTCTTTGCTCGAGCCTGATTAGATCATTTGGCGGTAAACATGTACAGAGAAGCCAGAAAAATGCTGCAATCTAGCACTTTCCGAGAAGCTTCATTGGCCCCATTCACTGGTAGCAGTGTTAGTGCTTGGACTTCAGTTGAAATGGAGTATAGCCTGGCATCAGGTGTGAACAAAAGCAGATGGAGAGCGCAAGTTGCACTCAGACTCGGGTGGAGGCACCATTTCTTCTGGAAGATTTCTTTACCTATTTGGAGCGTCCAAATTTTGAGACTGCTTTGACGTGCCATTTGTAGTGGCAGCTCTTGGGGCTTTTGTGTCTGCGATGTGGCCTCAATGGTCACGTGACCGTCATGGTGTTCGAGACGTTACGAAGGACCTATAAACAGGTCCTTAGGGATATACTGTAGAGACGGGCAGTTCTCTCCGACCTAGAACTTTCGGAGCAATGGGCATTCCCTTCTAGCCCTGCACCCAGCCGGGAGGAAGAGTCAAGCGAGAGCCGGTCACGGGTCAGCCCTTTGCCGGGAGACCACGACGTGTCCATTCCCGTCGAGGACGGCCCCCACCCGCAGGACGACTCGGAGGATGCGGCCACGCCGGCCACCATGGTGCCTTCCGGCTGTGGGCCGGGGACCACGATGGCGGATGTGCTCTGCAGCCCCAAGGGTGAGTGCCTGGCTCGCAGAACTGGACCGGTGCCCGAAGTTGCAGCAGACTTTGGCGATTGCTTCTTGAGTCCACCCGACATGTTTCTGAAAACTTTTTTTTTAGATAAATTTTCCCTTACTCGGAACAGAATGTAGAGGAGTGGTGCGATAGTTTAGTGAAAAAATATTTATTCCTCAATTATATTGAGTCTAATCTTGGTGTGATGAGCAAGACGGCACGATTGAGCATTCAGCTCTGCAGTAAGTGGCACTAGCCAACAATGAAACAACATTCATTCTTATGCTTGAGGATTAATATCACCATTGATTGTCATTGTCTTCCGGGTTGTCACTCTCATTCTTGCCCTACCTTCCGTGCTTGGATTTGGCACCACGCCGGGATTTTCAAACTCCAAGGAACTCCGTGGTTTTCCGGCGTTGGGGCTTCTCAAATGCGCCAAACTTCTTGGTATTTTGCCTTTTTAGCTGTCTGTTGATCTGTCATTAGGAACCATTCAATCCCACGTTCCTGCGTAGCGTGTATAGTGCTGGTGTGTCTGGGCATGTTTTGCTGCAATAACGTTCAGAGGGCTGGGTTTTTTTGTTTTTTTTTGAGGGCCAAAGGTTTCAGGAGCTCTTTACAACAGCATAAATGGAATGATTCCCACACAAACCTAACTCTCATGCAGAAAGCTTCCTTACAAAAGAATTCTTACAGTTCTTTTTCTGCAGGATATTTGGGTAATTGGGAAATTTTGTCTTAGTGTCCTAAGATTTTCATGTTGTAATCTTCATTTGTCATAACCCGTCTCAATGCTGAGACCAACATGCGTTGGGCTTCCGAGCATGATAACTTTCACGACCTCGGCTGTCGAAGGTTTTTGTTTACAACAAGTAAGCATGTTCAGGGCCACATTTAATCCCTGCAACTCCCTGCACCAGGCCTGCTTAAAAACTAGCGTGACCTGCTATCGTTTTACTAGTCAATACCAGAAAGGAGCTGGGGGCGTCCCACTTGCTTCTGCGGTGGACTGAGCTTGTGCATTCTTCCGATTGCCTTCATCAGCTGGCAGTCCACACATCTCTCTGGAGCGGATTGGTCGGTTCCTGTCGCAGGCCGCCGAAGTTGGCTGGCGACTGCTCGAGATTCACACCATGAAAGGAGTGCTGCTGGCGGTGTTCGGCCTTGCCATCTACGACGTAAGTGGTTGCTGCTTGTACTTTCGGGCGTGCGTTGAGACGTGAACCCCGAGGTCAGCTGTTGGATACATTTTCAGGTGTGTGCCGTGCACGTTGTTTTCGTTCTCCTGGCGGTGGTTGCCCTTCCCTTCCGCTGGCTCCAGTTGTTCCTTGTCCACTGCTGCTCTGTGTGGGCCTCAGTGCTGCTCCTCTCCAAGATGATCTATCAGCTGAACTTTGTCGACAAGTATGGCTGGTCCACCAACTGCACAGTGAGTGTGGTCCGTGCACCTCTAGGTCACGCCTGGAGGTCAGGACTGATGGCGTGTATATTTTGCTTGCAGTTTGGAGTCAGAGTGCACTTCCTTCTAGTACACATTTTTTAGCATAATGTTTTTTTTTATCACTCCGTAAAATCCAGATTAATTTGAACTCAGTTGATGAAAAGTTATGGAAGTGTTCTCAAATTCTTTTCCTGATTTGAAAATCTGATTTGCTAATGGATCAGCATATATAGAGTCAAGTCAAGTCAAAATGTCAAAACGGGGGTGCGTCTCATTGAACATCAGCCAGAATTTTTATCGTGCTTTGCGCAGCACTAAGATTGATATGTTTGTCACTATCAACGGTCTAGTTATCAAGTTAAATAGCGTTTAGTATAATCAAGTAAATTTTTATCCAGAGAAAATAAACATTGTTTCAAATGGAAATTTGATGGGCATCATGAGAAACATTTGGAGTGCATGCTTCGTTTTTCTGGATCTCGAAATCTATCCAACTTGGGTGCACCTGTGCAGCTTTTCGTTTTCTTACTGTCAGCATTTTCGCTTGTCCAGGCTTGCTCCTGTAGCACAAGCAGTGACTTCTGCGAAACATCTATGCTTCCCACGCCCTCCAAATATTTACCGATTTATAGTGGTTTTCAGTGACGCTCAGCAAGTTTCTTATTGGATACATGGGTCTTTGTTTTAAAAATTATGAATTATCTGGAATACTATGTACCCACTAAATAGTTCCTTTGGCAGTGCGTAATACGGCACCAATTGCTCTTCTGTGGAATGCATAGTTTTTGCAGGAATAGTTTGGCCGATGTTGGGTGAAACTCCCTCTACATGCTTGCTCTGTCAAATGGGAGTTGGGTTTGGTGACCCTGGAAGGTTTGTTTCAGGACGTCATTGGCATCCCCAGTAACATGACCGGCTTCCCAGCACCATTCAACACCACTATCGACAACCGCATTTGGATAGGGTTTGAGAAGACTTCAAACCTCACGTCTTACTGCAAGGTACGCCTTACCACTAAGTCTTGTCAATAGCATTGCTGTCTGGTTTAGTGATGGTACCTCTGGTTTCACCTTGTCTTCTAGGGCTACATTATGCTGATTGTTGTGTTCTCGGCACACGCCATGGTACGCTATCGGCAAAGCTTCTCACGGGCCCGTCACCAGCTTCCAGAGCCACGTCCCGGCGTGGTGTTTGCCTCGGTCAACCGCTTTAATGCCGACGATGGCATCCGTCAGTGCCTTATGTACTTGCTCAATTTCTTTTTCTACAAGTTTGGTGTGGAGGTGAGTTGACTTTGTTTGCTTTGCTAGTAGACGTGCATGAATAGTGATTTTTGGGGATTGACACCAATTCTAATCGGAGAGGCGTGCCATTTAAATAGTTTTGAGTCGAACATATGCAGTAGAACCTCATTGTGGGGTTTTAGAGAAATTTTCATATTTATGAAAGTATACTTGTCATATTATACACTGATGTAACACATCTCACACCTATTCCAAATATACAATCAGATATTGAATATCTTTACTAAAACCCAGGTTATGGAAGATTGATCTAATTTGTTGCGGGTCGTTAAAAAAATTATTCATAAATTGTCAAAATTTTTAATGGAACTGCATTCACAAAGGTGTGCGGTGATGCTATTTTAGGGCTCACCTGAGAGGGTTATGCTACTAAAAAAACAATTGTTAATGTAGTGTAAAAGATATACATTCTCGTTATTTAAGATAGCAATTAATTGAATAGAATAGTTGGAAGACTATAAAAATAGCATCACTGCACAGCTCCATTCTTCTCATTAAAATGGCACTAAACGTGTTAATATTGCAAAAGACAAACTTCAGAAAACGCCTGTAAGGCATCGGTACTTGTGAAAGAAGTGTGAAGAGAGAAAAAAGCACTTGGAAGTATGTGTACTACTGAATGTTCATAAAAAAATTAAGATTTCATTTATTTTTTTTTATATATTTAGAAAATAATCTGTTAGCTGGTTAAAAAAAATCTATCACGATTAAAGCATTAATCAATTCATTGGAAGGTTAATCGATAAAATGCCCAGCCATACTATTATTTTGTGTTTCGAACTTGGGAATTCTGCAAGTTATACGTCAAGCACCCGATTTGACCGGACGAGTGCCCATGACTAGATTAATCCACAGTAAAAGTGGGGTTGGCACTCTTCCAGTAGTTTATGGTAATGTGTGTACATGTGTAATTGTGTGGTTCTAGCATTAGTTTTAGTAGGTGTGTTAACAATATTAACGTCCCAATATTACGAACAAATTTCAGTGAAACCAAGCAGACAAGGGCAGTTTTCATGTAAAACATGTTTTGTCTTGTGGGGGGGGGGGGGGGGGGGGGGTCTAGAAATATGTGAAGCCGCAAAGTGAAGCCGCTGATTGACTTGATGCCGATTGGCTGAGCCGAGCCATGACGTCATACCCCCTAGTTCGACGCCGATCGGCCAACGGTTAAGCAATCGCTCCCGTGCCACCGCTTGCCCACCGGACGGCGGTTGGACGTTGTCGGAGAAACATCTGCAGCTATAGAGGGTTCTGGAAGAGCGCCAGGGGTTGAAAACCCGGGTTAGCGCCAGCATCTCTATTCTAGGAATTGCCATGGAGCGTACATGCCAAGTATTAAGCCAGGCGCTAAACTAACGATGAAGAGCGCCGAAAGCATAGACGTCGAACTCGGAGGAATCTGACCGAACATAGGTATCCCTAGTGCACCCGACTACGCGTCCCTGCGCACGTGACCGGGAAGACTGTGTAGGAGTTGGTACTTATGAAACCTCGAAAAAGGGGGAAAAAAAAAAACTAAGAAAGAAAAAAAGAACACGACGACGTAAGAAAACAAGTGTTCAGAGGGGTTCGGAGGCACTCGAAACTTAAATCTTTGACAATTTTTTTTAACTGATGCACACAGGCAAAATTGGTTTTCAGTACTTTACTCAAGACGTGACAGGGAGCAACTTTCATTAAGTCGGAAAATTGTTGCACGGCTCCTTTACTGCATCCAGGAACCACATTCCTGTATCCCACATAGAGATTTAAACGCAGTGTTTTCAAATATTAATTTTCCCCACTGGCAGTATAAGACTTAAATTCACTCGAAAATGATATAACGTAAAATCCTGTAAGAATGTCTACCCAAAATGAAGAGAAATGGTGAAAAACATGGAGTGGGCTATCTTTGGGGGTGCCAAAAGCAAAACTTCATCAAAAATTAATGATAAGCACCGGGGCACCTCCTACAAACCACATGACGCGGGAACTGATACCGCAGATCGTGGACACGGCAAATTCGCGTTTTACGATGCGATAAACACGCGGGAATTTGCTACAGACTCCTGTGTCACGGGAAAGGATACCGCAAGTGGCCGACGCAGCAGATTCGCGTTTAACGGTGCGAAGGACTCGCGCAAACCCGCCGAGAACTCGCATCTCACAGGAACGGATACCGCAGATTGGGACGCAGCGGATTCAAGTTTCATGTTGCAACAAAGACGTGGGAACCCGCTACAATCATGCCTGTCACGGAAATCATTATCGCGTGCGCAGATCGCGGACAAAAACGCGGGAATATGCTACAGACTCGCATATCACGGAAACAAATACCGCAGATGGCGGATGCAACAGAATCACATTTTACGATACAGTATACACGCAAGAACAACTTGCGTCTGTTACAACTAAGAATCAATATCGCGCGCGCAGATAGCGGACAAAAACATGGGAATCCACTACGAACTTGGGAACAGATAGCGCAAATTGCAAACACGGCAGATTCACATTTCACGATGCAATATACGCGCGGGAACAACTCGCGTGTTACGGGAGCCGATATCACGCGCGCAGAATACAGACAAAAACGTGGGAACCCGCTATGAACTCGCTTCTCGGTCGTACCAGTACCGCAGATCGCGCCATTGATGCGATCTTCCTGTCGGACATGGCTTGACGTCCAACAGGAATCGGGGGGTGGGCGATGTTTTGGAATTTCTATGTTACAGATATTTAGCCAGAAAAACGGGATGGTCGCTCTCTCGGGAAGGGGCCTCCTTACAAGATTTTACGGTAGTTTACTTTCCTCAATTGATAATATTACTGCTGCACTCAACAATATATTTTCTGAAACTGCTTTTTATGTGTTAATTTGGTTCTCTTTTTAGAGCACCGTGTAGTGTTAGCATTTAGAAATAAAAATTGTATTTGTTTTCCAAAATGCAAACCCTTCTAGGAGTGCTTCGACAGTTGCGCTTGACTGCGCTGCAGGAAAGCGCCGCCCTCGTAATTGCTGCCTAGTGCGGCAGAAAGCAGTCGTGCCACGGGGAAGCGCACTCAATGAAAGTCCGGCAGTCGCTACGTAACGAGTCTCAAAATGGCCTGAAACTTTTGGGAAGTTTGAAGGTTTCAATGGGTGGTCCCCATGGGGCTTGCGAGTGTCTTGCCCTTCCTGCTGCCCAGGTGTGCTTTGTGACGATGGTGAGCTGCATCGGGGTTCGCCTGGACGTGTTTGCCCTGCTGACGTCTCTGTGGCTGTGTGCCATGTTCCTGCTGCGGCGGCACAGCCTGGCCAAGGTGTGGCCCTTCTATGTGGCCTACCTCTGCCTGGTGCTTCCCCTCCAGTACCTGGTGGTGGTCGGACTGCCACCGGGCCTCTGCATCGGTAATCAAAACTGCTCTTGCGAAAGACCTTTTTAGTCGGTGCTGCAAATGGGTGTAGGCTTTTCGATAGCTATTGTCAAGTTATGATGAATGAAATGTCTGGGTCTCCCTTTTTTTTTTTTCCTACTTGGTGGTGCAGAATATCCTTGGTGGGACCCTTCTAATAAAACGCTTCGGGAGACCGCATTGTGGCTCTACCTGCCGGACTTCCAGGAACCTCCGCTCGCGAGAAAAATATTGGGTAAGTTTTTCTCTCATTTGTGTCTGAAGGTGGAGATTCACGAAAAAAAGTCTTGCACTGAACTACTTACCTGGAATCTGCTTTCTGAAACCCTTTTTCTCGCCAGCTTGACATTTCACACGTGTGGCTCGAAACAAGTTTCAAGATGATGGAGCTATCATTTTGGTACTTTTGGGGAATGTAGAGTTAGTCTTGTTCACACTAGAGGAGGATGGAATCTCAACCTTTATAACTAGACTTGCCATGCCCACCCTTTGAATAATGATTAGGTCCATCGAAGAAACTTGAGGATTAATCATGGTCTTGCCTTCTCCGAAAGTGCTCAAAGCTTTTTTTAAGGATACTGGCATAATAAATGCCAAGAACCACGTCACTATTATCTTAAGTCCTAAGAGTCGTGACGATTTTCTCATAGAAAGCGACCCATAAGACATTCTGTTCTATGGGCAGCGTAGAGGTGACGCAGGTAGCACTGTGTTGACTGCACTGTTGATTGCTCCACGACTCGCCTCTAGGATTAGCAGATTTTGTTGACTTGGTGCATCTCAATTTTTGTTTGCCAGTTTAACAAACATTTAGGCGAAATTATATTGAAATATTTGGCTTGTGGTCTTTGTAGGCGATACTAAAGAGAACTGCATTGTTTTCTCAATACCAAAAAAGAACCGGAGTTGTCCTTGCCATCACATTGCATCACCCATGACTACAATATTCACGAACCCCAGTGTTACCATTGTTAAATGTAAATGTTTAGGCTTTGAACCAATGAAGCCAAAATAGCCCATCTTGTTTCCTTTCGTGGCATCTAGTTTTTATCTGAGTTTCATAGCTAATGTTTTCAAGACTCATCTTACATTTCCAAGTGCCTCGATCATCCCCTCAAATTCAGCCTCCTTTCTCTCTTCACCTCTTTTACTTGCCATTAACGACTGGAATTCATTGCCCACACATGTTGTCCATGAGGCACCATACAAAAATCTGTGACGTTTTTAAAAACCCGGCTTTGATGTGTGTTCAGTGTCTGCTTACTGATGTTTTTGTTATATTTATTTGCATTTAATGTTGTATTCACTTTTCCCCCCTCATGCAATGTGTGTGATTTGAAATAGCTTTGAGTTAATAGAACTTAAGCAAGCTCCTTTTTGCAGTTCTAGAATCTCACATTTGTATAGTATTTAGTTGGTTCATTGCCAGCCTCTGGGCAATTTTGTTGGCTTTCCTGTCTTTTCGCGGTGGTGTGCATACGATTGACTATGAAGCTGGCTGCTGACTGATGACAAACTTGCTCTCTGCAGTGGACTTTGTGCAGCTCCTGTTTGCATGCTGCCAGCTGTATGTCTTCTTCCTGGAGGGTTCTCAGAACAGCGACTTTTACGAGGGAGGTTCAAACAAGGAGATCTACGACAAGGATGGTCTCTTTATTGGCCAAACCCCTAACCCAATAGCGGACTTCGTCACTTACACAAAGTAAGGAAATAGCTTTCCCTTTTGCACGCTTTTTTGGGGGAACTGGGCAGCACGTCCCGAGTGTAGTTGCCAGGATGTTCACTCATCAAATTTTACGTAAAAATTGGGAGCTAGTTCATAGCACTGAATTATCCATCCGATATGACTAGCATAAAATTTGTTTGTTTATTTATTTAACAATACTGCAGGCCTCACTAGGGACCAGGCAGGTGTGCATAACAAAAATGCGACAGGACGTGGTAAAAAAGTTGCATGTTCAGTAGACAAACACCGATAACAAATAACAAAAAAATTCAAATGGGCAAGTCTGTAAATACATTAAGCTTTGAGAAAAAGTCATCTGGTGATGGGTTTTTTTCTGTTTTATTCAGTTAGTTTTGTTTTGAAAAGAGGAGTTGAACTAATGGTGCTGTGGTATGGTTCTAGTAGTCTACCGAGATTAAATTGTGTGGTCCGACATGAACCAGGTGCCAAGTAGGGAGGAACGTCGATCTTCAGATGTCTGGGATAGAGGAAGTATAACAACTTGAGTTATTTGACAAATTTCAGGCTGCGGGGTGGGTGGGCATTAAGTTGGGATATTACAGCGTATCTTGGGATGGGGGTCTGTTATTGGTGAACTGCGCAATATGTCACTTGCCCATACGATGAATGTGATGAAGGGGACTTTGATCTTGCAGTGTGTTTGCTATTAATGTCTGCTATCTTGTGAAGTGTGCATGTGGGTGCTATGAGCCATGTTTTCTTCTGGTGTTGGGCGTGCCCCGTTGGGGGTGCCCCAGTGTCTCTTCGTGAGCAGTCGGTGACCAGGTGTCATGTGCAGATGGTTGTTTGAGCAGAAATGAATGTGGGGTGAATCCAGGTCGTACCTGTCCATGGTGAAGGTGTTCCTGTTCTTCTCCTTCTACTGGATCACCCTGGCAGTGATGTTCCTTGCTGGCACCAATCGCGTCAGCCTTTTCGCCATGGGTTATGTCCTGGGTTGCTTTTTCTTCCTCTGGAATGGCAACGAGTTCTACCTCAAGCCCATGAAGGTGCTCCTGAAAATGTAGGTATTGTTTTTGACTGCAATCTTTATTGTAATGTATACTTGTAGCATTTTCATCTGCCGCCCATGTGAAGGAGGAACAGTCTTATTGCCTGTATTTTTGCTTCTTTATGAGTTGGATACCTCCACCCTAGCTTTTTTGTCACGTTTGTTGCTGCCAATAGAGGAGAGAAATGCAGTTTTACCTGACAAGCTCGGACTGTATGGGCTTTGGCGAGGAGATTGAACTATAGGAGGTGCAGTTTCATTGTCGTCATCATCACCACAAACAATCGCTGTGTGGCAAACAACTCCGACGCCAGCACTCGCCTAGCATATGCCACATTGTTTCTGCGCTCGCTGCATGTTTTTTCTAGCGATATATTGTGCATTTGCTGCATACCGTAGAGCTAGAAGCTTGCTTTTGAACCGGGTCAGCGTGGAGGACTGCAACACGAACATGATGCCGACACAGTCGGCAGTTTGCTCCGATGACATGATTGCAGTTGAGCACATCCTCTCCTTTAACGAGACACCACTTGTTTCGCCTGTGTCGTCCATGATTGGCGTAACTGAAAAGTGAAGTGCGTGTTTTGTGAATCATTCAGAAAAACGCGGACGCCGCACCAACCACGCACAATTCAGCACGCGCGGCCGACACGACGCAGCTGGCCCCACGACGCAGCCGACACGACGCAGCTGCCAAGTTTGGCAGAGAATTTTATGTTTGCTCTTTGCTCCAGTTTGCAATCCATGATGAAATCGGCAATGTGCTCATGTACGTGGTTACAAAAACCGTGCACAGCTCAAAATGTTCACAGAACGACGCCCCTTGACGCAGTGACATATGAAGGTCTTCGTCAGCTGCGCATGCATCACCGTGCTGCATTTTCTTTTTATGCAATTAAACTAGTCTCGAGACTTTTTGATTGCACCTTGTTTAAAAGTAATGTTCATTGTTTGAAGTGTTCCTCTTCGTTGCTACTTTCGCTTAAGAATTGTCGTGCAGCCAGGGAGAGATATAGTATGCTGGGAGAAACGAGGACCAATCGCAGTGTCACGCGAGCACACATGATGTTCTCATTAACCGGTGCATTCACTCAAAAATGGCAGCGAGGGAGAGGCTGGGAGAGGGGGAATTACATTACTTTCCCATTTACAGGGGCTTTGGGTCAAAGTAGTGAAGCTTAAAGACAGACGACCAGTTCGCGCTTTCCACTTTTCCCCCGCTTCCTCCTCTCTCCCTTCTACCCCGTCCATTGTTGCCTGTTTCCTCCTCTCCCAGGGTGAGGAGGATCTTCTGCCTTGCAGAATCTTTTGTCTGGTCGTCGGCCTTTAATGCAAGTGGTGAAATGAAACTACTAGGGATGTGGAAAGATGGATGGGCTGATGCGAAAGCCTGAATCCCTTCGGAGCCAAGGTCATTCATGCCTTCCTGGGCTAAAAGCAAGGCATGGAGAGGCCGAGCTGGCGAGTGAAGGAAAAGGACGAGTGACCAGGCAGCCTGGTGCATCACATTGGTATTTTTTGGATGTAACATTCGGGGATGCAAATCGAACAAGCAGGAAATAATATGCACATCCCTGTGGAATGGGAATTCAAACAAACCGTGATTCATGAATGTAACATTCGGGAAAGCATATCAGCCAAAACAATATAGTCAAACCTCGATGTAACGAAGTCGGTAAAATTCGGAATTTACTTTGTTACATTGAAATTTTGCCACAGAAATTCGGGGCTAACGTTAAAGAATGTTTCCACAAATGTTTCCTGGGTGCACAAACCTCACTGAGGATGCCTTCATTTCGGTTGAAAGTAGTCGGTCACCTTTTTCTGGGCCACTCTTGACATTATTATTGGCATCACACGACGTTCGCACAGCCAGACGCGAACCATCTCATCCACCACTTCACGGTTACTGGGTACCTCGTAGGTGTCTTGCTCGTCAGGCTGGGGTCTTAGAGGTCAAAAATACATACATGGAGTGGATGCACTTGATTTTAGAAAAAGTTATGTTCTTTGTTACATCGGGGGTTTCGTTACATTGAAGTTTGTTACATCAAGGTTTGACTGTATTGGCAAGGTTCTATCATTGCTTACTAGTAATTGAGGCACCAACTTTTCAGATGATGAGAGCTGTGCGGAAGTGATTGGCATTGGTGCTAGTTGGGCTCTGTAGGCAGACTTTTCAGAGGAAACCTGTGTTAAGGATTCAGAAAACTCTCCAAGGATCACTCATGGGATCTTATTCTGCAGGTGGAACACTCTGCTGGCCTACAATGTCACAGTCATCTTCATCAAATGCATTTTACAGGCAAGTACACCTGTAATATACTAGCATGTAGCTTATAAAGGCTCCTGCTGCAGTTGCCTTATAATATTGCGTTTACAATGAAATGGATATTTTTGGCTTATTGCTATAAATATCTTAATGGTGACTGAGATATCTGCAGTGTTCTTGAAGATAATGATATCCTGCTTTTGATGGGGGTCAGCTCTCAAGACGTAAGCACTGTTCCAGGTGGTTGGCTGTGTCTTCCTCGATGAACTTGCCAAGAAATCCTGTTGGGTGGTTCAACTTCTTGGCATTGCTTGCCTAAAGAAGCTACAACCGGATGGCACTGCAGGTGGGTAACCTTTGTTAATGCTTCGCTGTACCTCGGCATTTGGAAACCACCTTAAAGTTATATTGAACCGAAATTTGGATTTCGCAAAATAAGGCCGCAGAAGCGTTGAATGGGACGGTACGAACTCCAAAACATCGCTCGTACATAGATATTTCAAACGGATGGTCGCATTTTTTTTAAAAAAAGGGAGCGATATCAAGCGAGGACTACGACGTCATTGTCCTCCTGGAAAATTTGAGAATGAGGGGAAGCGGCCTCGCTTCTCTCCTCTTCGCTTCAGTTCACTAGCTTCACGGGATGAAGCGTAGAGGAGAGGGAATGAGAATCGCAACGTCACATGTCTCGTTGGCCTCGTCGACCGTATTCAGTTGCCACTTCTTTTCCAAAAATACGGCCATCTGTTAGAGATTTCGCTGTACGAGTGATGTTTTTGGATTTTGCAGCGTCCCGCCCATCGCTCCAGCCTTGTTTTGTGAGCTCGAAATTTCGATTCAATATCCCTTTGAAAGAGGCATGTAGGCCAATGATTTGTCTTGTAATGTGTTGAAGGTACTACCATATAGTGCCTCCATTTATCTGGCAGAAATGCTCTGGAAGGTATTAATTGTGCGTTCTATACTCATATGTTCAATAGTCCAACCATCTGACTGCTACGGTGGAACTGCAATTGCTTGATATGACTGAATGTTGTACGCTGGAATATACGGGGCGTTTTTGTTTTAAGCTTTACGGATTTGTTTAAAAATATCTGAAAGCTAGACTGATGCAGTTTGTACAGGTGAGTTATGCGGCCGGGGGGACATAATACAGGAGGCTAATCGTCGCAATAAGTCGGCTAATTAAAGAGCAACTCTGGTCAATATTTTTTAATTTGGGATTACGACTGTCTTCAGCTCAGTCAGTAGTGTTCCTGAATTACAAGGTATAACCTTTTTCCTAAAGTGACCAGACGTCCCGATTTAGGCGGGACGGGTCCCGCTTTTGCAGCCAACTAACGGAAAGTTTTCCCTGCTATATTTAGCGGAAAATTTTCCCAGCTAAATTTAGTGGGAAAGTTTCCCTGCTAAATTAAGCGGAAAAGTTTCCCCGCTGAATCTAGCGGAAAATTTTCCCCGCTAAATCTAGCGGAAAATTGGCACCGCTAAATTAAGCGGAAAATTTCCCCCGCTAAATCTAGCAGAAAATCTTCCCAGCTAGATTTAGCGGATTATTTGCCGGGCTAAGTCTAGCGGAAAATTTTCCCTGCTAAATCTAGCGGAAAATTTGCACCGCTAAATTAAGCGGAAAATTTTCCCCGCTAAATGTAGCGGAAAATTTTCCCCGCTATATTTAGCGGAAAATTTCCCCCGCTAAATCTAGCGGAAAATCTTCCCAGCTAGATTTAGCGGAAAGTTTGCCCAGCTAAGTCTAGCGGAAAATTTGCCCGGCTAAGTCTAGCGGAAAATTTTCCCCGCTAAATTTAGCGGGGAAAATTTTCCGCTAGACTTAGCGGGGAAAGTTTTCCGCTAAATCTAGCTGAAAAAATTTTCCCCTAGATTTAGCGGGAAAACGTTTTCCGCTAAATTTAGCGGGGAAAATTTTCCGCTACATTTAGCGGGGGAATTTACCCATCATGTACTGCGAGGTTTCGCCGACACAGACGCCGCTCAAGCCAGAAATGGGTGCCTAAGAGCTGCGCTCTGAAAAGAGTAACCAACATATCAATTAAGCCTCGTCAGTAGTGGGACTAGTAACTCAAAGTAATCACACCAGTGATCAAATTATTGATTGCCCCCCAAAAATTCTAATTGAATCAACAATTGTTCTAAGTTACCAAATGTGGAAGCGAAACACGACCACTGAACGCAGTAAGTGCATATATATATTGTGGATTAAATTGACTGACCCCGGGATTAAATTGTGTGGCGCTTGGATTAAATTGTATGGCGCTTGGATTAAATTGTATGGTGCTTGGATTAAATTGAGGTCCCCCTGGATTAAATTCGTCGTCGCTTGGATTAAAATGAGCGGGAAAACCTGTAGATGGCACTTCAAATGACTGGAGGCAGACTGAAGTGAGTGAGGAGGGTACCCCCTTCCACGGGAGTTCCACAACTGGGGTAATGCACGGCATCTGGATGGCGTTCCACCATACTCAATGGAACACACAGTTGTGAAGCGAAAATCTAGATGGCACTTCAAACGACGGGAGGCGCGCCCTTTCGGGGAAAGGAGACAGGCTGCAGAAGGAGCAGTGACTTACGCAGCAGCGCAGCGCAACCGTGGCAAAGCCGCTGTCACCTCGACTTCCACTGCGTCCAGCGCTTCAGATTCCTACACCAAAGAGAACATCGCTCGCCTGGAAAGCCGCTGTCGAGAACAGAACCAGCGATGTAAAGGGCGCCGGCGGGCCAACGCCACGGACGACGATCGTGCCACGAAGGCAAAGCGCAAGCGCGAGGCCCGGCGACGACAGCACTCCACGCCGGCTGAACGGTTCCCGGGTGCGACGGCTACTTTCCAGAGGGAGTTCATGGAGAACCCGTTTGGCGTCACGTGCACCATGTGCGACCGACTCGCACATGGTGCACGTGCGGCAGTGTATCGAGTACGGCTTCGCTGGTCTTCCTTCTTCATGGGAGTGGAAAGGCTGAACGTTTTTTATTTCTTCTCTTGTTTTATGAGACGCTGCATTGTATTACAATGTAATTGATGTTTTATATTGATATGTCTTGTTTCATTTCATTTTTTGTGCATGATGTTATCTATTACTCCTTGTTTGTACTACCGAACTGTACAGGGGGGAGGGGCAGAGACTATCAGGCATCATGCCTTAATCTCTGCCCCCCTATGCGGATGCTATCTGCAAAACAAGGAAAAAAAGTGTTGCTTTGGTAAACGTTGATACCTTCTATGAACTCTCAATGGTCCATAGCCTTCACTGTTACAAAAACACAACTCCTCCTTCCCCTAAGAAGCACAAATAGTATGGCCCAAATTGGAGACCGGAACAGTTTCTTTTGTTGTCGCTCAAAAGTACAGTGGCCTTTTCTGAATGAACCTTGACAACATAAGTCGCAAGATCTCTTTTGTCCATGATCTGAGATTTTAAAGAAAACTGGGGTGGCATTTTCTCGGGACCATTTACCCTGTACGCTGACCAAATTTAAGTTTAAAGCACAGTCTCTTTGGGCAATTGGTACATTAAAATTTGGGGTTTGGTGGATAAATTCGAATTGCGGAAAATTTTGCCGGCGGGTGTGTTTCGAAGTTTTTGGATTCATCCCCCAAAAAAAGAACCCTGCTAATAAATCGCCTGTGCAGGTTGCAATAGTGTAGCTTTCTTAGCTTTTTTAAAGCAAATCTGTAAAGCCTTGGTAAAAAGAAAAAAACACCCTGTAATATGCCAATATCATATGTCACTTTTTGAGCCAAATATTAATTTCCTGGAAAATGGAGAGTGGGTTGCTATTCCCACCTTTCGGACAAAATATAGGTTCCCTGAAAAAATGTGTAAAGATTTCCCACCCCTACAGAAAAGCCCAACTGTAGAATGTTTGGCTTCATTTATTTATTTGGATATACGTACTATCGATCCCTTACGGGACCTAAGTAGGAGTAGGACACATAATCAAGGTTAACACAGTTTATGTGACAACTTAACAATCAGTCCACGCTGCCCTGCACCGAAACATGCACAATACTGCAGTCAAACAGGTGCAATGCCCACAATATTAACACAACAAACAGCCCTTGCCGCTATAAAACGCTAGAAACAAGAGATGCGAATTCCTCTTGGCTGCGTGCATTTACATTTCCCTGTAATTCGTTCCAATCCCTCGCTGTCTGCAAAAAGAATGAGTATCTAAAGCATTTCTTACTAAACCTTTTTTTCACGTGCCTTCCGTGCTTATTCCTTGTGATTTGCGGCATGTCTTCACTTATATATTGGTGCTTGCCGACAAGCACCAAGTTGTTAATAATGCTGTAAAAAAAGATTTAAGCTTTTCTGTTTTCTGCTGAGTTAGAGCATCGGTAAATTGGCTCTGCTGTACAGGTGTGAAACCGATTACTGTCTCCAATACTGGTAGTATATGAAATGCAATGCTTGTCGTTGTCGGCTTCACCAATTTTGACTCAAGTTTTTTTTTACATACGAATCCCATACTTCGCACGCGTATTCCAGTTTTGGGCGCACCAACTTCTTGTGTACGATCAGCTTGGTGTGCCGTGAAGCAAGCTTGAGCGTTCGTCTGATAAATCCTAACCTTTTGTTGGCATTGCTAACAAAAGTGAACGCCCATTTTCCCCTGGATGTTGCCATCCCCAACTGCGAGGTAGGAGGATGTTTGTGACAAAGAAGATGAAAGGAAAAGAATGTGGTGTTTCGGGTTGTCTGGGAATGGGAATAATAGCTACACTCTGAAGAAGAAAGCTCAGGCCATGGAGTGGCACGGAAAGCATGAATGGAGTACGAGTGCAATCTCACAATTCCGCTTCAATATGGACTATAAATATGTGCATAAGTGGTACTCCAAGTAGTACCTGACACTGATGCAAGACAGCTAGGACAATAGACACATTGACCCAAAGTAGAAACATGTTGCAAGGCTCGAAACGAGTCTCTTAGTGCAAATATTGCACTAAAAATGTCTTTCTTGGGGTTAAGGGTATTTTGTAGCATGTGTCCTCTCCGTACAGTCGAGAAAAAAAATTTTGGGGGGTTGGAGTTTGGTGTTTTTTAAAGATTTGCATAGCAAATGTGTCTTTATAACACTAAAGGTTACAACTTTATAACACTTAAGGTTACATTTGGACTGTTGTCAAACTTCTAGTTAAAGAAGCTATCTGTCTGCTGTGTTTTTTTTTTATTGGCGAACATATTAAGAGCTAGTCTAGACTCTCGATGTATTTTACCCGTTGCACTATCACAGGGATGAGCACCAAATCGAGCTCGAGTGACGGGGACAACATGTGCCGTGTTCCGGTGGACGAGGCGGGTCTGCTCTGGGATGGCATCTGCCTGGCCTTTCTGCTAGTGCAGAAGCGCTTGTTCACGTCGTACTACTTCCACCACCTGATCATTGAGATCCTAGCTCAGCAGCAACTGGCGTCACGTGGGGCCGAGATGATCCACGAGATCCAGATGAAGGACGTGCAGGAGCAACGAGCTGCCGAGAAGGACATCATGGAGAAGATAAAGCGCAAGATGGACAAGATTCGGGCCAACCAGCAGAAGGTGCGCGGGGGCGAGTATGTCGAGCCAGAGACCCACTTCCAAGGTGAGCCTGACTGGGCACCGCACCGCTTTCACTTTTCTACCCTTGGGGCCGGGCACAGAGGCCGCAAGGGGCACGCACAACTACAGGGGCTGCATCAAGTTATCCGGCAAGGAGGGGGTCTTGAAATAGGCCATATAGTACTGTAAATGACTTATTGTTCGCTAGTTAATCTTTATCTCACGAATGTGTCGCCCCATGCTAACGAGCAGAGCATATATCGCTCCGAATTCCAAGATGTTGGGCCCATAAAATAATCTCGAAACCCACATTTTCCAAAATTCACAAAATATTGAGCCAGCAAAAATAGTTGTTTGTAGTAGTATTCAGAGACTGACGTGAGCAAACTGGGAATGTTGGAAATCTTACAATTTTCTGACAAGATGAAAGCTATGGTATTGACAAAGCCTTCCAGTTCCTTACTAGAGCATAGTGGTAAACCTCAAATACAATCTGGAAATGCATCTAGCCAGGTGAATTCAAATTTGAGTGGGTTTAGGATGTGCATTACTGTGCAGACAGAAAGGATGAACAGGGTTGGTATATGAACCTATTTGGATTGTGTCGTTTTACTCTAGGACACAATATGAGGTATTTTCTGAGCTTGCATTCTTTGAATTTGAGCAACCTTTCAACTTTCGACCGGATTTATGAACATGTAACAGTATTCATCTCCCAAATAGCATCAACAGAAACACTTTTTTTTTTTTTACAGCGGAGCTGTTAAGGGCTAGTTTCCCCAGTATCGTGTCCGCGGGCAAACAAATCTCGACACAAAACTCTGGACAGCTACCGCCATCTATGAGCAACAATGGCAACTGACAACCGGTTTACTGGTTGTCTGGTTGTCACAGTCGTTCTTGGATAGCAGCAACCTTTCCAGCAGGAAGGGCGCTTCCGCTCTGGCTTGCTGACTTGCGGCCGGCCATTACATCATTCCCACCATAGTACAGCTTCGCTGGGTTTCCTTCTTCACCAAAGTGGAAAGGCTAAAAGTTTTTTTTTTTTTTTCTGAGCTTCTTTTAAAGCTACCCTACGTTATATTTTTCAGATGAAGCATGCGTTACTCGATATTGTACATTATTTTTACCTAAGGTTGAGAATTATTTTGATGCATCGATCCTGAATTCACATATTGTTAGTCATCATTTGCTTGGGGTACTTTTTAAAGCACTGGGGTAGCCCCACAGAACTGTCCTTGTTAGAAGGTGAACAGCACCTTTGAGTGCGCCGTACCACCAAAGTAAGCTAGTCAACACTCGACTGTTGTCATTGTTCCACCTCCTCACACCAAGGCACAAAGTGAAGCACTCGTAGTGGGCGGTGCACTCCGGACGTATCTGAAAGCAGGTTTCATTCGCAGGCCGATCGATTCAATGCTCCACTCCACCAAATGAGAAGCACTAAACACTTGCGCACAGATTTCGAATTAAACTAACCTATGTGTTGAATGCAAACGGTTTCCTGGAGTTGCGTGGCAGCGTCAATGGTTTCCCACCCACGAAGCTGGCTGAAGCTCACCACTCCCCACCCGCGTCCATGCGGTGTTAGCGCAGCCGAGCCCCGTTCCCCACAGAGTACTCGACACCGTACTCGACCCCGGCGGGGGGTCAGTCGCTGCTCGAAGAAGAGCCGCCCCCTGGGGGTGTGGAGTCTCCCTCAGTGGGTCAGCTGACGGTGTCCCCCGTGTCTGCGGGCTACACGGCCTACCTGGACAGCTACATGGAACCTCGGCTTTCGACGGCGGGACAGCAGCAGCACGTCCGGCTCTCGAGCGTGCCCCGGCCCACGGCGGCCCACGCTCCGGCGAGGAACGCCGGCGGCCAGCGGTCCTCGCACTACTCGTGTAACCCCCGTTCCCCTGGCACGAGAACTTCTTAGACTGTGGGAGGACAGGCAGTTAGTGCATGGAGACCGAATGGATTATTACATGGAGTAATGACCTCTTTTTCACCTTCTTTCTCCAACTTAGCTATGGTGTGGAAATTGTTGCTGAACGCTTGCCCAATTTTTGACGTGTGCATTTGAACACTACGAGATATTAGGCTTAATAGACTGTCACTTTGTGTAGAGGCTGCGACAGTGGAGAAAGTGTAAGCAAATGGTGAATTGAGTCCATACATGCAGACGTGTTGAAAAATAATTACAAAAAGAGCCATGCAAGCTTGTGTTCCTTTCTTTTTCTCTTTTTTTAGGTGACTATAGACTAGCTGAGACACCTTTATTTTCTTTTTTGTGCTCTTTTCCAGACATTGACCTCTTGTTTGATTCATAATTCTGAGCTTGTAATCTTGGAGGAACTTCTAACAGTTCGAGGGCCATTATGCAGAGATGCAGGCATATGCGTTCCATTGTCCCCCACATGTCTCGGAGGTTCTGCCCTTCATCTGCATCCACCAGCTTCTCTCGATGTTGCCACACTTGCATCCACTGCTTGTGATCTGCCTGCTTGTCTGGTCACGTGATACAGCACAGAAATGCACTGCACATGCACTGCCTACTGCCATACCGTTTTGGCTCACAATTGCAAACCTCGTCCGGATGTCCACTCATTTTCAAGGTGTAGAGCATCATCCAGGCTCCAGTCCTAAAAGATCTGGAGTCTGTGGAAGTAGACAGACTGTTGATTGCTAGTTGCATCAGAGGGATGCAGTGTGGATGTGCAAGAAAAGGAGGTGTTACACTCTTTCATTGCCATTGCTTATGTGTCAAATTAAATGAAGAGCATGTTGGTAAAGTTGACACGGAAAGAATAAAAGGAACTTGGGACAAGGGATGACAAACAGTTTTGGGGTTCTATGGCGCTTTTTCTCATCGTCGTCTGTAGGACATTTCTTAAAAAAAAACAAAATTGGCTGTACATGAGCTCTCCCCGTTAGGGGGATGCAAGAAAGTGCCTGTAGTTGATGTTACTACTTGCACATGCAAATTGGCGCAGTCTTCTACCCATTTATACGGTAGTACAGGGTGCGGCACTACGAGCTATCTGAACAGAATGCCGGCTGGAGCGGTTAAATCCCGCAGGGGGCACCTCGGGCATGATAAGCCGTCGGCAGAGACTGGGACAAACCTGCACAAATTTATGCGTGGAGATGTTTTCGTAGAATCGATAAGCCTCACATCTACAATGAACTAGAAATTTACCATCCTAAACAAAAGGTACAGCAACAAATGGCACGCAGCTTTCCAAGATATTGCATTTGCACTAACCAACGGCCCGATAAATGATGTATGAAGCTCACTGCAGATGCAGAGCCTATCCTTTCTACTTGCATGAATTTGGGGGTCTGTTCTAGTCTTGCTCCCAGTGCCTTAGGGTGCCTGGGCACACGGGGATTTTTACTATTCCGGTCATAGTGACACTCTATAAACCATTTTCGTTTAGGTCTTTGAGTCACTACTGCTGCAAGTTGAGGCAAATTCTTTGAATCGCTCAAACATCAAATGGGCTCAATAGTTTACTCCCAACATCAAAACTCTCAACATCAAATCTGTTTGATATGATTGAGAGTATGTAGCTTGACGCACCTATGACTTGGCTATTTGGGCTTGTGTGTTGGCTGACTGAACAGCATTGTGTCGGTGTTTGTAACTAGTATGCTTCAAAGTAATAGGTTGTGTATATAAGCTTAGTAGTTATGTGGCTTTTGCTGTTGCTACAAAACGTGCCTGTAAAGCCTTGCAGAGGCTTTACAATAGGCGTGTTAACGAGGAAGCTCAATTTGCATTGATAAGACGTCAGCATCCCGCTCACTGCAAGGCTTGTACTGATCTGATGGAAAATTATGTTTGTCCTGCAGTTTGATTGATGTCGATTTCTGACCCCTATACGTTCCGTGAATGCTTTTAATCGCTACTCTCCTCGTAACACTTATCGCTAATACAGCATTTCTCATTGCAGCTATACGTTCGGGTGACTTCTACCTCTTTGATGATTTGACTGGCATGGACATTGACCTTGACCTGGACATTAAGGGCCACAAGTCTGGCGAAACTGAGGATGCTGATGTGAAAGTCCGTGGTCTCAATGCGGTGAGTTGAGACTTGACTTTTCCCCTAAGATCGGGAGAACACTGCACAAGACAATTGGTGCAAATGTGATAGTGCTGCTTTTTTATTGCATTTTACTCGTACTTGTTCAGTTGAGTATCAGACGGCAAAAATTGCCGTATAAGTTGGTGCCACTTTTACAGCCATTGTTTTGATGGCAGTTCTGTGTGAGAAAGGACGGGAATATCCAGTGATTGCATATTGGTTCTGACTGTCGGATTCTCTACACCCATACGATAGATGTGCTTCAAAAGCAACCCCTTAATGTTTTACCAGCTTTCTTTAAACTCAGCCAAGTCTGAGAACCCAAAAGAGTGAGAGGAAAAGGAGGCATTGAATGGACCAAGTGCCTGCTGTGCCATTGTCTATGTAGTTAGCTCCTTGCATAGCATCCAAGGCGATGGAAGTACTTGCCTCAGTGGCTCGGAGGCAAACCACCGACCTACGAATCCCCAAGTGGCGGGTTTGAAGCCCAGCCGAGGTGCCCGCAACCTGACATTATTGCGGTATTGCGGAGAAGGCGGCGTTGAACCGAGATTTGATTTGCAGGTCATGATGTCCCAGGGGGTGGAAAATATTCCTCAGTCCTCCGCTGGGGCGTGCCAGATGCCCTTAGTTGGTTTGACACGCACTCCCAAATTTGACTTTGCTCGTACCCAACACGGGTGTGGACTGTGCCCTTGCATGCAGTTGCTGAGCAGTGCCATCAAGGCGGGCACCATCAAGTGTGCATCGGACGACGCTCGACTGGTCTCAGAGGAGGCAGATGACATGAATGACTCGAGCGGCCTCTCCCCTATCGTGAGCATGGACCGACTGCCACTGAGCCGCACGGTCTCGGGAGCCTCTCAGGTGCTTCACCCAAACTCGCCACTTTATCGGGTTGCAGCTTCTTTGTAGCCGACTTTGCAACAGGCTTGATCAGTGTGCCCTTGTGTGTTGTCAGAGCAACAGGATTTGTGGGACTATTGAAAGACCCAATCTTAGGTTTACCTTGATTTGAAAGGTTCTGCTGTAGTCATGTCGCAGCTACTTTGTTAAATCTCAAGCAGCTGTCATTCTGGCCTCTTTAATTCTTTGTCTTTTTCTTTATGTTGTAATATTATGCATATATTTTGGGTGTTTATTTTCCTATTATATACCTGTTATTTCTGCAGGTGTCTTGCTTCCTTGTTCTTTAGAACAACATTTTTGTGGTGGGCCCACACAAGCTGGAAGCCTGCTTGGTCGACGCAACTTGGCCAGCAGTGTTACTGCAGATAGTTGTATCTTGCACCTTGTTCCTGGCAAATCCACAGCCACTGAATGTTCAGAGTACCACATTCCATGCATCTGCTTGAATGGGAGAATCGAACCAATTAAACTTACTGAAGTGCTAGTGTCGGCCTTGAAGCCAGGAGAAAATGTAGGACATTCGTGAGGGAGCTCTGAGCAACTGGTCGGAAGGTGATGGGCATGTTGGTTCTTGTTGCTGATGGTTTATTCGTACAACAGATACTTATTGGCTGAAAAAACCGAACACGTTACACAGTTGTGACGAGGAAAAGTCGAGGGGAGGGGAGGGGAGGGGAGGGGAGGGGAGAGGAGAGGTGAGGTGGAGGTGGGTTAGAAAAGCATTCTCAAGTCAATATACAGCATGTAAACCCATGTTTTGAACCCACTTCATAAGGTCCACAAAAATTGGTTTCTCAATACATCGCACTGCGACTCGCTAGAAAGGCGTGGCTAGGTGGTGGAAGTTTACAGTGAACATATGAACCAATGAACTTGCCTCGTTCAAAACCGAAAAAAAAAACTATTTTGGGCAGTCATAGCGGCATTTCACAAATGTTGCGCGCCGTCTGAAAGGCATATAGATGCTGCAAGTGTCGAGAGCGTGCCAGTGCTGAGCTTAGCAGACAATCTTTGGGAAGTTTTGACTATATTTCCTTCAGCATGGTGTGCATCTTTCTCATGTACAATTTTGAAAGAGTGGTAATTTATTCATTTTTTAAAATAGACTAAATATGAAAACAGATGTTGAAAATTCTCGATCAGGGTCCCCTATTTCTGGTACAGAAATCGGGCTTGAGGCGCCACATCCTCTTGTGTCTCATGTTGTGCCATCCGTCAGCAGCACATACAGGTAGATGAGCACGGTCATGGCAACGTCCGTGAATTGCACTGTAGATTGCCTGAAACAGGTTCTTGTTTTTCTTTTTGAATAAGGTAAGTTAATCGGTTGAAATTTTCACTTGAAACTTGCATCACTTAGTTGCACCTCTATCGTAAATGGCAGCGTGATACGTTGAAAAGCTGATTTTGGCAGACTGTCTGAAGTGAGTTTGTGTGGATGATTGGGGCGAGATTTTATGTTGCGACCTTGGCATACTGGTCCAGCAAAAGGAGGGGTAAGGAGAAAGAAAAGGGCATCCCACAGCCGTGTGCTGCTTCTCGGAAACTAGGGGTGCAGTCTGATATTCTACGAGCCGGCCACAAAAACTGCCTGGTCATTTGCGAGATTAGCAGACATCATATGTGACCTCCGAATTCAATGACATCTCTTCCATAAAAGAACTCCCTTGTGGGAATACACCGTTTGCTGCCCATAATCTTATCCATGAAAGGCAGGCGCTTTCAGCTGTGCCCTCTCAGATTGAATTTGATTGCACGGGGCTGCCATTTCCATGGATTGCAGCTCCGTGATGTAGCTTGGGAGTGCATTGCAAAGGTTGGCCGCCCTTAGGCAAGCTGGCTCACCGCCGTGCCTCGTGGTTTTTCCCCAGCCCTCCAAGTCTTCGAGTAAGCAGCCTGCCACGTCGAGTGATCTTCCTTCGATGAGCGCCGAAGAAGACAAGACGGGTGTTCCCGAAGAATTGCACACTGAGCACATTGATCCACCAACCGAGCAACCAGCCGAAGAACTGCAGCAGCAGCTAGAGGAACAGCCTCCCGCCGAAGATACTCTCCTAGAGAAGGTTGTCAACTTGCTGGCCTTCAGCTGGGCTCTTCTGGACAGCATGCTAATTAGTGCCACCGCTAAGCTCAATTCAGTTTCGAGAGACTACCGGTACGTGGCACGCAAGCTTGCGGATGAGAAGCGCATTGTCAAGGCACAGTTTGTTACTGGTCTGGCTACCACACTCAATGAACCCGCTCTTAGAAACAGAAAGTTTCATTTTCACAAGCATTCGGAGGAGGTTGCTGTACCCACGGTTGACAAGAAGGGAAGCGACGCCGTGCTATTCGGTGACAGCATGGAAATGGTGGGCGGTGCTGACAAGCCTGACGGGCAGCCGAGCCACCCGTCCCTGGTGCGCTTCCTCATTGCATGCTACTACGCCATTGTGTCACGCTCCGAGGTGGTGTGCTATCTGGTGATTGTGCTAAATCAGATGAAGTCTGCCAGTCTGCTGTCCCTGCCCCTGCCGCTGATGGCCTTCCTCTGGGGTTCCTTGTCGGTGCCTCGCCCCACCAAGGCCTTCTGGATCACCATCATCACCTACACGGAGGCCATTGTGGTCATTAAGTACCTCTTCCAGTTTGACTTCTTTGACTGGAACGAGTCGGGGCCCGTGAACCGGCCCTTTGACCCGCCGCGCATCCTGGGCATCGAGAAGCGCAAGGAGGACAGTGACTATGCACTTTACGACCTGCTCCTCCTGTTGCTCGTCTTTTTCCACCGGTTCATGCTCAAGAGCCTGGGCCTGTGGAAGGACACTGACAGGGGCGCCAGCGTGTCGGTCGTCCAGTCTCCACCCGAGCCCGCATTGTGCGGCGAGGTCCGAGCTGACAGGCAGTCCTCCGACCACGCCAGTCCCGATCCAGCCACGTCGGGCTCCCAGGACGAAGCCAGCGAGGTGAGCACCGGTGTCGGTTTGGCCATTTTCAATGCTAGCTTGATGGCTGGTTGCGGCTACGAGCCTGCAAGGACAAATTACACAACGCAGTGCAGGAAACTAAGTGCCACCCAGGGTTTGCCACGAGGGTAGAGATGTTCAGGAAAACGTGGCAGCATGCCACGCACCTGGCATTCCACGGTCTAAAAAGTTGCAAAGGCTGCGAGCACCAAGGTGCCTGCCTGCAACAATTTTCACGCGTAATCTGAATGCAAAAGAAAATAGTATGTAAAAGAAACCACAAGTGCAAAACAAGTGGCAAATGTAGAAAGGGAGAAAGATTGAACGAGCAAGAGTAAAACTGCAAAACAAAAGCGTAACTACTATGGACATGCACTCAACTACTGTCAAATACGAGGGGAGCGCCCATTCCACTTTAACTGAAAACCGGGTTAGTCTAGGCATGGGCACTTGTCCGGTCAAATTGGGCGCTTAACATGTAATTTATAGAATTTCCAAATTTTGGGAAATGTTAATAGTGGGCGCTTGAATAAAGTGGGTGCTTCTGCGGTATTTTAAGGTACCTGGTCAAAACTTTTTTTTTTTTTTTTTTAGAGGGGTTTGTTTTAGGTTTTGGTTTTGACTTTGAGAAGTATGACATTCGCTCCAGGCACAAAAAAAAAAAGTCTTCTGGAGTATAGGGTCCATTGGCAGGCAGCATAATCTTTTAAATGTGATAGCATTTCTGAGTGAACCCTATGCACTTTCACGTCCATGGCTTTGTTTGTAAGCAATGAAGCAGGCGGCTCACATCTGTTATATACAGACTTGAGTTGTTACCACGGAGTAACGTACCCAATGAATGGAATATGATACATTAGCTTCTGAACGGCAAATACAATTACCAGGGGTCCTGTTATGTTTGTGTACACATGTTTATATCGATACAGTGAGAGAGAAACCTTTGAATTGCAGTAATTTAGCAACAAAAGTAATTGGTTGGTTGCGAGAGGCCCATGTGCAGGAAAAAGACAATTAGATCGGACATATATGTGGATTGGTTCGAAATGTGATAGAAGACTTCATGGACGTCAACAAAAAAAAATTCCTAGAGTTTCTACAGCAGTTTAATAAAGAAATGCTTACACAGTACAAGCTATGCATGCATTTCTGGCAATCTGTACAGCGATTTCGTCAACCATTTTTTTGTTTACAAACTTCTGTAGGGAAGCTAAACAAAATGTAATGGCACAATTGAGCTGGTAAGGGTTAATTGTATTGTACAAACCCTTGAGACTCTGGAAGGGCACGGTACTGATTGTCCTAATTACACATATGTAATACTTGCATAATGTGTGACTAGTGTGCGAAAAGTTTTAGTAGTACTTCACTTTTCTATTAAACTTCGCTTCTCACCAGGTATATGTATATACATCGATTTTTTTCATTTCCAAGGTTTCTTTTTAATGAGGGTTTCTTTAATTTGATATTTTCTTGTCAGAGTTGTTGCAGTATGGTGACCAACTGGTCGCTTTCAGGTTTGGAGTTTTAACCTGGTTGGGGGGTGATTGTTTAGATGAAGGATTTTTTAAAGCTGTATGTGAGAGTGAATTCTGGTTGCATTCACTTAGAAGAAAGGTCTTCCTAGAAGTTTCAGTCAGCTCAATAAAAATTCCAAGTATTGCCCGCTTTTTGCAAGTTTACCGCACAATTACTTTTTGATCTGAAAGGTTGAGCATGTCCCTTAACATTAATAGAACATTTTTCTTCTTAATTTAGAAGTTTTACCTAACTATTGATTATTTTGTAATTCTTTTGGTACTGTTTCGTTTTGGGGGGATTTTAAATGTAACCATGTACCACCAGGGAGAATTCCAAAGTTAGTGAAAGCTGTCTATAACTAGAAAACTTTGATATTTGTGCACTCCTACTTAGAAAGCATTCCCAAACCTTGTTCACACCTGGATAATCAGCTATATTAGAGAAATGCTGACTTTCCATAATGCTGAAATTGAGCGCTCTCTTCTCATTCTTCTTGCTGGACTTTAGAAGTACCATGAACATGGGATACCTTTGGTTTGCCAAATGCAATCCTTTTGTGGTAGGTGCACTGAGAGGCTTGTCCTTGTCCAGATAGTGTGATATTTGCCAGTTGTATAACCTTGTGCCATGTCTTGTGCCATGTTTGCAGAGCATCGACACCCTTGCACAGCCTCCAGACTCCCCTTCCCTGACTTCCAGAGGCGGTGATGGTGAGTAAACTTGTGCTCTGCTGCACGAGAAGGGGGACAATGCTGAAAGAAGGGCGAGTGCGCATGGGAGCTGGTGAAAACTTCACCCAAGCCGGAAGGAAAAGACATATGGGAGAATACTGTTGCTTTTGGTGGACTACATGCTCTGCCCTAAACTTTGTGTAGCAGTTCTCCTTGGTGGGATTTACATAATCTTTCATGAAAGTGTGGTTCAGTCTTTTATGACCCTTGGAAGGAGTCGTATGGTTCGTAGGCACTGGTCTAATAGTGCTGCGTGCATGGCCGAGTTGGCAGCACTTGGCTCTCGCAGGGATGCAGAGGGTTTGAAGCCCGCCACTCTAGTTCTTTTTATTTTACCTTTTGTTGCACCTCTCGAATGTTTGATTTGCATCTCAGAACCTGGTGAATGTTCTCGTCTAGAATGTTCTCAGAAACATAATCTCTATAAAATAATCCATGGTTGATAGCATTGGGTCAGTTGCCCTTCCTTGGCTGTCGCGGGATGTATGATGCCTCTTTTTAGTTGCAGGTAGAAGTTCGCCAGATTATACATGTGCTTTCAGTTCTATTTCGGTTTCCTATTTTTTATTTGTAACAATGGAAATTGATATTTCTCTACTCTAAATGAAAAATTCAGTTGATCTCTGGGGGAAATTAATGATGTCTGTCTCCATTTGGAGACATTTAGGTGCTTGACTGTTTGCCACACCAGATGGTCTCGTTTCTCGAGCGGCATTTGTAAATAAAGGGAGTGTTTAATCAATTGTGGCATTCTGTGCACCTCTTGGCAATTGGATTTGAAAGGGGCATGCAGTGGAATGCGCAAAGGACATACACGGCCGCTGCCACCGCCTTTTGGTGGTGTGCGGCGGCTCATTATAAACATGTTGGCGCATCTGATCTAAAGCACTGGATATTCAGAATTTCGCGCGCATCTTTTAATTCGACTTTCGGATAATTCGACCCAATTTCGCATGTCCCATCAAGGTTGAATTAAGGGAAGTCGACTGTACCACTGTCGCATGACAAAACTCTCAAACAAGGGTTGCTTCACTATATCTTTACTTGGGCCATACTTGCGTAAAATACACTTGAACTTTTTTTTTTTTTTGTTCTTGCGAGTTTTAAAATTGGAGTGGTTGGGGTAATTTCAAATTTTAAAAAGTTTTACCACCAAGTGTTTTCGGATTTTGTTTTTTTTTTTATTTGAAAACAGAAAATCTTATCTGGGTGGAAGGAAAAAATCCTCTTGCACTAAATTGAGGATTCTTGGGTCTAAATCTCTTTGACAAAATAAGCTCTAATTTGGAACAAAGTGAAGTACACTATTATCGTCCTAGGTTTCCCTCGATAGAATTTGCCAGTGCGTTGAGTGCCCAGTAAAAATCACATTGACCTGTGTATCGGGATGCCATGTGCAGTGTTCAACTATTTGCTCCAGTTCTTTCCAAGAATGTGCGATTGTTTTGCAAGCCAGAGAAAGATTTGTTTTGGTGAGATCGATCCAACATCCTCGATAAATGCCGTCAAATCAGCAAATTGTTTGGCATCCTTGACGGAGTTCAGACTGCTTCAAATTTCATGGGCAGCAGGGAAGAAAGGAGGTTATTTTCGATTCAGTTCATCCGATGTGAGATGCCACCGACCTTCCTGACTGTCACTAAAATGCTAGTTTTCATGAACGTTCTTTATCAAGGCATCTAGCACTAACCTTATCCAAACCTGCAAGCACATCGGACAAAGATGCTATGGTGGATTAACCTCACTTATGATCCACCTTTTTTTACATCCACTGCGGGTTCTGGTAACAGTCGACACTTTTTATCCCAGTATGCCATTTTTTTTATGAAAAGGAACCCCACGAGGCTGGCTTGTAACTGCCTGTGAGGCACCGGCTAACATTTGACTGTGAGAAAAGAATGCCATGCTGTGTTTGATGCTCCCTTCAGACTGTCCGTTTTCCTTTCTAGATCCTTTACAAGACAACTTCCTCTATGTGAGCAAGATGTTTGATGGGTGAGTGCAGCACTTGAGAATGTCGGTGTGTGATGTCTGCTCCAGGTACTTGCCAGAATTTAATGGGTCCTTAAATGTAGAAAAGGCTTCATTGTTGAGAATCTCTCTTGTCAAGCACTGACATCCGAAAGAGTCTTGGAACATGAATGATGCCAATACCAAGACCAAACTAATAGAAACAATGCTTTGGCATGCCTGTGATTATCATCTTGTCCAGAATGACCTTCAAAGCGTAATCAATTAGCATGATGAATGGCAAATGTTACGAAACCGTTTGAGGTGCAATTTTGTTTTTGTTTGAAGTTAAAATTTTCAACAGGGCTAGATTTGGAGGTACTAGAACTCCCAAAGTAGCTAAATTCAGAGCTAGATTTAGAGAAAAGAGCCAATTAAATTGGGTTGGCCACGAATTGGCCGCCCCCAAAAATTCTGCCGCCCTAGGCAGCTGCCTACTCTGCCTATTGGTCTGCCCCTGCTCACAGCTCACGTGTGTTGGAAGAAGTCTGTCATCTATCTGTTGCTCTCCTCTTTTCCTGTCTTTTTCTAAGCAACTTTAACCATGTTCAATTTGCACTGCAAGCGTATAAACTATTTATAGGTATGCCTACACCACTAATTTTGCTTAACTGGAGCACAGGGGTGCTGATCTGTGGCAAGAAAAGTGATAGTGCCTAGGTCATCATAGGTATGGGCACGGTAGGCATGGTCATGGTAGGCATGGAAGAGCAGAACGAAGGCACAAAAGGTGTATAAGAGGTGCCCAGGGATGTTGTTTGTTTTTGCTTAATGTTGGCAGAAATCTGAGTGGAGTATGCCTAGCAGGTGGCCTTGGGTACCATCCTCGCAGCATTATCCTAGTTTTCTTTGCAGCCTTGTTCAATCCTGAGCTCAGGGATGCTCTTTCTGCAGTGTCTCTCGCTATGTGGAGCCCTTCCACAACTTCTTCGAGAACCTCCTCCACCCAGTGTACAGGGTCACTACAGACGTCTACGCCTACATGTTTTTCTGCGACTTCATCAACTTCTTCATAATGGTCTTTGGCTACTGGGCCTTTGGTGTAGGTATCCTCTCCTTTCTGCATGTTGTGCATAGCAAAACATTCTAAAAACAAGTTTGTCAGGGAAGGTACTTTGACATAAGACATCTTGCGTAGCAGAGTGTGTGTCTGTGTCTTGTTTTATTGCAGACTGGGGGCTCTGAGGATGGCGTGGCCTCCTACTTCCAAAAGAATGAGGTACGTGGAGAATCGCTTCCTGAAGATGTACACAGCGCAACCTTATTAGTGCATACAAGCGCCAGTTTTTTCTGCTTTTCTTTTAAAATTGGAAGGTCGCCATCAAAACTAGTACTAGTAATGGAAAGTGCTGAATCGGGGCACCAACCTAAGCGGTTAAATTTAGTGCACACCAATATTTTCAAGTAAAATACAAAACAACACCAATGTCACGTTCGCACCAGCAGTGTCGTGCAGCATACTATCGGGCTCGAACGAAATGCGAACAGCGATGGAACTTCCAGCGCAACACTGGCGCAGTGTGCTGTTCAGCTATTTCTAAGCTTTACATAATGTTAGTTGTATGAACCTTATTTGTCTCAAAATCGTTGGTAGGCAGCCTATTCCGTGCTGCTGCTGGAGCTTTTTGAGATTTCTAATGGAAGAATTAATTGGCCATTATTTATTTATGCAGCGCTACCAACTCCAGTTGGAGTAAAGGTAGGTGCATGCCTAGCCGCAGTCATAGCTAACTGAAGCATCAGTTTCCAGAGTGTACACTGTCTGGGAAGAGGACCACAGTTTGGAAACTGGGAGGTTACGCTGCGCTTGTTTCTCCTTCCCAGGTGCCTGTGCCGTTCCTGATAATGCTGCTTGCACAGTTCGCACTCATTGTGATCGACCGAGCGCTCTACCTGCGCAAGTACATTCTGGGCAAGCTGATCTTCCAGGTGTTCATCGTGTTTGTCATCCACATTTGGATGTTTTTTGTGCTGCCGGGGATCTCGCAGCGGTCCTTTGTGGAAGAGAAGAACCTTCCGCCAAAGCTGTGGTATTTCATCAAGTGCATCTACCTGATTCTGTCGGCCTACCAGATTCGGTCGGGCTACCCGACACGCATTTTGGGGAACTTCTTCTGCAAGAAGTACAACTACATCAACTACTTCCTCTTCAAAGGGTGAGCTCATATCTTCAATAGTTGCTCGAGAACTCTGTTTTGGTGGGGGGCTTGTCCAGAATGGGTTAACCGAACCGCCCCCTCAGGAAAAAAGAAATGGCTAGAAAATTATTTTGTTTAAAATAGCCGAGGAAAAAAGCGACCGTCTGGGTGGACGAACAGTGCCGTGTGGCTTGTGCTTACACATTTTTTCCAATTCTCCTGAGGGGCTAACCCGCTGGTGCACGGTGAACCCGCAAGTGTATTTTACAAGAGGGGCCCTTTGCGCAAGGACAGGGAGGAGAGGGGAAGAGTAAGCACATATAAAAATAAATTGGAAAGATCTGTTTCTGACTAACATTTGTGTTGGTGTCTCTTTAAATGAAATCATTAGCGCTCGAAGGAAGAGGGATATTTGCCTCTTGCCTGAAAATGGGGGTACAGGTTTTCATTTGAATGTCAAAGAACAATGTGGGCAGAAACGGAGAGGAGACGAGAGTGTGCGTGGACGTTGGAGCACCGAGCTCTGGTTGGAATGCCTAGTGGGTAGACCCAAAGCTAGCTGCCTTCGTCTGTGCTGCACTGTTCAAACGTGTTTGGCACCCCCTCCCCCCTTGGAACCGCGCCTGGCTTGAGAGAAGTGACAAATGCCAGGGGAGGAATCCGGTTTTATGCTTCTGCAGCTGATATGCCAATTCATACTGGCCAATGTGCTGGACTTGAACCTAAGGTACTACTACTAGAGTTCCATGAAAAGCTTTATGCCATGCATGAACTAATGCCAGCATTTCTGGTGAATGTTGGAGTGAAGCCGTGGCATTCTCGTGTGGTGCCCATGTGCCGCAGGTCTAACCCTGAAGCTCGTTTATTGGTTGTGCTTAAAGGCTGACCAACAGAATGGTCTTCTGCCAAGCAGAAAACCCCTTTCCACTGTACATCTGTCCCTTTCTTCTAGCACTGGTTTTTCCTCCCCGAAAGGTCTGAGCCCCGCAGAAAGAAGGGTTCCCCTTTCTGTTGACTGGCGAGGAGGTTTTGGCCCTTTTCGATTGCTCGTCGGGCTCTAGGCCAGAGTGCAGCGGGGGAGGCGAATGAGATGTGGCGCTGTGACTGCAGGTACATGCTGATCCCGTTCCTGTACGAGCTGCGCTCTTTGATGGACTGGATCTGGACGGATACGAGCATGAACCTTAGCAACTGGCTCAAGATGGAGGACATCTTTGCCAACGTGTTCCTGCTCAAGTGCCAGCGCCGTGCTGAAGAGGAATATCCGACACCAAGGTTGGCTAGTTGCCCTCTCAGTCAAGGGCTCCAATTATTCACCAGACCCAATTCTGGTGACAACACTAGGCACTGGTCAGTCTGGGATAGCTATTAATACTTGCAGTTCTGACCAAGTCTCAAAAGGCTGAGACAAGATACCTTTCTCGATCTAGCAGGAGGTCCAAGTATTTATTCTATAGTCATTACTGCGGTGCATAAACGCACAAACTTACATGAGGTAGTATGTTTCTCGAGCTGTGAAGTACCAGAAGAACCCAGAGACCACACAATAACTTGAATGACTCTATTTATTCTTCTCCTTTTGAGTCGTCCATCTGTTATCCTCACTGTTACAATGCAGTGCATCCAACTTTGCCTATGGCTCACTGCATCCAAGTGGGAATTCGCCAAACTTAACTTTCCATAGTGGGACATATACTAAACAGTAAAGTTGGAAGTAGATAGGCTTCACTATGGGTCAGTGCGTGTTTCCCCATGATCGGATGGAACCTTGTCAGAGAGTACAGGAATCATTGACTGTACCCGAAGCGAGTGCCTCAAACAGTTCCAATTTGGTTCCCAGGGGTTCTCGTCGTTCATCACTGACCAAGTATGGCCTCGGAGGCATTTTGCTGTTTGCCATCATTCTGGTCATCTGGTTCCCGCTGCTCCTGTTCTCGTTAGGCAATACAGTGGGGCAGTCTCTTCTGCCCATGGACTGCACTTTTGAACTGAGCCTGGGAGGCTACGAGCCTATCTTCAAAATCAGCGCTCAGCAGGGCAGCCTGCAGCCACTGCCTTACGACAGCTGGGTGCGATTACAGGTGAGATCTCGCACACCTTTGCCCCTTGTACCAGCGTCGTATCCTTCTCCAAGCCTTCTCCAGTGATGCGATTGCTGCGCCAATTGCGCCAAACTGTGCCAAGGGGCTAACCCTGCTACATCCTGCTACATTTTGCCAAGATATGGATAATCTGCGCCAAGCCTGTGCCAAAGGACCAATTTTGGTCGCCTTGGTAAACCGAAACTAAACTGAGATCTGTAATTGAGTATGGGGTGAGCTAGGTGGCGCAAGCGGCCGCCCGACACAAAGTACCCTGCATCAATCGTTCATGCGGTCTTGCATGGTTTTCCCGTCATGTCTCGTTCCGTTTCCTCATCGTCTTGCATTTTTAAAATTTTTTAATATTATTTTTTTTTTAACGATAGACGCGGACATGTGCGGCGCTCCGATGCCAATGTGCTGGGGTACCAGCCATGTCGTCATGCTATGAAACGGAACCACGTTTTTGCGCGGCTGAAGCACTCGCTCCTGAAAGCAACGGCCATGGGAAAACTATATTTGGTCCCTGCCTGCCAGTCACCGTGGTCGCGCGACGTCGGGTGTTGCCGTCCCCACGTCGCTGCAGATATAGCGCTTTCTAAAATGAAACTAAATACCACCGCATCTTCATCAATATTCCTGTTCTTGTTTAATACGCTACTACAAAAATCCCTCTTTAGCTCAAAGACTTCTGTGTCGAACTACTGATTACCTAGGTTTTTTCTCGGTGGGCTTTCTTTCGGGAGGGGCCCCGGTATGTGAAAAATCTGCTGCGAAAGAGAGTTGGTGAAGGGAAGTGAGCCAAAGAAAAGAAGGCAATGTCTGCACGCTGAACCCGCACAGCGCGCTTGTTTGTCTCGAGTGCAGTCGTTGCACAAAGCGCTCCAAGAACTTTTTGACCCTGGCTCGTGATGATCTTGCATCGATGTGCTCAGGTTCTTTTTTTCTGTGTGTTTAGCTAGTACCTCGCCTGCCGGCCTGGCAAGCATGTGCCGCTGGACTGTTTTTTGTCGTATGCTGGACAGTTCCGTTTTGCATACAATTTTGGGAACCAGTTGGCGACGGAGCGGAGTGGCATGGTTTCGATCGAACAGCCATCTCCGCTGGTGCGACAATTTCGCATTGCACTGCAGTAGTTACGTCACGTGTTTCATCAGTTGGAGACTGCTTTCATTTATTTTATCGCTAGTCAACCTAATGCTGTGCTATTTATACTGAGCTGGTCATTTTCAAATAAATTTTAACATGTGCACTTTGGGTCTTATTTACCTATAGCGGGTACATATATACGTATCATTTAACTGAAGCACTGCAAAATGTGTCATGTCATTGGCATTTCAGTTACGTGTTGAAAGACTCCCAGGTGGTCTAACTTGACTATAATTTGTTTATTGCGGCAAGCAAAGTGTCCCTGGTTTGTCCAGCACTTGAACCATTATTTATTTTTTTCTAAGAATATCGGCTCCAAAAGCCACTTTTGCCGCTTTAAAACAATGTTTTGGCTGCTCCAAGGGCCACTTTTGCTGCTCCAAAACTCTGTTTTGGCTGCTCCAAAAGGTGCTCCAAAATGGCTTAGGCCAATCACATTACTGCTTCTCTAACAATCCAGGTCTGCAAAGTCCCTGTGCATGGATGAAACAGGTTGTTTGTTTTTCTGTCTGAGCAGTGGGTTGGGGAACTTGGGTGCCTGCAGGCGGAGTACAAGTCGAGTGGTGCGGCACAAAGTTTCCTGGCAACCTACGATGCGTCCGACGTGGCGGTGGTGCGGCTCAACGGCAACTCTACAGCCATCTGGACAGTGAGCCCTCCGAGCCAGGAGGCCCTGATCAAGGAATTGGGAGGGGCCATGGTCCCTCTGCGCCTGCGCTGGACATTTGCACGCTCTGTGGACAACACCAATGCCGACAAGGTTGTGGGCAACGAGCACACGGTGCAGCTGGTGCCCAACACGACCAGCAGCCTGGCCGAGATGCTGAACGGGACCAGCAAGAATGTCAGCGTGCCCTCGATCCTGCCCAGGTTCGTTGGGCTCTCCTTTGACCGGCTCTAGAGGTCCAGCTGGCATAGTGCAAGACTTTTCTTTTTTTTTTCTACATGTTTAATTGCTGTAAAAGCAATACTAATGTGGTTTGTGCAGTTAGATTGGATAATCGTGGGGGTGGGAGCGCTGCTCCAATTGTGACATTGTGCGCCAATCCACTTTTACTGCGCCATCCTGCTCCCAAGCACGCATGTTGCGCCAAAACTAGCCAAAAAAGTTTTTTAAGTTTTATTAATTGGAGTACTTTACTGGCCACAGCGGTTTACCGTGTTGTGTTCGTTTATGAGAGTTTTAGTGGATCATTTCGAAACCTTCGATACCCCCAATAACCATACCCGACAACAATACCACGTATACACAAAGGTGGCAGCGGAGTATCGGTTATCGTCATCGGAATGATCTACTAAGACACACCACCCTACCGATGTGGTTGTGTAGACGTCAAAGCAGGTGACTCTCGTTTGATGAAAACTTTTGCCAGGTGCCTATTTTTATCTAAAGAGGATGATCCTGATCTTTCCGGACCAGGTGAATGGACAGTGTTCCGTTTCGTTTCATGGTCTCAAGGGCGATTCACATACTTGCGTTGAGTCTGACAGAGTGCGAGGGTTGCTATTGCAACAGCTACATCCAACAAAATGGGGTAAAAAAGGGTTTTGTTAGAGGCCGACGCAGCTGTTGCCATAGCAGCCCTCGCACTCGGTCAGACTCAAAGCAACTGCGTGTGAATCGCCCTTCATGTTGATGAGCCGTCATGTGTCAGCAGCGCGAGGGAGAACCGTGCGAGTTGTTTAAGTCATCCGTTTCGAATGCGAGAAAAATGCAAACGCGGGGAAATATACCGTATTTAGACGAATATAAACAACCCACATTAAAAATCCTGTTTTTATTTCTGTTCCCCGTACTAGTGCCTTCGAAGCACTTGTTTGGGTGCGTTGGTTTGTGCCGCCAGTGCCACAGCTCGGCCAACAACAGCTTGTAAATGTCTGATCTCCGAAGATGGGGCGTGCTAGGTGGCTTTGTCAAAAGTATGAAGGCATCAGTTTGTCGTTTACTATTATATATAGGGTGTTCCAAGTCACCAGGCTCGATCTAAAACGGACCGTAAAAATTGACGCCTGCACGTAGCAATTTAAACCTTTCGTCAAAGGTGTATTTCACAGTTTGGCTTTTTCTTGTAAAATTACAAAGCATAGCTCCCTTTATCTAAAAAATGGGACCAAGAAACTTGCGAGAGTCAACGGCGGGCGGTGACGCAGACGACTAAGACGAGTGGCGTGTAGCATTTGGCGCTTATATTCATAGATGGCGCTACCTCTTTATCTAGGCTGCTCGCGATCACCGTGGCTTATTAAAATGAACATAATCTTTTTGTAATGTGCCTTTGGTTTAAGAATAGATGCGGACAATAAAATCAAAACTTAAAGTAAAAAAATGTGTTTGCATAATGACGGCTCTTTTGCTGCCAACGGATTTTGTCTGCATGTCGTCTGCTTTCTTTCGCTGGTCGGCTACACCTTCGGACGCTGCTCCCGACGCCATCTATCAATATGCGCGCCAAACACACCCCGCAACTCGACTTGGTCGTTTGTGTCTCCGCCCGCTGTTGACCCTGGCAAGTTTCTTGGTCCTATATTTTACAGAAAGAGAGCCATGCTTTGTAATTTTACAAGAAAAACATGACCTGTGAAATACGCTTTTGACGAAAAGTTGATTGCTACGTGCAGGTGTCGATATTTACGATCCACTTTAGATCGAGCCTTGTAGCTTGGAACACCCTATATATACACCGGGTGTTTTTTTTTTTTAAACCTAACAGATTTGTTTAAAAAAAGCCGTGAAAGTTACACTTCGGCGGTTTGTGCATGCGAGTTATATGGCCAGGGGGACAAAGTATAGGGGGCTAATCATAACGATCAGTCAGCTAATTAATTAAAATTCGTTAATTAACTTTTTATTCATGAAATTAAACATATGGTTCCAATTAGAAACTTGCTCAACGTCATCGAAAACCACTAAATCAGTTCTTTTTAGAAGGATATAAAGCAGGGCAGCATTTTACGGTGTTCTAAAAAAGCGCTCAATTTGGACGCGTTTCTAGGTTTCGCTTTCTCATCGGAGCGCATCTTTGCACCCGCAATCCTGCCCTTCAATGGTCGCGGCGCGAAACCACCCCCTGGCCTCCCTCGCTGCATGGAGGGAAGTTGGGCGCATGTGTGTTGCACGTCTCAGCCACTGGGGAGCGGGACCGCGGGCACAGAGATGCGCTCCAATAAGAAATCGAAACCTAGAAACACGACCAAATTGTGCGTTTTTATGGAATTCCGTAATATACTGCCCCTGCATTATATCCTTTTAAAAAGAGTTGATTGAGTGGTTTTCGATGACGCTGAGTATGAAGAGGCGTGCTGATAAAGGAGCACAGAATGTGTCCTGCACGAACCAGACTCCGTGTGCATTCAATTTTTTTATTATCTATCATTTATTTATGTTTTTGGTATTTCAGTTTTATAGATGTTGCTGTTTATTTTTATTTTGGTTTATTTTATTTCTTATTTATGTTTGTTTATTTATTATTTTCATACAAAAGCTGCCGCTCTTGCTGGCATTTTTGCATTCAAATAAGAGAATTGACCCTTCCAGACGAGCTGTGCTAGTAGCTCAGTGGCTATAGTATCCGATTGCCACTGCACCAACCCAGGTTAGAGCCCTGCCTCTACCTTGATATATAAACTAGATATATACTAACCTTGACGCTCTGAGCATGTTGCTCGTTCATGACGCTCATCATGATGCTCGTTCATGGCGATTTTCTCATAGACTCGTAAAACACATTCCGTGTCTTGGAAAAGGAAGTGAAAGATGCCCGTGATTGTGTTGATTGTCATACACCCCGCGATCAAGTTGAAGCACGCTGGGGCTGCACTAGAATGGAATGAAGGTCTCTCAATGCTGTCTCGAAAACAAAACTAGCTAGCGTCTGGTGCTGTAGCAATATTCAGTCTGTTCGGAGAATTAAATTTACCCTAGTTGCGTATTCGTTGTATTTGGGCGTAACTAATTTAGTGAATGGATACCAATTTTGAAAGTTGCGCGTTTTCTCGACTCTTTGCCGACGTGCACTGCTACTTGTTTAGGACTGCTCTGGGAAAGGAGGTTTTGATGAGGCGTTTCCTTTGGCCAGGTTCCTGCTGGTGCCCCGCAAGGGCAAAGTGGAAGTGGTGCGGGCCCTGGACTTGCCCGACAGGGAACCCTACCGGAACCTGACTCTGCGCCTGCGCACAGGGGCCTTTAAGAACCTGAGTGCACGCAGCGAGTGGTGGGAAGTCCAGGAGAGCTGCACAGATGCCTACCCGTACCCGTTCCTGCGCGACGACCAGGGGTCCTGCTCGAACCTCAGCATGGTCGTCTTCAACGAGAAGGTCTTTCCGCAGGCGCTGTCGCAGCTCACGGGATACGGGTGCGTGCCTTCCGCGGGTCTCCCAGACCTTTAGCATTTCATCCCACGGAGACCGGCAGCTAGGAACTTCTTTCATTTCAGCTCTTGGTAATTGCATTAAAAATGAAGGAATCGGCCGGTTTCTAGAGGGAGGCAATTGCTGCTCTTCTAAATCTGCCGTGTCTTTCCAACTGCTGCGTCGGAAAGATTGGATACGTTGTAATGACCAAAGTTCAGGTTTTATTAGACGACGCTGCCGCCATCTGCTGACGGAGAGCCAGTCATACGAATGGATCCATCCTCAATTAGTGCTGTTCATACACTCTGAACCTGTTAAAGACTACATTTTAATGAGCAAAGCAGTTGTTTTTGCTTGTGGGTGATCTTAGTGCTGGAGGCCCATGCGTAATTGTATGGCGAAGATAGTTTTTGAAACAGGAATACCAGATTCCACAAAACATGACCTATAGTTTGTTCCAAAAAAATCTTCATTGCTTTCCCAAAGAAGTTTTAGTGTACCCTAACCTAACCAAACCAAACCAAACGTAACCACTCCGGAGGAGCGCAGAAACGCAAGTGTCCACCTCTTCATGGTCTACAATTTTTACTCAAGGTTTTTGAGTGAAAATATTTGTGGATTTGTTTATACTATTGATTAGGCAATGACACACGAAAATGTCGACAAGCCGCGCCTTGGTCGATCTTATCTGACCCTAGTACTATTCTTAGCTGGATACCCATATTATGTGAAATAAGTGTCTTGCCTCCTAGCACCTATAGCCATTGCCATATCAAGAAAGTTTTTCACATATAACCAGAATAGAAACAAAAAAATTTACTTTTTTATTTCCAATTATATCAATTGGACCTATTAGATTTAAATCAGATCTACTTTATTTGAATCCCTATAGCTAGAGAAAAAGTGGTTCTTTATTACTAGATATATTTTTTTAACATGGCAGATTGATTGATCAATCTGTACGATCACTGAAAGGGAAGAAAGAATTACTGTAAATTTAAAGTACAGTCTAATTATTAAACTTTTTAATGAGGTTTGCCATACTTTCCATTATAACTCTGTGGCCAATCGGATTGCAGCATTACTCATTATGAACGCCGAAGAAGGAGTGGGGTAGCTCATGAACCTAATAAGCTCTGCCGTTCTTACTTTCTCAGTAAGAATGGCAGGGCTTATTACCTTCATGCGCTGCCCGATCCCTTCTTTAGCGTTCATAGCAAGTATTGCCGCAATCTGGTTGGCTGCGTAATGGGAAGCATGTGACAAGCGTGCGCATGAGTTGAATTGGCGCACCCCCTTTAGGTGTCGTAGGCTCCCTATAGCAGCTGATATAACGCTTTTCGAAGCCCCTCTGGTAGCACAGGAGTATAGCATCAAACTACTGACCGAGAACAAGGGACAAAGTTGCGATAATTTTTTAAAGAAACCTGGCCATGACTTTTCGTTACCTTTTGTGGTGTTTTAGACTTGGAAGCTTGCCCGAAAACACATTCTGCGCTAAACTTTGTTTTTTGTTGAAACATGTGGCACTGTGATAAAATTGCAAGTGACTGATATTACATGACGATACAAGTAAATGTCTTTATTGACCATGGAAAGGGGGAAATTGGTAACACTCTGCAAGAAGCCAGACTTTTTTCAATGGTTCTAGAGGTAAAAATGAGTATGCTATGTACTGCCACCTGCTAAGAATCTGGTGGGGAATAGAAGACATGCTGTAGTAGGTGTCAGGTTGAGTTCAGGGGTAAGTCCTTCTACCCCTCTCCACTTTAGCAGAGCGAACGCTGGAGAGGTGACCTCCTCTCCAGCGTTCCCTGAAAAGGGTGGAAGCGGCTTCCCCCAAGGTCCGATTTTGGTCACCACAAGAGCGAGGTCTAATTTGCCTCTGGCGGAGCAAGTGAAGATAGCACTCGTAGGCACTTTGCCTGCTAACGCGAGCAAAGAATGCAGTTCATCTGCTACGAAGCACCATTCGGAGATGGAAAGAAAAAAAGAAAACGCCATGCACCGTTTGCTAATGAACAAAGTAAAAGTTTATTGTGTACAACGAACAGAGCGCCACTGCAGAGCGAGATCGGACGCGGGCAGAAATTGTGACTGTCTGCTTTTTCACACTGGGAGCCATTGACAACCCGCATTTCATTTGCAGACCTCAAGTCGTTCTGCCGCCGTACACAAGCTAGCATTGACCGGTGGATTAAGGAGTACTAAGGGCAAGGTCATCAGGGGTCGCGAGGCCTTTCTCGCTATTTGGTAGTTGGTGAGACATTCTCACCAAACTTTTGTTTGATTTTGAACTCTTGAACGGGTCTAAAATGTCTCATTGGTTGATTATGTGCAATCTGTTGCGCCACTTTAAATCTGAGGCAGAGAATGCTCTTGCCCTCTCACTTTGACCAAACTCGAACCCCTGAACTCTTAACCTGTCACCGACTATAGGTACAAACAAACTAAAGGAAAAGCAAGAAATGATTGCCACCATTATCACTGTGCTCTGGAGCTGAGAATGGGCACTGACATACACGACACAGGAGCAAAGTATACAGTAAAAGTGTGCATTATTCTATGCTAATTCATGGAGCAAATCAGCTATGACTAGCGATAATCATCCCTGGAGAAGGGGAACAAAAGGGACAAAGGTCAAACACAAGTCTCCAAACACAACCATGTGATTGGTATCGAACTGGGGACCTCTCCCATTTCAGTAGAGCACTCTACCAACTGAACTAACCAGGTGTTGGTTGTCAGTAGAGCAAACAGATTTTATCAGCTACCACCAGTCTAACTCCAGCGAGGGTGAATAATGATCATAAATAACAATAATGATAATGTTTGTCCTTTGTCCCCCTTGTTCCCCTTCTCCAGGGATTATTGTTATTCTTGTCCAGCTCGCTTGCACCTTTTGCATTATCATCAGCTACGGCATTGCCTAATAATTAAATTTAACACACAATTGTGGAACCTTTTTGCTCCGCTTGAAAGGAACTTCCTAGAAGCCTTGGACCTCTTGCTAAGAGCTTCTTCAGGGCTGAAGAAGTGGAGTCTCGTTGCACAAGGCTGGCTGCCATGCTTTCCAGTTGAGCATGGCAGCAAACGGAGTGGTCAGGTTCTCTGGACCTGCTTGACTCTCGTACGTTTGCTGTGCAGTCAGTTTCACTGACTTGTGGAAAATTTCTTTGATGCAGGATTGTGGGCCTGTACACAACATTTGTGCTAGTTGTGTCTCGTCTCATCCGGGGCTTCATGGCTGGCAGTTCATTCATCATCATGTTCGACGACATTCCCAACGTGGACCGTGTTCTTCAGCTGTGCCTCGATATCTACCTGGTGCGCGAGAGCCGAGAACTAAGCCTGGAGGAGGACCTGTTTGCCAAGCTCATCTTCCTCTATCGCTCGCCAGAGACACTCATAAAATGGACACGCATGGCAGAAGTGCAGCAGTCACCTCACCGAAACTGATCTCGAATTGTCATTGGTGCATATTTCTGTTATCTTATGCTCTGTCCGTTTGCAAAGAGAGAGACTACCGAATGGAGTCGACAGAAAGGGCATTTCCACGTTTTTGGTGCTGCCAGAGCATTCCCACTCTTGGGAAATATGTGCATAATAGTGCAGCGACTAAGGTTTAGGCAGCCCATTTAATGGCCGCGGTGCTGCTGGTGTGCCGCCTACTCAGAGTGTGGTTGCAGGTGACCAAGCGGCAGATTCTATACTTATTGCATTATTTTTCTCTACTTCAGATACGATGGGACACTATGCAATATCTTTGATATAATTTTATGGGGGCTTTTAAAGATTGACGCCCCTGGTGTTTGAATGTGAAGTGACCCGTGTTGTTCATCAAGTTCCTGTTTACAGCCTTTAGGCGTGTGGTGCTAGAGTGCTTCAATTTAACTGTAATATATTTTTTTACGAGTTGATTAAACTTCAATCATGGAGATAAAACTCGAAGAGGTGATAGTTCATGTCTTGGCGAGAAGTGAAAATGAGATGGTTTTGTCTCAACGATTTGGAGGAAGAACAATTTCGTTCTAGAGACAATGAAATGTGACAAAGTATGTAGTCTGGAATGTTGGAAGCTAGGATACAATTCCAGTGAGCCCGATGTAGTGTTGGTGGTGTAATATTGTCAATGATTGCTGGAAGACGTTTTTGTAATGGAGTGTTCAGCTTACCAGCTGTGTACTTTGCAGTGATGGAATAAGAGTCTAGAAAGTCACTGGAATTAAACCTTTTGTAGACTCAGTCTGCACTTTTCAACAAAAATGAGACTAACAATAAAACTGAAAATATTTACTCAACTGCACCGCTTTTACATTGTTATGTATGGGAAAATGGGCTTACTAGCGTGTAGGGTTTTATGACCATGTGGAGCCACTTTGAGCAAAACGTAGATGAGACAACAGAAGCCGCATTTTATGCCCCGACTTTATCCTTCTTGGTGCAGGCCTCAAGAAGCATATATGCGAGCAAAGCGAGCATGCCTCGTCTGCTGGTACCCACAATAGTTTTAGCAGTTTCAGCCTGTTCAGTGCAGGAAAATGGGGCCATTCGCTGAAACGTTGGATGAAATGACAGTTGGACGAAGGGCCCGATATGGTCCATGTGTTCCCATAAACGGAACGTCTAAAAATCTGCTCGCTCGGAAGAAGCACCGTCGTAGGCACTTGAAACTGGTATATTTGGTAGGTTCACCCAGTTCACCCAAGGCACTGCCACAGTTATTGGTGTATGTGTACAGCATGTTATATTTTAATTTGAGCACATTTTTTGGAAAGGGGACGAGAGTTACATGGGTGCCATCTTCATGTATGTATCAGGTATGGCAGACGTTAGGTGGGCTAATTAAATAGTCTCTCGATCAACTTTTTAATTATTGGTTTTATGGGTCATGTTGCAATTGCAGTATTGATGGCAGTTACGAATAGTCTAAACCAATTTAAACAATATTTTTTTATGCCAAAGGGCTTTGAGATCATAAGTAACCTTGTGTGACATACAATCGTTTTGCACATTATGGACAGGAGTTTGGGCGCTCTTTCTGCATCTAAATTTGAAATCATTTGATAAAAATGTGAAAACTGATGGACAAATATATCGAAGTTTCAAGGCATTTAGCCTCCGTCCGTAAATGTCATCAATATGCACTATCAGTGGTGGAACTGACAAGTGGCGATTTGGAGCAGCTCTTGTAGCAGGGAACAACAGGTTTTGGAGCAGATTCCCACTCCTGGAGCAGACAGTTTTGCACTTTCATGTCAGAAAATTTTATACAATCTCTTTGAAAGTTGGCCTGTGGAAATAAACTGCAGTTGCTGGAGTGTTGGGAGACTATTTAGAACGTCGTACCCACAGGGGGCCTGGCCGTTGTGGATATTTATTTATTGAACATTCATAAGCGGGTAATTTTGCAGGTGTCTCAATTAACCTATTAGGAATGCCGATGGCGTCTCCGGTCTGTGTTTGACGTCAAAAGGTGATTTTGCCTACTTTGTAGGGTTTGTGTCACGGTGATGCAATTGTCACGAGTTTGACAGCAAATGGACACTTTTGTGTTGAATGTGTCTCACACTGCTCTCTGCTTAATAGTAGTTAGGGATGCGCAAATAATGGGTTTTGGGTTTGAAACAAACTCAAAGTGTATACTGGTTTTGGCCTAATATTTTTTAATTGAATATTGAACAATTGCGGTGTCTTTCTGCACACCTTTCACTATTGTTACAACACACTTAAACGAAAATTCAGCTGAACTCTCAAAGGTTGTTTCCAAGCTTCTAATTTCCCACTTATGAGCTCTGTTAAATTTAATCTAGCTATATTAATAGACTGTGACCTCAGAAAGTCCAATAAGTACATTGAGGTGGCAAGGAAACAACAGATTTTACATACAATTATACCTATAAAGGAGACCAGCCATACCTAATTGAGTGGATTTATAGATAATATTGCTATATGCAAATATTTTCTTCGATTCTGAACTAAAAAGAAGAAAAACACAAATAAGGAACACAGGTTGTTAGAACATCGCTGCCTAACACACCCCTGCGTAATAGCCAGGTAAAAGGTTAAGATTTTGCTGCACTGTAAATGTCAAAAATCACGTTTGTTTTTTTTGTTTGTTTTTTAATACTCCAGGCACGCGCGTGCACCGTACTGCTTTGATGGTGTTTTTTGCCTAAGCGCGCGGCTGCGCTGCGGCAAGGGAGCCGCGATATCGTGGTGTCAGCTCCGCGGGCATTGCTTCTCCGCAGTGCATCGGTGCTCGAGGAGAAGCGCACTCAAGGGGACTTCGAAAAGTATGAACATTGCAGTTAATTTTGAAGCGCTACTATGCATTAATAACAATGACTTCTGCCCATCAATACAATGCAGACACTCGACATATTCTTGGAAGATTTCAACACTGCTTTCCCCAATGGGCTTCCAGATGAAAAAGCCCAACATGTCCTCTATATATGCCCTGCTTGACTTCGAAGCACCAATCAATCATCCTGGCACCGGCCGAGCCCAATTTGTCCAACAATTGAAATTGTAACTAGAGTCTTCATATTGGCTAGACTAGTGGGTTAGGTCTTGGGGTCATCTCGCAGCCTTGGCCATGCCATGTGTGCTTGGGCCTCGGCAGTTCCTTCAACGGAAACCTGCCAAGAACTGTAGTTCCCCGAGGCACTAGTTGGATAATGCCTTTTTCAATGCGATATGTGAACACACCGTGTCATTGTTGAACACAGTGTTCAACAATGCCGGGTTAAATGGACTGCTACAGGGATCAAATGAATGAATGTTTAAAACTGCTCTGTTCACTGCTCCCTGGAAGTTGCAGCTAGTGGTTGAGGTGTGCTAGAGCTGGGTGAGGTTGCAGTGACTGCATTTAATGATCACTTCGCCCTTGCCAAATGAAACTGTTTGATTAATCAGGTGGACCTTGAAAGTGTTTGTCGCATAAATGAGACAAAAAAAAAAATTCAACGGAGTCTTAAAAAAACGGCAGATAAGAAAAACTCTACTGATTGCAACCTTGCAACTCTTGGCTGATTGCAACCTTCTCTATAACAAGGTACAATCAGTCAAGTGTTAAATGCACGAGTTAAGGTTGCCAAGGATTTTAAATAATCTCGGATACTAATCTGTTTGGAGGAATATTACAGAAACGACAGGGACGTTTTTCTGCTGTCCTGAAAGTGCTGCAGAACCCAAGGATCCTGGGTTCAATCCCCACCCTTGCCCGTTTCGATCTGGATGAGCATCGTACCGGCGTGCTGTCGTGTATCACTACTGCGTAATGCAAAGAACCCCAGGCTAGCGGCTGTACTGCACCGACTGAATTTGCTCATCTACAGCTGAGACAAGTCGCCCGTTGAGGCAGACTAACTTCAGGCTGTGTAACCATACAACACACACATACACACAGTGTCCTGAAGCAGCGCATCGCGTGAATATGGAGCGTGCACGCTCAGTGGATACACGAGGCTGTCAGCGTGAGCTCCTGCAATGCACTGTGTGCACGCCTGCAGGCTGCACTGCACTCGAGTGGCGGTGGTAACATCAAATCTACCCGCTTGTGCTGGTATGCTGGTAACTCAGCATAATATAAAGGCAGCGCACTCGGACTGGAAGCGTGAGTTGGGGCGTTATAAAGCGCTAATTAACGTCCCAGTTACAGTTCGCCGATAATTGTAGGCGATTTTTGCATTTTGGCTTCATCGACGACGTTCACGAAGCAAGCAGTACCGCAGCTGAGATCACATGACCAGAAAAACCGAAACTAAACAAATTAACTCGAAATCAAAGTACATATTTCTCTAAGAGGACTAGCTAAACTTCAGAAACGTGGGTTTTATTTTAGTAATCGAAGATGTAAAATTCTGATTGAAGCATTTTTGTTGCAGCGGTTGGCACCGTTGTCTTGTCACGGTCCTAGAGGGCAGTGGCTAACTTCCACTAATGAACGCCTCGGCATACATCTATCCGGTATCTGCATCCATCCCAGCCATCCCTTGCGGTGCCCGGCAGGTTGCCCAGGTGCTGTTGGACGAGTAGGGCGGAAGGCACAACTTTGGTCGCAGCTATTTTGCAGGAATTTTTGCGACTTTGGCCCCCATGTAGTGCACCTTCTGTAAAATTTAGGACTCGCGGCCTTATCCACAGTTATGTCCGAGGGAGGAACGAAAAACTACTTGCCCTCGGGCCCGCAGCCGGGAGTGACGTACCCGCTAGAAGTCTTGTACTGCGGGGAGTGCAGCATGCCGCTCGAATACTGTGAATACTACCCGGACGCCCAAAAATGCAAGGAGTGGCTGCAGAAGAACCTGCCCGAAGAGTTCGAGAGACGCCTGAACCTCGAAGACAGCTCCCAGTCCGGCGCTGCCGGTGACGAAGAGAAGAAGAGGCAGAAACGGGGCGGAAAGGGCATGGTCAAAGCCAAGAAGCGAGTCGAGAAGGACAAGAGGGTCTGTCTCTTCAGAGCGTCCAGGTGAGTCGGGCCACCGAAATGCTTCCATCCGCACGAAAACAGTCGTTTGAGTAGCAGCGGGCATTACTTATGACAAGTCGTCAGTGGCCCCAGGTTGCCATTTCAAACGGTTTATATGCACACCAAACAACCACATAATTGGGATGAGAGCTGTCATTACCTCGAAAGGAATCGGGGGATTAGTTGCCAAAATATCATCGTATCTCAAACGGCCGTTGTCTTGTGGACCATGTCCCTGCCCACTGCTAGGCGTGTCAGATGAGTCCTCCAAAAGCTACCATATTGCCTACAGTTGGCACGAGTTTGCAAGCGACACGACTGACGAAGCCAAACGTTTTGTTTCCTCCGTGTGTATGTGGCATTCATTAAAGTCACTGGATCCTGGGAAAGTAGACTGCTAGCCGGAGACATATACTAACATACAGACGACTAAAACCTCGTAAGGCGATTGGCTAATCGGCCTCCGTTGCTATGGCAATTGCCATTTCGGCCCCTTCAAATCTTCGAAAGGGTCATTCTAATCCAGTCGCACCAAGATCACCATGGAGCATCGTTGTACTGAAGGCATTCCTTGCCAATATGAGTCTTTGGCACTGTGTATGCAATAAACTTATCAGTTGTGCCCATCTCCACAAATCTCTTACAATTATATTGTTCTTTTAGCATATTTCAAAACAGGAAAATAATTTTTCAAATGCCTCCAAGCACTGACACCGCATGTGGTGGTGGTACGAAGATGTACGCTTGTTTCGTCAGTGTGTGGATAGCAAAATCTCGGTATACAAGAAACATCTCTATGAAGCTATGCATCACCAGCAAATTTAGATTGGCTCACCAAGAATGGAGAGATCGAAAAGAAATTGCTCATTTCATAAGCCAAAATGGCATCCATATGAGGAGCTGGGCGCTACTTTCCCACAATCCAGTTACTTTAATATTCACTGGGCTCCATACTTGAAATGAGTGCAGCGTCCACAGCGCATGCTCAGAACGACACCCCACTTACCTTCAAAGACTTACCATCTTCGTGGTGTGAAGTGTATGTTGCAGAAGCGTTGTGGAAGCTCATTGTGAGTTATTTTCACCAAATGCGCCGCAAGACAAGGACAGAGTGAGACAACACGAAGCGCTCATCGTGAGCTTGTGTTCTGCAACAGTGGATTCAACTATGGCCGCCAGTGAACACCACCTAAGGCCTTCCTGTCATGTGTTGTCTGAAACATGTACAAGTTTAATTCATTTGTTTCAAATGTGGCAACAGAGCACGAGTAAGTAGGAACTGGTTTGTCAGTTCTTAGAAGCAATTGTCACCAGTCGTAAAAGCACCAATGCTTTGCGAGGTTAATAGTCCTTTGCAAATTTCCAGTGATCACATACATCTGAGCAAAACGCCTGGCCATTTGGATTGCATGTGTTTGTATATATGTCAACTACGTAACTGGTGGAAGATGTTCGATTTAATATGAAGGAACACAGTATGTGGCAAATGCTGCTTATGAAGCACTGGGCACCTTTCTTCCTCAGTGCCAGACAAATAGATGCCTAATAGACCAAATTACATTAAAAGGAAATAGACTTTAAGCAGAAGACAGAAGTTATCATCAGTGGCAGGCATTTAAAGGCCAGTGCCTTTTTTCCTGCCTCTTGCAATTTGTTTTGACCTGAATTTGGGCATTGAGGAGGGGAGAACAAGGAATCAAGGAAAATGGGAAGGGGCTTTCAGCCAGGTAGAAATGGATTTTGGGTATCTGTTTTGAAGGGCACTTGTCAACTTGATTGCATAAAGAGAAAGCTACAGACTGCAGTCAGCATTAGGAGAGCACTTTCTAGTTGCGACCACCTCTGGGGCCAAAGCAGACAGCTTGAACCCTGGGTGATCCCTTCCTCAAGGAGTCTTTGGCACATCGCTCATTGCCTCGGTTGCTTTGTGACATAAAACCCCAACATTCTCGGTTTACTTCTAAGTGCGCACAGTGGTGTAGCTAGGCCATCCGGCACCTGGGGCCCTTATGTCATTCGTAGCGTACCCCCAACCCCTTTTATTTCCCGAGATCACAACCAACCAGTAAAGTGGGAAGAGTACAAGGTGCTGGCCAAAGGTGGCACCCCCCCCCCCCCCCCCGTGACTTGGGGACGCCTAGTACCTGGGGCCCCGGCTGCTACGCCACTGGTGGCACAACTTGAAGGAATTCGTGTTGGGATGGCTATAAGACAAATTACCTACAGTGGCCAGAAGAGCAAGTAACATGTTACTGAGCAATGGCACTGACCTTCAGTTTGGCTTGGTGCTCTTTCAGTTGTCTACCCAGAACAGTTGTGAATTTGTTGCAATTGCTCCAGAATGCTGATCTGGGCAAAAGGGTAACATCCCCTTCCTTTCATTTTGTGCAGGGGCAAGAAGAAGTTTGTCACAGTGGTCACCGGCCTCAGCACATTTGACATTGACCTAAAGGACGCTTCCAAATTCTTCTCACACAAGTTCTCCTGTGGGTCTTCTGTCACGGGTGATGATGAGATTGTCATCCAAGGTGACGTCAAAGACGACGTCTTCGATGTCATCAGCGAAAAGTGGCCCGAGATCGACGAAGACCTCATCGAAGATCTCGGGGATCAATCTCGCTAGGCGTGTACATAAGGGAGCTTTGCTGCTGTTGGCAAATAAATCTCTTGTTTTGATAATGTACAACCCTAAACCCTTGCTGTTTATTCAGTTTTGGAAACTGCAAAGGATTTTATAAACTGTAAGCATCCAACTTGCAAGAGTAAAGCATTGATGGGATTGCTGCACCATTAGCACCGAAGTGCTTACCCTGCTGCATCCCGTTTCATTTTACGAAAATGTGAGGAATTTATGCCAACATTGCGGCAAAACTTATTATTCCTTTAATAATACTGAAAATGTAATAGCTAAGGCCTTGCTACCCAGCCCAACCGTTACGATACACTTATGCGAGTTTTCCGAACTTTTGATTATCACCTCAAGTAATGTACTACTCGACTGAATTACCTATCCAAGACAGAGTACTCCGAAGTTTCGTAACGATTCTCATGTTCGTAGTGCATTCTGAACGGTTAACGAGTCTCATTGGGCGCACTGGTCTACTGCAGAGAAGCAACCGCGGAGTAAGCACCACGCTTCTGAATGTTGCTTCGCTGCGGCGCACCCTTGTACTAAGGGGAAAGCACTCGTCCAGAGCGAGATGCGACAATTTCTAATTACAACTTCGGCTTGTACATACGATGTACTGTGATAAGCTGGTGGTACCTTTACCAATTCGAGATTTAGCAAGGATACTTTGATATTACAAGATGATTTATATGTACTCTTCTTGTAAGATTATTTTTTAATGCAAACTCATTTATTTAGCTATATTTTTATATAGTTGCAAGTAAATTAGAACTAAATTGGCAGGAGCAGTGGATAGAAGCTTACGAAGAACCTTAACAAGTTTGGCGGGTTATGAAGTTCTACATATGAAATGCAATTGATGTTCAGAATCAAATGACAAGTGCTTTGTTTATCTCAATTATAAATCGCCATTTTATTACAACCTCTAGAATTTGAAGTATTAATTAAGGTGCTCAAAATGATTGTTCTCCAACATTGTCTCAGTGGGGTTTAGTGCCTACAATAACCCTTCACAGATTTGTGCTGTCCTTTGTCAGTCGTCTTGTTACCATGTCTGGTGCTTCTCCACGCAACTAAACACTAGTTCTGTGTTTGATGGAATCGCTTCTGCTGGTGCAATTGATGCTAACAAAGGGTTGCACGTCAGTGAGAAGGCAAAGTAGACATTGCCTTTTAGTTGGACAGGCCGACATATCTATCTTCACATAATATTTGCAGTGGTATGAACGAAAATGAAGTGTCTGCCCAAGCCCCGAAAGTTCTCTTTTCTGTTCCAAAATTGACTTTTGGCTGCTCCAAGAGCTGCTCCAAAATGACTCCGACCAATCACATCACTGGTAAAGCCACATGCTATGCTAGTTCTGTCTGTATGCATCTCATAGGAAGAGTGGCTTTATATATAAACATTGCACGAGCATATTAAACATATGACGAGAAATAATAAGTGGAAATTGAGCTTGGGAGCTCCCCAGATTCCCAGGCATTATCATGCATGTACAAAGTGTGACACTTTTAGCACAAAAATGTGATGGTGCTTTTTTTTCTCCTTTTTTATTCAGCTGAAAGGCTATTATCAAAACCACTACAGTACTAAATTCGTTTTGACTTCAAGAACCATAGTATATAAAAAGTTTGGCTTCTCACATAGCGTTACTAATTTACCTCTTATGGTGATGCAAGATGGTGAAGTATATACATTTAATTGTGGAAGTGGTCGGCTGAACAGAATACAACACAGTACACTCCCAAGATATACATCCACACTGCCGGTGAGTGTATAATTTATATGCATTTAAGACCAGTTATTTGTTATTTCATCAAAATGCAAAAACTGTTTTTTTCCCCCTCTGAAAATTAAATCTTCTGAGAACTACTTTGTGCAGTGCATAAACTATGCACAACATTTCCTTTGTTTTTCTTGAGGTGACAACAAGTATACTGCTGTAGCGGAATGTGTTTATGTGGGGCGCTGACCTGTGCGAGTAAACTACCCAAAAGTGTTGTCTTGTTTGTGTGTGTGTGCCGTGTAATGTACATATGATTGGTGAAAAGGTGAGCAGAGAATCTTTCTCAAGCCCTCTGCCACAGCTAAGATGGCACAACTAGGGTGGCACTGTGTAAAACGAAGACAGATTTCTATTTCTCACTAGGGCAATGCTCTGTTCTAAGGCTGCTCTTCCGCACTGACATTACTGTGAACAGCTGGGCAGCTCACATTCATGGCAGTCAAATGTGTGTTTCCAGAGAACTAAGCCCACCTAAGCTGAGTGGATGGTCAGTTCAGCTCTCCAGTGGGCTCATTTGGGCTTACAAGGCATTATAGCTGTGCACTAGCCAGGAATTTTTTCTGGGAAGGGGGGACTGGGTTAGCTGGGATGTCCATGACTTCGAGACTGGGAGGACGGGGGTTTTTAGAAGAGCAGAAGTAACAGAAAAAACAGACCTGTCTGTTTTTTCTGTTACTTCTGCTCTTCTAAAAAAACCCCAGTCTCAGGGTAAACAACGAAATGGTTGACTTCACTATGTTCACTTAAAGAAAGGACATTGAACAGTGATGGCATTCTGTATTTCTCAAAGTATGTCGAAGGTCAGGAGGTATTACAAAAGAATTTGACGACACATTTAGCTGGTGCACTCCCTATCACTTGCGCCAGGTCATCCACGCTGCACTGCGAAATTGCCTTGAGGCCTAAATAAAAGGGTGGAAGGGGGGGTGGCATTTTAGCAGCTTGTAGCATAGAGATACACACCGCGATGCTTCTGCTGAAAGGGGATTGCCGACTTGGACTCACTGTGCCACTTGCGCACCAAAGCCTTAGCTCTGACTTCTCCAAGGCCTGGGACTTTTAGAAGGCACCCAAGCACTGCTGCACTTGCTGGGGGAGCTCGCCGCTTCAGCAGGAACAAGTGCTGCTTCTCTTTGCTCTCAACCACTTCCTTTAGGATGAAATACAGTCCAGCTTATGCAGGGCTCTTAAAAAAAAAGTATGCATGCACCAATCTCTCCAGGCAGTTAATTTAAACCTTCAATCGGTTTCTTCGGGTTCACTTTCCAGTCTAAATATGGTTTGGAGGTCAGTTTTGGTTATTTTGGCAGTTTGGAGAGGGGCTCAAGCTGGGAGCGACAGTACATAACAGCAACTGCAATGATTGACAACTTCAATTTCCTAGTGCACATATGCAGCCCAGCTCTGCAGAAGTCAGATTTACGACAGAATAACGCATTCAACACTGGAGAGCTCTTGACGGGCTTAAGAGAAATGTGCAACCTCAATCCACTCGCTAGCATTCTTTAGTTTACTTTGGATCTCTGGACTATCTGGTATTTTGTGCTAACGCTGGGTGAAAGTGTCAAAGATTACCATTTGGGCCAACAGCTGTGCTGCCTCTGCCAGGTTTTCAAGAGGCAAAGTTGGAATGCCAATGTCCAACACTGCGAAACGCTGGAGGGATTTGTATTGCGACTGCACTGCTTCAGTGCGCTGAGCAATGATGTAGGTCTGCTTTGCATTGTTCTGCAATACCATTGAGAGGAAATGACTATAATGCATGACAAACAATGACTTCAAGTTAATGGACCTTTTCCACATACCGACGGCACCAGGCGATGGCTGCACGAACTGAAAATCAAGGAAGTGACCTACCTGCGCTACCAATCGATATAGGGAGCTATGCTACCAGTTGCTTCGCTCTCTGAGCAGCGGCGCCTGCCCAACGCGACTTTAAAGAGAGGCATCCGTAGCATCCACCCAAACGTCGTGTTTTCCTTCCCGTCGACGTTTTTTTTTTTGTGTAACACGATTATATATATGCTGCAGTTACGTGTTCTACTCGCTGATATACAGCCTCCTTCCGAATTTCCTCGATTTTTCGTTCCGACTTCCGCCGCTTGGCATCGGGAGCTCGCGCGTGCGCAGAACGCTTCTCGGAAAAGGTCCATTAATACCAATTATTTTGTTGCTTTTTTTTTTTTTTTTTTTTTTAACATTTTTAGGGAGGCTTGTTATTCTAGGCATGTGCTTTCTGAATTTCAAACTGCCTCCTGTGTTTTCGAGTGTTTTCTGCTGCATGCAAGTTGGACTCTAAGGAGTTAAAAAGTAGTTAGAGAAGCCTCTTACTTTTCTGAGCTTGACAATCTTGCGCTTCAGTGGGGATTCGTTGACAATGTCTACTTCGGTGGCATACAGCACTGCAGTGCCACTAGACGGATGAAAATCTACTAAACCTAGCTCATCTGATACCACAGTACGGGCGACTTCTGCAAAAAAAAAAAAATAACAATAATAATCTGACGTGTGCAAGTCATGAGGATACAGAAAATTGGCTCACACTTGATTCTTAACTAGCCCAGTATTGTATTCATCATTTTTCGGGGACAGAGTGTTTCCATTTGGCTGCCATGTCTGGCTCTGCGTATCGAAGCAATCAGTATGAAGGAATTGCTACCAGCGGATGAAAATGACGTCAGACGCAAGCTATAGTAACTTCCTTACCACTTGCAGACTTACTTACTCCAGTGGCGTAGCCCGGAATTAATTTTTCAGGCAAGGGGGATGTAAGTGGGGGAGGCTGAGCTGGCTGGTATGTCCATGACTTGGGGTGCGGAAAAGGGGGGAGGGTCAAAATGCACTTGTATACTCGTGGGTCGGCTGGATTTCGGGGTGGGTGGGTGGGGGGGGGGGGGGGGGGGAATGCACCTGTATACTTGTAGGTCGGCTGGATTTCGGGGGGGGGGGGGGGGGGGGGGGGGGTTGAAGCTCCACAGACCTACCTCCTGGCTACGCCACTACTTCACTTCTAATAGCGATAGGTTAGTAACGTTAGCAGCTCACCTACTTCCCTAGTGAGTGCGAGAGAAAGAAACGCCGCGTGGGCAATCGCCTTACTTTGCAGCGCTGCGTGGACATCACTTCCCACCCACTTCTCGGAAAGCATGACATGCCCGATGGGAACGCGAACCTCTCTCCGAATTGCGTTGCCAGTCAGCTGGGTTATGCTTGATGTGCTCGTGTTCATTATATCCAGGCCCACAGAATGCAGTAACGCACAAATGCGCTAACTCCGTGCTTATTTTTTTTTTTTATCTTTCTGTAATACCACAGTGCTGTGGACCGTCAAAGAAGTACAGCCTCTATCGTCCGTTTCATAGCCTGTTCACAAAGGCCGCTGCAGAGACGTTGGTCGAAAGAAGCGCGCCAGCCATTGGGCGCGTTCAGTAGCGCCTCCCTTGCCTCCGAACGGAGTGCCTCGAGTTGGAGTCATCGGAGCGCCTACTGAACGGCAAAAAAACCCGCGGCTCCAAACCTGCTTCTACGCAACTTCCGCTTCCTCCCCTGTGCCAGACGGTCTCCGAATAAACTGGAAGCAGACGATGGCGAGCACGATCGCTTTTATTTGACGCCGGTATTGAAGAAGTCTTGACAAGGTCGTTGAAGAAAAAGCGGGTGATTGTACACATCAGCGCTGCTGTTCGAAGCGATGCAAAGCGATCGAGCCCTTCGCCCCTTCGCTTGGCGGTGCAAAGGCAGCTACTGTTATAAAAGCCGACAAAAAACGTCGTCAGTACACGCAAAATACAGAGCTCAGCGAATCTACCCCGCCGGTTGCGATACTTTTATACGGCCATACGTTTGTTCTGCCCTTCGTAACGAACTTCCTATAAAATGTATTCGTATACACACGGGAAGTTCGGCCGCGCTCGGCGATCAAGGTTTTGTCGGCCGAAGCGAGCCTCAGTCAACGTGCACCCCGATTTAGCTACGCTAACAAAACATTAATCGGTATCATGCTCTGCGTGAGTGTCCAACCGGCTTCCAAAGTCGCGTTCATACCCCGTTTTGCTCTGTTGAGCGCGGACAGGACTATCGTCAATATTACCGAGTTTCCGTGCAACGGCGATCAAGACACGGCGTCAAATGAAAGTTTGCGTTGTTTATTAGCATATTCAAACCAAACAAAATACGGTCCAATGCATTTTCCGAAAGAGCCTTACCTGAAAAAGATATTCGAACGCGTTATTCGTCTTACCTTGACCACTTTTCATTAACAAAAGCGAGCAAACCGCGCACCCGCGACAGAACCGAAGCAGCTTATCCCGCCATATTGTTTGTTTTTTCCTCTTTTAGCGCCGGAAATCGTCACCAGTTAGGAAATGACGTCATTTTAGCTCCTTTGACTCTACGTGCACCGTCTCCGGACTCGGTGCTTCGGAGCTTGACTCCGAAGCCCCGGAGTTACGTGCACCGGAAGTGACTTTTGGCCGTCCAGTGGAAGGAGTCAGTGACTCCTTGACTCCGGGGCCGCTACTGAACGCGCCCATTATGATGGACTAGGGGCACTAGGGGGGAGGAGGTCACTTCTGCTTCCCGCAGCCGCCGAAAGCGGTCACCACCGGCGGGCTGCTACGTAACCATGGTACCCGCCAGAACGGCAAATACCAGTTAATTTTTTGGAAATTGGATTATTCTGTTCATATTCACGGTTGAACACATCCTTAGATTTAGAGTAATCAAATGCTCATTTTTTGTAAGCATCTTTTTCAGCCATAGAGTGCAAGGTGGCGCTGCCAGCACTCCAGACATCCCGCTACATCGATTCCTGCCAGAGCCGTGCTTCGATCTCGGATCTCTACTTTCAGCTCCAGAAAACCCAGCAAACAGATTATGTAGACTAGAGCCACTAAGTGAGCTACGCTGAGAGCAGTGCCGTAGCCAGGAAAGGCTGCGTTCGATTTACCCACACCTCCTGCACCCAACCCAAATACCACGTAAAAATCTTTTGAGAGCGGGCAAAAGGCTGGATGGATGGATGGATGAATACGGCTGAGCCCTTTGGATCGGGCGGTAGCTTACGTCACCTAGCCATTTTGTTTTACCATTTAAGCTTAGAATATTTAAATGTGAAATCTATATCCACTCCGCAGTGCAAAGAAAGTGAGGCTATGAAACCCCCTTGCCATCAGTGGATAAGAAAATACCTAGTTTTCTCTCGATTTCTGCCACCATTCACTTAATCTTTGCTTGGTAATCTCTACAGTCTTGAAATCCACTCTCCCTTCGCTGTCTCTAAAACCCAATGTCTTTATTAAATCTATGTTGTCTTCGGTAGGCATAGGGTGAAGCCCTTTACAGTAGAGTATCAAGTGCTCAGCCGTCTCGTCCTCCTCTCCACAAGCAGTGCACACTGTATCAATTTCCTGGTACTTCACTCTGTATGTTCTGGTTCGCAGAACACCCGTTCTTGCCTCAAACAGCAATGAGCTTCCCCTAGAATTGTCATAAATGCTTTCTTTGGCAATAACTCTTTTGTTTAATCTATAGCTTTCCAGAGCCGTCTTTGTCTGCATTCCCTCTAGCCACCAATCTCTTTCTGTGGCCTTAACTTTCTTCTTAACTGAGACTTGCTCTTCCTTTTCAAGGCGAAAAGTGATCGGAGCGCCCCTGGCGAGCTCGGAGTTTCCACTAGCAGACGAATTCTCCACAACGCATTGGTCTTGCCTAGAGTTTCGGAACTCTAGTCTTGCCTATCTCCGTCCAAAAAAAAAAAAAAAAAAAAAAAAAAAAAAAAGTTGCGCGTGCAAAAGAAAAAAAGAGGACAGCATCGTAGCGGAAATAAAGATGATTTCGGTTACGTTAAGTACGGTGCACAAATTCCGATTGTTAGCGCCGGGACGACTAACGTCTTCTGCGTCTTCTACAATAACTTCCATTTTTCAAAGTCCACTTTCTTTTTATGTTTGAGGCTATGCTATGGCGGCGCGGTCTCTCTTCCTACTGTTTTTTTATGTTTTTGGTTTTTTTTTCTTTTTTTTTTCTCCTTGTGCTTACTTCACGTTAAAACCCATCGCTTATTTTTCTTTGCCTTCTTTGACTTTCCTTCGTTTCGGCGTTTACTATGCCCGGACATTTTGAGGGCCGTCTACAACTTTGTGGTTGTTGTTGTTTTCTTTCACTGTCGTCTGCGATAGCCTCCTAATTTCGCCTTCGATCGAGTTTCTAATCCGAAACCTTCGTATGTGTTTTTCTATATGTATTAAATATTTAAAAAAAAGTGTAAGCTCGTTATACATTTCTATATAAGTTTTTTTTATTATTATTATTATTTTTTTTTTTTTTGGTTTACGGGAGCACATCTGCTATGGGTCATCATCTGTTGATCAATCGGCAGCTTTCGGGCTTACACCAGCACATACTTGAAGATGGCAGGCATGCCATGGGCTGCCTACCACTGGAAAAACAAGTTTCTGCGACGTGGTGGAAAATCCTCCTTCCTTTTCCCAAAGACCGAACAATCATAATTAAGTTATACTGCAGCATTCAAATTTAACTGGAAGAGCTACCCAAGTCTGGCTTTAAAATCGCCATTCACGCCTCAACAGACGATTATGACAACGCACAAAGATCGCGGAGAACTTCACGTACGACAGATCAGACCAGGGTGGATCAGACCAGGGTGGATCAGACCAGGGTGGATCAGACGTTGCGATCAATGGATTCCGCTTTGCTAGCGGAGTGGCCGTAATGAATTGTTTGAGCTGTTGGGGTGACGAAACGGGGCTCACAATGCTCGAGGACGTATTGCGTCGTCTGCTTCCGTAAACTCCAAGTCCGCTAGAGGCGCCGCTGTCACTTTCGCAGGTTCGACCGGAAGTACACCGCTCTACACTTTTCTGCACCGGTGCAGGAGGCGTAGGTAAATTGAACGCAGTTAGTGGTCACTACCAATGGCAAAGGAAAAACATGTTCAAAATTACTTTTGTAGGAAAAGTTTGATTTATATCAAGTAAAACAGGTGTGATTTATAAATCACTATTTCAATCATGATCTGAATCTCCTCGCCGGGGGGAGGAGGCAGAGGGAAGGAAGGTGACATTTTTTTCCCCGCTATGCCCCGAAGGCAGTGTTGCCCAAAGGTCAGCCTGGCGATCTTTTGGTTTTTAGTTTATAGGATAGGTGGCGCAAACTACCGTCCGTTATAAAGGGTACAGCTATTAGCATTCCTCCATCCATGTCTCGCCCTCGGTCGGATGGACGGATGGCCGCGGTAAACGTCTCCGCCGCCGATGTTTTTTCGACGCTGCTCTGAGCAGAGAGGGCCAGCGGGGCCGACGCGGCGAACATAGCGGGACCAGCGGCACAGCCGGGGTTGGTCGAGCCACAAGATGGCGGCCACGACGTCGTACACTCGCACAGGTCTGCTCGAAGTGTACGCCAAGCAGCAGTGGCACAAGGTTCTGGCCACGCTCGAAGAGGACCACCTGAGCCTGTGCTTGGACGAGACGTACGAGGCGCCAAACAACAACAACAACGGCACACTCTCCGACGGCGAGTTCAGCGACATCCCGGACAGCATCGCCAACACCAAGCGCATCGTGCGCGTCGTTAAGCAGGACAACAACGGCCTCGGGATCAGCATCAAGGGCGGCAAGGAAAACAAAATGCCCATCCTCATCAGCAAAATCTTCAAGGGCATGGCGGCCGACATGACCGAGCAGCTGTACGTCGGCGACGCCATCCTGTCCGTGAACGGCGAAGACCTGCGCGACGCGACGCACGACGAAGCGGTGCGCGCTCTCAAGCGTGCCGGCAAGATCGTCGACTTGGAAGGTGAGCTTTACGGTGGGCGCCTCTGCTGCTCGAGCCGGCCGAGGGGCCTAGCATGCCGTTGCTCGCCGAGGCCAAAGGGGGTGTGCCCGTCGTGCGCTCATTTCTCGCTCCGACGCACGCTCGACGGCCGGATTCCGCGGCCGAGGTTGCAGCTGCACGTCCGTGATTTGAGCGCGCCCTTGGCTGCCGCTACCACGCGAAGAGCAGCGTGCCCCATTTCTGGACGTCTGTCCGAGTGCCCGTAAGGTGGCAAAGACCGAAAAACAGAGACCACCTGTGCTTCACGGCACACCGTCGAGTAGCTTCGGCGCTTTGCTGTGTAAGCTAAACCACAATCTTGGAGAAACAAGGGTGATTGCCCAGGCGAGCTGGTGAACGATCATACTGAAAAACCTCGTCTCCGGGGTTTTTCAATGTGGACAACCTTAGACGTAAAAGCATCGTGCATTATATATATATATATATATATTAAGCGTTTAAATAATGCCTCACTTCAGAAGGTTTAAAATGGTTTTGGTTCGAGTCAGCCTGCGATTCATTCTGAAAGGAGGACACAAAAATTAAACTAGGGTTTGCGCGTCGATTAATCGGTGACCTTTACTCGATTAATCGGTCCAATGTGGAGGCTCATCGAATTGCTAAAGTATTGCGAAATTAACATATTTGGGACACGCGGAGTAGTACTTTTTGAAAAAGTACTTCCTTGAATTCATTGGTTTTTATGGATACATTCAAATGTCACGGGCTGATGGCAGGAGAGGACAGAAAAACGCATGGAGCTTGTATTATTGATGTCTGCGTTGCCAACTGCTAGCGTACAGTTAGTTGCCTAGAACGTTAGATGGTCCGAGGTGCTCCATATTTTCCTCCATATTTCGGTGTGAAACGAAGTTGGCTGTTTTCTGCTTTGAGAACTGGCGGTCCCAGAGGAGCCGAAATCTCGCCAGGGAAAAACAATTCTTGTGTTTGATAGCGACGGACGTGGTGCGCGGGACAACCCCGTGGATTCCACCTTTTTCCAAATATGTGCTGCCACCTAGACACGCGAATGGGTTCGAAGCCGTTTGGCACCCAAAACATCGGCTACATCCTGTTGTCCATTGAGCCACTGTGACCTAGATTCCCCAAACTTGGCCTTTGTCACCATCGTGGGTTATCATCTTCGGCCCCGAAGTTAATACAAAGGTACGGTCAAGCAGAAGCAAGAGTGAGAGGGCATTAATCGGCCAATAGATTAATTTCACAACTTTAATTTAAATACGTGATAAGAGGGAGTTTTCGTAGACCGCGTTCCCCCTCCGCCAAAGCCTCGGCAAGAAGCCGCTACTGCGCCTGCGCGCCGATGGCCTTGACTGTAGAGTTCCGGGTATCGTAGAGCAGAAGAGCCAATAGACCGAGTTCAATAAGTGTGCGGCGCATGCGTGAAGCCGGCATAACTTTAGTTTACAGGAGGCAGGCGCCAGTGCCCGAGACGGCTCGTGCAGTCTCGGGCTCTGCAAGTGCAGAGCTCAAACGAGGTTGTCGCACGTGCAGAAACACTAAAGTTCTCTCGATGCATTGCGGCAGCGGTGGTGTAACCAAAGTGGCTGGTGAGATCGGTCTATTATCCGTCTTGTGCCATCCAAGCAGTCGCCTCGACAAATTTCGTCGTGAGCGAAAGCAAGTGACGTGCGATTCGGTGCGAGTCAAGTATCTGCCGAGTTGGTCAAGTTTTCATCACCAAAACGTGGAAGTTGAGAAGAGAGGAGGAAAAAAGGAGGGCACGACGTCTGAGATTTTCTTGATGTAGCGAGGGAAGGGGGTGCAAGTACGAGGCATTCATGAATGCGCATTGGACGACGGCACCGCCTTTCCTGTTTTTATTTCTTCCGGCGTGTACTGGGGCGTAGCGCGCATTCCATTGGCACGCGTGTGCCAAGGGCGCGAGATGCCCTCGGGGTGTGTTTTAGGCCTCCTCGTCAAATGGGCTGCACAAAAAATCCCGATGGGAACGGTACCTGGGAGCATGGATTGGCATTGGGCTGTGAACCGAGCAGTGTTTTTAGAGACGCGGTCGGGAGTTTTTATCGCAACAGCTGATCAGCCGTGCCCGCAGTGGCTGTCGAACCAGCCTCAAGTTCCGCAAATGGTGTCACGCTGTGAAGCTTTGGTGACACAGCGTACACGGCCATCTTGACGAACGGCCCGTTTTCAGTATGGGAGATAGTCAAAAAGAAAAGAGAAAAAGGAAAAAGTGGAGCGGAACCGGTAAAATTACCCAGGGCCGGAGCGGGAATGGGCTCGTTCTGGCAAAGGCCGTTCTGGCCATGAACGCTGTTGACACTGAACAAAGAAAGCCAGTGTGCGCACCCGTCGTGAGCGAAGGCAGGCGGGCGTGATCGCGGGAATGCCCAACGCGCGAGAGATAGAATCCTTGGCCTCCTCGGTCGGCCAACGTCACTTGAAATCTGGGCGCGCGACAAGATAAACTCGCAACTTTTTTTTTTCTTTTACCCTTAGGGTCAAAGGCATTATAAGGGGAGACTGGACGGAGTACAAAACGGTGGAAGCAATCTATGGGTGAATTAATCTCAAATATTTCACGGAAAAGTTGGGTCTTCAAAAAGTGCGGAATAAAATTTTTGCGGTAATTTTCTAAACTAAAACATTGGCGCCAACCTTGTTTTATTCGATCGATTTTTGTTCTCGGGTTATTTGGCCGGAAAGGGGAGACGGTGGGTTAGGAAGTCTTTCCTATCGTCACCTCTGGCGACTTTGAGAGTATCTCCAGACGCACTTGCATTATTCGCCGTTCAAATAAATTTTACTTCTCATCAAACAGCATGCTGTAGTGAATTTTCTACCGTTTCAGAGGCCCTGACTTGTGTAATGTTTCCTAACTTAATATTTTTGTAAAAAAAAAAAAAAAAAAAAAAAAGACGTATCACGCTTTTTGAGAAGAAGGAGGAGGGGAGGGTATGCCCCTCCCCTCCTCCTCGCCTGCTGCCCTCCCATTTAGCGGGAAATGTTCGCTAAATTTAGTGAAAATTTCTCCGCTAAATTTAGCGGGGAAACTGAATTGGTGTTGAGGTCACGTGACGTCAATTTTTAGCGGGGAAACTTAATCCGCTAAATTTAGCGGGAAAAGTTTCCATAATGCAACGCGCGCGGTTACGTCGACGCCGCTCAACCCGAAACGGGCGCCTCAGGGCTGCGCTCTAAAATGGTATTTTATGTACGTTTAACTTGACAAAGTACAGAGCCAAGTGGCTCTGTACTTAACGTTTGCAAAAAAGGCTCCTGTGCGCTGCCATTTTGAGCGATGCTGGCGCCGCGTAGCGTTTCCACCATGTTGGGGTGTGCTGGGTCACATGATTGGGGTACGCGAATGTGGACCAACCAGGAAATGCAGTAGCCACGACTGTGACGTGTGGGCATGTGGGAGAGAAAGACGTTGACGCGGACAATGGCACTCGAGGGCTGGGCCCGGCAATGGATTGCTGGGCTTGCTCGGATAATGGTGTGTTACTTGTGTGTGCAGCCGGTCTTGTTGCGGGTAGGCAGTATGCACCCTAACGACGTCGGCGCGACGTGCAGCTTGGTGGCGGGCGCCATTTCGGAGGAACACTCGCTGGCGGCAATGGGATATGCATTCAAATGTGTGTGTGTGTGTGTTTTTTTTCTGGTTTGTGCTTTTCTGCGGTCGATGACAACACCTGTATGGTTTAAAGATACTTTTTGAGTCTCTCTCGGCGTCCAGTGGCTTGAGCAAGATACGCTTGGCAGCATTGAACGACAAGCAGCGAACGTCCTGTGGACGTGGGGGTCCGTTTCACCTCGTATCTCACTTGCGAAGGTGTAGCGATGACCCGCTACGAGTGCCTGCACTCTGCAGACAAGGCTAGCGCCGCGCATGCGCAGTAGTGGCGTTCCGGAGAGCGTATTGAAGCTAGCGGAGGCGCGCTACTAAAATTGCGAGAAACGTAGCACACGTATAGCAAGCAGCGCGGTTCCCTTGCGTGGCTCTCGCAAAAACGAGGTGAGATTGTAGGAGAGCCAGCGAGGGACTCAATTCAAGATGTCCGCCACGCCGCGTCCTCGCTTGGTCGCTGCAGCTACCCCTGGACTTTTCCATAGGGCCAATAGAGTCGACTTTTGTACAGCAGCGCCGAATTCCACTTCCGGTGTCTAATTCCTAAGGTGGCGTATTGCTTTAGTTCGCCAGGCACGGAGGACCGACTGCTATCAACTCCGGCGCGCTGTGACGCCAAGTAGTGACTCAAATTTCGTCTTTAACACGTGACCCTCCGGCGTCAAACGAGGGCGGTCTTTCCGGCGGGCATCGCGCGTTTAATTACCGACAGATTTAAAAAAAAAAAAAAAAAAAAAAAATGAATAACTCCAACCGTGTGATTGATATAGGATCTCTAAGAACCAGGCGGGCCTTCAACATTGATTGCCTCCACTTCTCAAATATAAGCTTTTGCCCTAAAATGTCTAATTAAGTGATTAGTGAATTTTCGTTAATTAGTCATCTTTTAGTTGCATTCTCTCTGGAACAGAATGTCCGCCTGGCCGTACAACTCACTTGCGCTCCATCTCCCAGCGTCTGTAATATCAATGTCGTCATGTTATTTAAAATTTTAAACTTATTTCCATCGTCAGGACGCAAAACAAACGTCTATCTTTAGAAAACAAACTAATGACGAATAATGCCGTTTTCGCACCCGGGACCAGAAATCAGTGACGTTTCAAATCAAAACATAGGGAGCCGAATTCTGTCTTTTTATTATCCTCCGTCTGGTTCGAAGACCGCCCGAGACCACATTCAAGATGAAACCCTATTGTTACGCTTTAAGTATGTTGTTGTGCACAATGCGAAGTGCGGCTAAGTGCTACGAGCTCTCCAGCTTAAAAGCGCAGTAGTTCGGGGATTAATTTCGTGGAGGATATTATAAATCATTTGTTTTTACTGTGAGATCAAAAACAAGACTGCCTCTAGTACGGTGAACCCGCTGACT